AGCACTGTGAAATGGTCAGTCACAGCGGTTCTGCAGACCAAACCCAGTTTTCTGGAATTGCTTTCGACCCCTTGTGCGATTTCAACCAAGAGATTGTCGACAAAATGCATGGAGAAGTTGTACTCCGATCTGTGACAGATGTCTTTGTCAACCATGCCGATATGGAATGGACCCGTACCTCGGCCAGAAACCCAGCAGTCACAAACCTCCTCAGTCTCAAAAGTTTCCTGCCAACCGAAGTCAACAAGGCCACAACCAAGACAATTGTTGCACAGAAGCCGAAGACGAATCTGCCGGAGAAGGTCGATCCTGATTCTGTTCCCACTGCAGAAAGCATAGGTCGAGGTTCGTACCGAAAGTACAACCAAAACCAGGTGAACAAGCTCTTCTCCTTGGTTTTCTCGGAAAACCAGACTGCTGCTGCCGCTGCCAGGGAAACGGGGATCAATGTCCGGACTGCCCAGAACTATGTCAGGCTGGCCAGAGAGAAGATCCAGGCCGATTTTGATGCTGCCACAGTGGAGACTGATGAGTCCAATGGGCTGGAGACGATGGAGGTTGAGGAGGTTTCTGCGCCTAAAGAATGAAAATATGGCAACCAAAAGTTGTTCCAGGTGCACTCTGCTTTTTTTTTGAAGTTTTTCGAAAATAAACCATATGCTACCTTGGAACAAGCAAGGATAGCTGTCTTGGAAGAGTTCTCTGGGCTGCAGATTACCAAATCAGCAATCCAGAAGCACTTGGTGAAGAAGTGTGCCCTGACGATAAAGAAGTTGGAGAAGCTGCCTGAGAAGAGAGACGACACCAACACAATTGAGATGAGACGAGACCGCATTTTGGAGTGGCAACAACTTGCGGATTTCAACTATCTGTCGAACTGTGTGTTCATCGATGAAGCAGACTTCAACATGCACATCAAGAGAACTTTTGGCCGTTCCGTCAGTGGCACCCCAGCAAAGACAACTGTCCCGACGCAGAGAGGTGTGTCCATCACCATCCTTGGTGCAATGTGCGAGAGAGGGATCGTCAGCCTCTCGTTGAAGAAACCCACTGCAGTCGCAACCAAGAAGAAGAGAAAGTTGGACATCTACACCAACGTTGAGATGAACGGTCAAATTGGCACCAGAACCCAGCACTACCTCGACTTTCTTAGTCATACAATGGACGTTCTGGACAGCCAGGGTATGCAAGGACGTTATCTCATCATGGATAATGCTCCTATCCATAAGGCTGATGAGGTGAAAAACTTTATTTCTTCCCGTGGGTACAAGTGTGCATATCTTCCTGTGTATTCACCTTTCCTGAATCCAATTGAGAAAATGTGGTCCAAGATCAAGTTTGGTGTCCGCAGAGAAGAGATTACAGAGTCAGATGGGCTCATCTTAAGGATTACAGAATCAGCTAAGACTGTCACCCTTTCGGACTGTTTGGGTTGGATTAACCATGCCATTTCATTCTTTCCTCGCTGTTTGAACAGAGAGCGAAAGCTTTAAGTATGTCTTTTATGTCTATTTAAGCTCTTTACACTCTATGTCTTTTTTTATTTTATTTTTATTTTTTACTACTTTATGTCCCTTTTTTTCTTATTTTTTTTTTACTACTTTATATCCCTCTTTTTCTTATTTTTTTTTTACCACTTTATGTCCCTCTTTTTTTATTTATTTTACTGCTTTATGCTTTTCTTTTTTTATTACTTTGTATTTCATTATATCTTACTTCTTATTATGTGTTCTATTTCTCTATCAACTAATTATGCCTAATAAAAATATCCATGTTTTATGCCAAAAAAATACGACGTTTACAAAAAAAAATACTACGGTTATATAAAAAAAATTCGACGTTTACAAAAAAAAATACGACGTTTACAAAAAAAAAGTACGATGTTTACAAAAAAAAATACTACGGTTATATAAAAAAAATACAACATTTACAAAAAAAAATACTACGGTTATATAAAAAAAATTGTAAGGCGTAAGGATAAAAAAATTGAGTGCCATGTACCCTTCCGCCAATAGTAAAAGGGGGGGAGCAAATTCAGATGGCAATGGGAGCAAATTCAGTTGGCAATGGACGCAAATTCAATTTCTATGGAAGCCAATCAGATGTCAATGGGTTCTAATTAGATGGAAACGGATGCTAATTAGATGGAAATGGGCGCCAATTGAATGGATAAAACCAGTAGTTATAAGCTTATATATATAGCAGACTGACTGTCATCCACTTATATATATAGTAGATTAGTGGTCAATAGCTTATATATATATATCAAATTGGTGGTTATCAGCTTATATATATAGTAGATTGGCAGTCAATAGCTTACATATATATATCAAATTGGTGGTTATCAACTTATATATATACTAGATCAGCTGTCAACAGCTTATATATATGCTAGATTGCCAGTCAACAGCTTATATATATGCCAGATCAGCAGTCAACAGATTATATATATATCAAATTAGTAGTTATTTGCGTATATTTTTACTAGATCAACTGTCAACAGCTTATATATATGCTAAATCAGTGGTCAACAGCTTATATATATATATCAAATTAGTGGTTATCAGCTTATATTTATATTAGATTAGCTGTCAAATACTTATATATATACCAGATTGGCAGTCAACAGCTTATATATATATGAGATCAGCTATAATTAGTTTATATATAGTGTTAATTGGTTGTTATCAGCTTATATAATATTGCATAATATTGTATAATCTTGCATAATCTTGCATAATTTTACATAATTATATATTGACACATATAAGAGAATTTAAACATATGTAAAAATATAAAAAAATAAAATTTATGTAACATATGTCATTATGTATATTAGCGTAACATAAACAATACAAATACATTACTGAAAAAATTTGGTAAAATTTGGCTATACTTGTTATATAACGTGCATAATCATGCATAATCTTGCATAAATGATTTATGTAAACAATATGGTTGAATTCGTGGGAAAAAATGCTAAAGAATAGCTTTTTTCATAAAAAAATTCCTTTTTTAGTCAGTCTGAATGCACTTAGCATGAGAAGTCTTGGCATTTTTAGTGTGAGAAGACATGTTATATAAATAGCAGCGATATAAAAAGCTTGGCATGGAAAAATATTTAACCTTAAACTAGCAAAAAGCCGTTCAGACAATAAGTAAAATATGTCTCTCGTAATAAAAGTTCAAATTCTTACTAAGTAATAATTTTTAAAAAAATTTGTCATATAAAAAAAATTTAGTCATATTATATAAAAGTATCAAAAGATGTAAAGAGCAGGTACAGAATAAATAAAAATTAACTTTCATATTTTTTTATCAATTTCTCATATAAAAATCAAAATATTATTATATATTCATAAAAAAATATTGTAACAAGTCAACTAAATAATACTTATTATATTTTTTATATATTTATGTATTATATATAATGATATATAAACAATTATAAAAGAGATGAGAATATATAAATACTTTTAAGATTAAGTATGATTAGAGTATTTAAGTTATATTTCTTGATATTATTAGATATAAGTAGTATATTATTGTATGAATTTGATATAGATAAGTGTGGATTAATATGCTATGATAATAATATATATAAGTTAGAGAATATTAAATGTTATTAATATATATAAGTTATAAATTAAATATTATTGACTAATATTGGTGAGAGATCAAATACTATTGGCTAATATGAGTGAGGGATCAAATATTATTGGCTAATATTAGTGAGAGATCAAAGACTATTGGCTAATATTAGTGAGGGATCAAATTTTATTGGCTAATATTAATGAGAGATTAAATACTATTGGCTAATATTGATGAGAGATTAAATACTATTAGTTAATATAAATATTATATTAAATATAATTAGTTTATATATAAAATAGATTAGCTTTTATTAGCTTATATAAGTATTAGATTATCTGTTATCTATTTATATAAGCAGCAAATTAGTAGTCATCAGTCTATATAAGCAGAAAATTATCTGTTATCTATCTATATAAGTAGTATATTGACTATCATTGACTAATATAAATATGATATCAACTATTAATGTCTTATATAAGTGACATACACTATGGGAAAAAAGTGGTCTTTTTGGTGGTCTTTTAGGTGGTATTTTAGGTGGTCTTTTGGGTGGCAGTTTTGGTAAAACCAGCAAAAAGACCATCCCTATTTTTGGAAATATAATTAAATCTCCATTGACTGATGGATGTTGGGTTTTATTCATATCCCAATATTTAAATTTATATATTATTCTTCTCGTTCTATTGGTAGAAAGAAAATAAAAAAGAGCTTTCTTATTGGTATAGATAGAAAAAAAGAATCTTTGTATTGTCACTCATAAAATACTTTCGTTATACTATTACTTTTAATTGGATAATATAAACTTTATTGCAGTATGCACATTGATAGTATTGCTCATTTAAACAAAAGCATTCTTTCAATTGGTTCTCATATATATATTCTGATTCATTCACAGTTTTAATTGAGCAAAAAAGTTTTATTTCATAGAAGATTATGTGAAGTTTTATAGAATAAAATCAACAGTAAAAAAGATTGAGACGTATATAAGAATACTTTGAGACTGTATATAGGTTTTCTTTATTAAAGAATACAAAGTTATCCTTTTTATATCAAAACACGATCTGCTTTGTCAGTCACATCTTAATTTCTTAAGTCTGAGTTCATTTAGATATTAGAGAGCTGGTACTGCTATGTTTATAATTTAATCTAATTGCAGTGTCCTCATATTAACTCAGTGCTTACTGAGCTGTCATAATTACAGTACTTACTGTAATTAATTATTGGTCTTATTGATTTACCATAAGTAAAATAAATAAATTATTCATTTGTTCTTGTAATGATAGCTGTTTTACTATAATAATAGAAATATGTTCTTAGATGTAATAAATCCAACAACCAAGTGTCTGGATCACCACAGATCATTATTTAAAAATGTTTTTATTGGTTGTTATAATAGAAATAATATTTTATTCATGAATCGTACTGGCTAAAATTCCTTTAGATTATTACATATTCTCACATTAATTACACAATTTATTGTACCTACCAGATATGAACTTACCAGAGTATTCTCGCTTCTTACGCCCTCTCCAGAGCTGGCTAACCCTTGCAATTGATGCCCAGTTTCTGTGGCATCTGGTAAAATCGATTCCATTGTCTCTGAGTATGATGGAATGATTGATACACAGCCTGTTTTTATCCTCTTGAGGAAGCAATGACCAGCCAGGGTTTGTTCCAAGATCCTGAACAGATGGAAGAGCTGCCAGTTGATCACATATGACCTTGGTACATGTGTTAACAATTCTCTTGGTTTCCTCGGTCAATTCTATTCTAAGATCGTCTGTTATCATCTTGTATATATGCTTTAAAGTTATATTGTTGATTTTTGATACGGGTCTTGGAATGATGCCAGTAAGAGTCTATTATGTTTGACATTAATTGAAAGGACTTTAGTTGTTATAGTATTTGCTTACACTGGTAGAGGTTACAATAGTTCTATCTGGAAATTCCCGATCTTTAAATTCATTGTAAAAACTTGTCATTTGAAGTTGCATCGCATCTTGTTTTTTTTTCTAATGCTTCTTGACGGCCTAGCAATGCTTCTTGACCACTCTTTAGGGAAATAAGTGCAGCTTGTATTCCTTGAAGCAACTGAATCACTGTATTGTCTGTACTGTTCATAATTGTAAAAAAAAATCAGTTACGTGTTTGCTATAGAAAAAGAAAGAAAGAGAAAATGTTTTACCAGAAACTATTATTAGTTTCAAATCTTTAGCTTCAATTTTTTAGCTTCAAATTATTAGTTTCAAATTATTTGTACAAATCTATTGGTTACTCCTGAAGAAATATTGATCTAGTAACTTCACTGATGACATACAGATACTTCTTTAAGATCCCGAGCATATATTCAGAATGCATATAATATCATTGTCTTTATATAATTAAGTATAAAGCTATACATTCAGAAAGTAATTAATTCTATTCTTACTTATATAACAAAGTTTTTTTTTACCTATCTCAAACATGTCCAAAATTACAAAAGCCCCTCGTTACCAATGCCGTACTTGCAAGTTGACCTTTAATAACAGTCGAACACATAAAAGATGTCTCAAATGATGCATGACAAATAGGGCAGAATTACTTGTCAATGGCGAAGTTTCCCAAACTGTCTCTCTTCCTGATCAAAGCCAGTTTACATCAGCAATGATTCCTAACTTGGCTTTTGGGTAAGCTTATCAAAAGCAAAAACACAAAACGATAGACAGTATATTAATTAGCTGTATACTTTGATAAACAAACAGAGAAAACATCAACACAAGCAGTAGTGAGGATATGGATATCATTGACAGTACTGAAGATGATGAGTCCATGGTGAGATACATAAATACATATATTATGATAATCATACTTATTGTTGTTTATCTTACTATAATACAATTTTGGAGAAGAATGCAAGAATGTCATTGACAAAATTGAAGGCACCACACCCTCGCTAGTCTTTGATTTTAGCCAGCCTCTTCCTGTTCCCAGCAACAATGATAAAAAGAATCTCGCGTTCATGCAGTTGATCTAAGAGTTCAGAATTTCTTGTCGAGCCCACAAAAAGATTGTAGAACACTTCAACCAGATCTTTGATTGTTCTATCAATATTATATACCAAGCATGCAGCCCACACCTTGGAAACAAGCTTCTTGAGTACTTCTCGCATATCAAAGCTGACAGATACGATATTTGCATAAGGGGTTGTACACAATTCAACAATGAGAATGATACCACATGCGTAAAATGCAGGGAAGCAAGATACAAAAATGACCAAACTAGCGAAAGTGACACCAGGGTTCCTGTGAGATCGATCGTACAGCTTCCTTTGGCCAGACAGCTTGCTTTGTGTTTGACTGACAACAAGATCAGGACTGAAGTACTCTATCATCACAACTACCAGCCCAGCAAAGATGGGCAGAAAGCAGATGTTTTCGATGGTCATGCATACCAATTCATGAAGCATCTGTTTTCTGGTGAAAATGATATTGCGATTTTGTTGTCCACGGATGGGTTCAACCCATACAATGTACCTGGATCAGTAACCATTGTTCATGCAACTGTCTTGAACTTGAATCCGATGATCCATTATGAGAAAAACAGGATGATCCAAATAGCAATGTTTCCTAGCTGCACTGGTCCCAGTGACATCTGGTCCTTCCTTGAGCCAATGCTGAGAGATCTCTGTTTGCTCCAGACAGAAGGCATGGAAGTAAAGACACCAGCAATGATGATTAGGGCAAAGGTGTATGTCCTCATGGTCACTGGCAATATTCCGGCTTTGGCAAAGTAGGCATGCCATGTTGGCCACATAAGTAAGAATGGCTGTCGTATTTCTCACATAGTGGGCCAAACTTCTAAACATGGTCAGTACTTCCACATGTTGTCTGAAACCCAGACGCGCTCACTAGTGAGTTTCAGGAATTACAATCTGACAAGCAGTGAAGACAGAATGGGGCTCAATGGTCAGCCACCATTAGTCTCAATGGAAACATTATCTGGTCTGTTTTTTTTTGCATTAGATGAGATGCATGGTCTGTGCCATGGAATTGGTAAACAGGTATGGGAACTTGTACGTGAAGAGTATGAACTCAAGCATCATATATGTCTTTCTCTTGCCACTCAAAGGGAGATTGGTACTGTAATTGTAGCTATAAAATTTGCGATCTCTAAATTGTTGCATGGTGCCTCAAGAGACATGACAAAGAATGCCAGTTTTTTTAAAGCTGTGAATTGGGCAAACTTTTTACTCTTTGTTGTCCCCACGTTAGTTGCAGAGTGTGTCCAGAACTTGGTTGCCCAAAAGTCATTACTTGGCCTGATTCAAACATGCAATTTACTCATGAGCTGTTAGTTATCAGCAGTAGATCAAACCTCAATAAGAAAGTATGTTTAATGCCATATTTTATTTCATTTTTCATAGTAATTTACTTTTTTCTTTTTTCTTAGTAATCTTGTAAAATGGAACTTATTTCTAGAGAGTCTTCTTTCTACAGCAGATATTGACATTGGCGTGTTCACAATTAACCAGCACATTATTCAGCATTATCTCAAGATGGTTGACCTATATGGTCTACCAAGAGCATATAGCATATGATCCATGAAAAGAGTCATTGGTAAGTACTCCAGATCCATCAATAGTAACTCCTAAGCCAGTGTCAATACTGAAAACATCATGATCAGACTGGCGCAATTTCAGAGTGTAGCAGAACTGACAACAGTTGCAAGCACAAAAACTTTACCAGCCAATCTTTTAGCTTACAGTGCATGTTGTGTTGGTTGAAGTTGAAGAAGTTTTTAAGAGGAAGAATTGAAGATTTGAGATTAGAGACGAAGATTCGTGAGAACTTGTGTAGGTTTTGTTTATTGAGAAAGGATTTTATATCAAAGTTTGACCAGGTTCCTACACTGAACTACTACTGCTATTTATATTGTTTTGAATTGGGAAAATTATATGACTGGGGTCAGGTAATCGATCCTATCTGAGCCTTAATCAGAGCAACGTGATCTTGGAATAATTAATGTATGATTAATTATATAAATGTGTGTAGTCCCAATGAAGTATTAACATCGAAAGTAAATGTGTTTATGAGTTATAATTATGCTTATAATAATCCACTGATGTATCCTATATTATGGTGATATCATCATATGAAATATAATCACTATCATGCATGCTAAACTTGTGTGTTAAATAATAAAGTAATCGGTAGACACCTTTGACTGGAATAGCTGAGGCCTTATATTATTTCCTTTAGACTTATTCTCAATTACAGCAGTAGTCAATACTCATTTACAACAGTGCATATACCAATGGGTGGCCTGTTACAGAAGAAGGTGATCCTGCCAATGCTGAGCATGACATTGAGTTCTGGGAGCCTTTGAAGAATTTAATAATTTTTTATAGCTTTGAAGATAGATCTCATCTTTCATTGCTTCTTAAAACGTTTTATGATTTAAAGAGAGAAGAATGTAGTATGCTTGAGCCTTCTATAAAGACAAGCCGTAAAGCCTATTTTAATAGCTGTGTTATTGATGCTGCATTCAACCAAAGTTCTACAAAAGAGGCATGTCATGTTTATGTGCAGCTACAAGTAGACATGAACTGCAGAAGATCTCTCTTACTGTCCAGGATATAAGCATTTCTTTGGAAAGGTGATTATATTCTTCTAACATGTACACAACTAGAAGAGATGGCCACTAGCTCTCATAACCATATATAGTGTGCATTTGAAAAATGGATTGCATATTAAATCTGTAGTAAAGTCAAAGACTATAGGGAATCATACCAGTGACATTGTAGAGTTGGTTGACTTGGTGCCATTATATCATTTGGCCTAGCCTTAAATGTGGTCTAAAATTGACACTTGATGTCTTAAGTGATATATAATTTGTTTTTTTCTGTAATAAATTTTTTTTTTCTAATTGTTTTAACAAATTTTATTCAAGCAGCAGAAAGTTTAGATATTTTCATTTTTTTTATTTCTGACATCTAATATTTCTCAATTCCAATCTATATTTATCAAAAATGTAAGGTATTTAATTAAAATGGACATTTGTCCCTTCTGAGACTTAATTTTAAGTGATTTATTTGCTTTTTATTAATCATTTCAAAGAACAATGATTTTCTTGTTTCAACTTGGATTTTTGGTAATATTTTGATTATTATAGACCAAAAATGAAGTCTCAAATTCGAAAATGACCAATTTTTTCTCATGGTGTAAGAAAAGTAAGAGAAATAAAAGGAGAGAGAAAATAATTTCAGAAAAGAATAAAGGGAAGAGAAATTGGTTTTTAGAAAATTGGGAAAGGAATAAAAATAAAAATAATGAGAAGTCAAATTTTTAGAATAAGAAATAGAAATAGTATAAATAAAATTAAAGTTAAAATTAAAATATAAAACTAGTATTGGGGGTTTGAGAATTTGGAACTGATTAAAAAGATTGAAATTGATTGAAAAAGATATTGGTTTTGTGGCCAATAAAAACCACACTGCACTGTGTCAGAATATAACTTGTTGTGATAAAATACTACCATATAGATAATATCAAGTAACAACTAATCATAACCATTATTTATCCACCTTATAAGAGACTTAGTAGAATAATTATTAGTCATCACATTGGTATTAAATTTGTTATTTAATGAACAAGAAAATAATTTTGGCAGAGTTTGATTTTTTCTTTACTTTGAAATAAATAATAAATAAAATTAACTTCTTGTGTTTTAAAGTTTTTTGCTACACTTGTGTTGAGTTATAGTGTGTGGTGCAACTGGTCAGAAATCAAATTATATAATATTCTAGAGAGATGTCTCTGCACATAACTTACGTTTGCACTTTTAAATCACTAAGAACATAGGAAGTTACTAAATCACATGACTTACATTTGGTTCTTCTATATTTTAAAACAAGTACATGAATTACTCTCACACATGTAATCCACAATTGTAATTGTGTGCCCAATTGAAATTAATAATAGAGACAAGTAATCATTTAAATGTGAAGAGAATATATGAATCTAGCACATATAATCCACGATCGTAATTGTGTGCCTAATTGAAATTAATAATAGGGACAAGTAAACATTTAATTGTGAAGGGAATATCTGAATCTCGCACATATAATTCACGATCGTAATTGTGTGCTCAATTAAGATGAACAATAGGGACAAGTAGGTAAATTTAGGAATTAAATGACACACTATATAGCATTTGAATTTATACAAGAAAACTTCTGGCTATCAAGACAACTATAAAAATTTGAAAGGCTTTCAAAAATTTAGACAAACAGGTAGAATAAATGGGTAGAATAAACAGATAAAATAAACAGGTAACATAAACGGGTAGTATAAATGGGCAGAATAAACAGGTAGTATGAATGGGTAGTAAATATCTAAAATTGATAACAGTATAAATAGCACATAAGAGAATTTAGGAAGAAGTGTTAGGATAAATATTAGAAGATGAGTATATACAAATTATAAAACAAAAGAAACTAAATTACAAGAGTGATATTATTGCCACTTTGCTTTAATCAAGGTTTTCAATTTTTGCATGGATCATTTTCAATTTTTCCTTTAATACAAAATCTTTACAAGAATAAAATATTGAAATAAGCTTAGACAAACGGGGTTTTCTTTCTTTTCATAGTATGATTATTGCTTCTTAAACTGTCCCAATGGAAACAACCAGTCTATCTTATATAATATATATTATATGTATAGTTATTACTGCAAAAATTGTATAATTGTACTGGATTGAAATATATGTTGAATTGAGGGAAAAAGATAATTTCACTCAGTTTAAAGAGATGTTCCCCCCGAATGGAAACATAAGTTATATCTTTGGAAAGAAGACTTATATCATGGTGAAATACTTAGATTTACATGCCGCCTAAATTAGCTGGTATTTTTTATTCAGCTTTTAAATAAAAAAGAGATCTAGCATATATTCTCATTAAAGTTTGGTCATCATTTCTTAAATGGGGTGGTCAGTTTAAATAAAACCAATCTGCGTGAGCTAATTATATCAAAGGTTCTCCAAACTTTACTCAATTTCTATTAGCTATATATCTCGAAATTTGGGGAAACAGGTGGAGAAACAGGTTCACAATTATAATCCGGCTTTTTATTTAGTATTTTATACAATTAATTTTATTATATAATTTTTTAATTTTTGGTTTATTTGATAGAAAAAAAATGATTTCTAGATAAATATTTTGATTTCACAGTATCCTCTCCTTTTACGCATTTTGAACCCATTGGATATATCTTGCTTAATATCATTGCTCTATTTAATACCTGAACCAGACATTGAATACTAAATTGAAAGAAGAAAAGCACTGTTTAAGAGCAGCATCAACAATAATTAATGAATGCATAGAATATGATATATAATATTGCTTATAGTGTGATATACTCAATCAAAGTAATATCAATAAATACTTTGAGATAGTCAAGATTCTAAAATATCTTTTCTTATCAGTACAGATATCAAAAAAAAGCATTATGTAACTTACAAATTGTATAGCTAGCTGACTAAAATAAAGAGTGTGACTAAAAAATATATTTAAAGAAGTATTTCTACAGATTAGTAATGGAAAAAAGATAGATTGAATCAATAAAAAAACTTATCATCATACTCAATTTAGAAATGAATAGAGCTAATGAGAAAGAGTGAAAATGACAAAAGAAAATAAAGGAAAATGATAGTCAGTGAAGAGCTTTGAGGGAATATAATTCTTATCTTGGTATTTAATACTATGTATGAAAAGACGTGTAAGTGTTCTATTTATCACCTATAAAATACTGGTTTTATCCATTCAATTGGCGCCCATTTCCATCTAATTAGCATCTGTTTCCATCTAATTAGAACCCATTGACATCTGATTGGCTTCCATAGAAATTGAATTTGCGTCCATTGCCAACTGAATTTGCTCCCATTGCTATCTGAATTTGCTCCCCCCCTTTTACTATTGGCGGAAGGGTACATGGCACTCAATTTTTTTATCCTTACGCCTTACAATTTTTTTTATATAACCATAGTATTTTTTTTTGTAAACGTCGTACTTTTTTTTGTAAACGTCATACTTTTTTTTTGTAAACGTTGTATTTTTTTGGCATAAAACATAGATATTTTTATTAGGCATAATTAGTTGATAGAGAAATAGAACACATAATAAGAAGTAAGATATAATGAAATACAATGTAATAAAAAAAGAAAAGCATAAAGCAGTAAAACAAATAAAAAAAAGAGGGACATAAAGTGGTAAAAAAAAATAAGAAAAAGAGGGACATAAAGTAGTAAAAAATAAAAATAAAATAAAAAAAGACATAGAGTGTAAAGAGCTTAAATAGACATAAAAGACATACTTAAAGCTTTTGCTCTCTGTTCAAACAGCGAGGAAAGAATGAAATGGCATGGTTAATCCAACCCAAACAGTCCGAAAGGGTGACAGTCTTAGCTGATTCTGTAATCCTTAAGATGAGCCTGTCTGACTCTGTAATCTCTTCTCTGCGGACACCAAACTTGATCTTGGACCACATTTTCTCAATTGGATTCAGGAAAGGTGAATACACAGGAAGATATGCACACTTGTACCCACGGGAAGAAATAAAGTCTTTCACCTCATCAGCCTTATGGATAGGAGCATTATCCATGATGAGATAACGTCCTTGCATACCCTGGCTGTCCAGAACGTCCATTGTATGACTAAGAAAGTCGAGGTAGTGCTGGGTTCTGGTGCCAATTCGGCCGTTCACCTCAATGTTGGTGTAGATGTCCAACTTTCTCTTCTTCTTGGTTGCAACTGCAGTGGGTTTCTTCAACGAGAGGTTGACAATCCCTCTCTCGCACATTGCACCAAGGATGGTGATGGACACACCTCTCTGCATCGGGACAGTTGTCTTAGCCGGGGTGCCACTGACGGAACAGCCAAAAGTTCTCTTGATGTGCATGTTGAAGCCTGCTTCATTGATGAACACACAGTTCGACAGATAGTTGAAATCTGCAAGTTGTTGCCACTCCAAAATGCGGTCTCATCTCATCTCAATTGTGTTGACGTTGTCTCTCTTCTCAGGCAGCTTCTCCAACTTCTTCATCGTCAGGGCACACTTCTTCACCAAGTGCTTCTGGATTGCTGATTTGGTAATCTGCAGCCCAGAGAACTCTTCCATGACAGCTATCCTTGCTTGTTCCAAGGTAGCATCTGGTTTATTTTCGAAAAACTTCAAAAAAAAAGCAGAGTGCGCCTGGAACAACTTTTGGTTGCCATGTTTTCGTTCTTTAGGCGCAGAAACCTCCTCAACCTCCATCGTCTCCAGCCCATTGGACTCATCAGTCTCCACTGTGGCAGCATCAAAATCAGCCTGGATCTTCTCTCTGGCCAGCCTGACATAGTTCTGGGCAGTCCGGACATTGATCCCCGTTTCCCTGGCAGCGGCAGCAGCAGTCTGGTTTTCTGAGAAAACCAAGGAGAAGAGCTTGTTCACCTGGTTTTGGTTGTACTTTCGGTATGAACCTCGACCTATGCTTTCTGCAGTGGGAACAGAATCAGGATCGACCTTCTCCAACAGATTCGTCTTCAGCTTCTGTGCAACAATTGTCTTGGTTGTGGCCTTGTTGACTTCGGTTGGCAGGAAACTTTTGAGACTGAGGAGGTTTGTGACTGCTGGGTTTCCGGCCGAGGTACGAGTCCATTCCATATCGGCATGGTTGACAAAGACATCTGTCACAGATCGGAGTACAACTTCTCCATGCATTTCGTCAACAATCTCTTGGTTGAAATCGCACAAGGGGTTGAAAGCAATTCCAGAAAACTGGGTTTGGTCTGCAGAACCGCTGTGACTGACCATTTCACAGTGCTTGTCCATAACAAATTCGAGGGAGTTGTTGGAAGTAGGCATTTTTTTTTGAAAATAAAAAGGGTGTTAAAATCGAGGAAGAAAGATAACTGAGAAACTTTTATTAAGACACTGGGGTATATATACCAAAAAAAAAAAATTTAATAACTTAAACGTTTCTACCAAAATATAGTCTTGTCCTGTTGTCTTAATATATTTGGATAAAGAATGTGTTGAAGAATAATGAATGTTTACATATTAAGCTTCTTCACACTTTTAAGAACATTTATTTATTAGCCAATTTACAGTGCTACCAGAGCCTTTATGGTGTCCTGTCCTCTGTCTTGAAGGAAGGGGCGGGATTTCTCCTCATGGGTTTGCCCAACAAAAAAAAAATAAAAAAAAAAAATAAAAAAAAATAAAAAAAAAGAAAGTTTTTTTTTGTATAGAGCCAAGGAAAAGCTCGAAATTCAGTTATTGAGATTTTCAGTTTTTCAGAAATTTCTGCAGTTAGATACCATTTTATTTTCAGTTATTAAGATTTTCAGTTTTTCAGTTATTGAGACTTTCATTTTTTCAGTTATTGAGACTTTCAGTTTTTCAGTTTTTCAGTTTTTCAGTTTTTCAGTTTTTCAGAAATTTCTTGCAGTAAGATATCATTTTATTTTCAGTTATTGAGACTTTCAGTTTTTCAGAAATTATTTGCGAAAAAATGGTTATGTATATTATAAAAATTTATGAATAAAAATGCTAGTTATACTATTTGGAGAATTATTTTTAAAATTACTATTACATTTTTCTTTTTTTTATTTCTCTTTTTTTTTCTTTTTTTTATTTCTATTTTTTTTATTTCTTTTTTTTTATTTCTTTTTTTTCTTTTTTTTTATTTCTTTTTTTTATTTTTTTTTATTTTTTTTTTTATTTCTTTTTTTTTTATTTTTTATTTTATTTTTTATTTTTATTTTTTATTTTTTTTATTTTTTCATCTCTTTTTTTTTTCATCTCTTTTTTTATTTCTTTTTTTTGTCATGAGCTTGTGCTATTTTTTGTTACTGTTTTTGTGTGTGTAATATTTGGTTTTTTTTTGGTATTTTGTATCATGAGGGTTTCCAAAATTGAGATTGGGTAGTATTGTGAGCAAAGCATAATTCTTGGACTGCTTTCAGTTGTTTAACAGATTGTTGGACATTTACTTGTTTCAAGTACAGATTACAAAGAGTTGTTGAGTTTGATATTAAGAAGATCAGGATTCTGACATTGTAAAATGGTTGGAGCAGGTGCTGAATAAATATAGCATTTTTGGATTCTTTTTTGTAATAGTATTAGATGCTTGTGTAGGACCAGATTCATAAGAAATACAATTGCTGTGGTAGTCAATCAGATGACTGGATGTTTGGGATAAAAATTGGCAAGTTTTTGTGTGGTCGGTAGAGTGAATTCTACTGTTGGATTTCGAAAAAGTATAGTCGGTGAAATGCACTTAAAAGCATTATGAATATGTGTAGACTGGTTCCTATTGTACAGGTAGATGTTTGATCTTGTAGTTTCTTTGTAGGTGGAGGGTTGAATCGTCACGTTTTCTTTTCAGATTTATAGCTTTTGTTCAAAATACTATAGATTATTTAGAGATTAATATCAATGACTCCGAGGTATAGGCTTTATTTACATACAGAAACATAATGTGATCTGGAAATAATAAAAAAATCCATGAGGTGTAGAGCTTTAGGCAGTGTTTTCATTGTCAGAGTAATATTTAGTTGTTGAAGTGAGCATGAGAATGAGATTTATTGCTGATTTAAGAAGAGAAATAAACAGTTTTGGTATATAAACACCAAATGGAAAGAGAGAGAATTATGATATCTCTTTTAAAAAAGAATGTTTATAATAAATTTATGGCTGCGGGTAATATATTGTCCTATTTATTTTTTATCTCCTTGAGTTCAATTTGTACTACTTTATTTAGTGGACCTTGGAATATTATTTTTTGATATAAAAAGCTGAAAATATAATGACTAATACTATTTAACAACAACTCAATCTTCTTTACATCTATTCTTGCTGCTTCAACTTGTGTTCTGATTTTTATCTTGCATCTTAAGTAATTACTATTTAATTATAACTGCTATGTGCTAGATATAACTATATTTATATAAAATATGTCACTTTAACATATCTTCCTATTTCTTTATTTTTTCACCTTTTATTATCAGAAAACCCTACAATGTTACACGAAAAACTTGAAGAATATAACAGTGCCTTTGAAAAAATCATGGAAGAGCTTGAAGAGCCTGAAATGCCAGAAGATCCAAAAAGTTTTGTCCCATCAACAACAGACAAAACCCCCAAAAAAAAGTAGAGGGCAATATCAAAAGCCTACGGATAAAGATATAAAAAAGCTTCTTTATCTCTACTTCATAAGGGGATTAACTATCGAAAAAGCCAGCAAGATAGTAAATATGAAACAAACAACTGCTGGTGGCTATATTTTGAAGTGGAGAAAGTCTCCAGTTGTTTTTTTATTAAAAACAACAAGGAGGCTACAAGTGACGAAAAAATGAATCTTTTATTCGAAACTTACTCTGCAATAAAGAAAGAATACAAATAATATCATTGCATTTTCAATTTTAACATAATTATTATAATGAGATACTCGCTTTATTATCTTATAACTGCAGTAAGGTATTTAACTTTAACAAAGTAATCTGGAGAAAAGTTTGCATATTCTGTTAGTTCTCTCTATAGATATTTTCTATGACATATCTTTGTAGAAAGATCTACATATATTGAAGTGCTATTACATTAGGCGTTTGGCACTTATATAAAAATATGGCAGTTATATAAAAAAAATATGACGTTTACAAAAAAAAATACTACAGTTATATAAAAAAATACGACGTTTACAAAAAAAAATACTATGGTTATATAAAAAAAATTCGACGTTTACAAAAAAAATATGACGTTTACAAAAAAAAAATACGACGTTTACAAAAAAAAATACTATGGTTATATAAAAAAAATTGTAAGGCGTAAGGATAAAAAAATTGAGTGCCATGTACCCTTCTGCCAATAGTAAAAGGGGGGGAGCAAATTCAGATAGCAATGGGAGCAAATTCAGTTGGCAATGGACGCAAATTCAATTTCTATGGAAGCCAATCAGATGTCAATGGGTTCTAATTAGATGGAAACAGATGCTAATTAGATGGAAATGGGCGCCAATTGAATAGATAAAACCAGTAGTGTGAGAAAATATATAAAAAGAGAAAAAAGAAAAAAAAGGAATTTTTTTCTAGAGAATTCTCATAAGAAAAAATGTGGGTAGAAGAAGATTCAAATAATTAGCAATACAAGTCACTCAATGTAAGAAAAATACACTTGTAAAAAAATCAAAAAAAAGCCATACTTTTTGATATTTTCAGGATTAAAAAATAAAGTTAATAAATATTATTATTATTAAGAACAAAGACTTTTTTATTAAACTATATTCAGTTTCTCAGCTCTTCAACTTTAGGAAAGTAATGAAAATAATATATAAACTGTAGATATATATATACACCAGAGATTTATCTTCATTTTTTTGCCTCTTTACACACATGTCTAACTTTGACTTATCAAACATTTCTTCAAGCAACTTTCTCTTCACTTCAATCAGTCAAAGTGTTGCAGCCCTACCAACCCCAATTGCTTCAAGACCAAGCAATGCTCAGGAGGTTCAAGGAGACCAACAGACTCTAGTGGCAGCCAGTGAACATCTGGTTGCACTGCAAAACAAAATGGACAGCTCATCAAAGATTGTGTTAGAGGGTCCAACTAAGGAATCCATCAGGCGGATTGAAAATACAGTGTCTGATATTTTAACTTCCATGGAGATCATTAAAAAGACTATTGCAGATAGAACTTTGCCGGCAGGATCTATGCCAGCCAATAATGTGCATAGCTCTTCCAATGGTCAATTTGCACATAGAATGAGATCTTCAGATGTATCAGTAAGCTATGAAAATAAAAAGATGTCAAAATTTATTTAAAGATAATTTATAGAGAATGATAAAAGGGTACATTTGCTATCCAAAGTTCAAAGGCACAGATCCTAAAAAAATAGCAGAGAATAACAGCAGACCTGGATGGGATTTGACTTCCAATTTCCATAGTAGTTATAACTATGTGTTGGCAAAGTCTCTGCTGACTTACTTGCAAGGACAAGGGAACATACTTACCAGTGATGTATTAATGTCGAAAATGGCAGATATAGTGATGAACCACTTTAGCAACCAGCAGAAAGAGTCCAGAAAGTCAGAGGAGGAAGGCAATAAGAAGAGACAGAAAAGCAGAAGATATCAGAGAACAGCTGTTGTAAGTGTTTGTTTTGTACATACAATATGGTTTTGTATAGCATTCTCACACACACATATATATAGCTTGTTGCTTGCTAGAATGCAACATATGGGAGACACAAAGCTGCTATCAACAGAAAGTTTGGAAACGTCAATTGTAGCTTTGCCTTTCAGAAAGATGTATTTTCTGAGAGGCATTCAGACAATGAAGATAGCTTGACTATGTTCCAGCCGAGCTAGAGAAGTGATGAAGTAACAAAATATAAAAGAGATTTTATTTTAAAAGCGCACTTCATTTACTTATATAATTTATAACAATTATATAGCTTCAAAAGCTCTTCAAAACTGTAGATTTATTGAGTGGTAACAACTTTGGGGATAAGTCCAAGTTGGTTACAAAACAAACCCAAGTTGACATAAAAATAGATCTGCCATCCATGTTGACAATCCCTCTGGCTGAGTGGGCAATCAAAAAAATTAAAAAAAAATTTTTGGTATTTTTAAATTATAAACATTCTTTTAATGATTTTTCATAAATTTACAATAGCTAATGAGATTATTTATTTTCGAATTAAGCATATACTTTTCTAAGAAATGGTACAATAACCATCCTGACAACTCCTTGACACAGTGTGTTCTTTTGGTTCCACTCAGACCACGAATATCCTGCAAAGAAGTATGACGCTCTTTGCAGGATTTCCTTCAATCCTCTTGCACAAGGCGTACTCTTGTGCATTGTATTTCATCATTGGTACTGCTTTAATAGAGCTTTATAACAAAGTAGTATAGATTGTTCACATATAAAAGTCTTCAGATGAAACAATAATAAAACAGAATCCTTATCTATCTTTATTTTATTGATCAAATCCTTTATTTTACTTTTGTTTATACATTTATTTCATTGTCACTGACTTATAACAACTCTTCGCGATAGTTATAAGCATACTTCTTGTTATATTTATTCTTTTTTATACACATTTTATTACATCTCCTTACTGTTGGATAGACCCGAGCATTATCACAGTAATTCATCTCTATATCTCTATATATTTGCCTTCTGTACTTGTTGGCAACCCTATTCTCATTTATTATATTTCTGACAACGTTGCATCACACCAACTCAACACTTGTTATCCTTCTGCATTTACACATTTACCAATGACAACAGATAATATGCAATGAATGGGCAATATACAATGAAAGTCATCTGTAAAAAAAACGAAAGTCATCAATTATGACATCCTCAACTCTTGCTGCATTTTCGACTGCAGAGATGTACAACTTGACATAGACAAAAGTGTGGTGGAGTGGCTCATATGGTCTACAGTTGACGACGTTATTTATGAAGATGTATTGTATTTGATCAGTATACATCTTAATTGCGTTTGTTCTAGTTTTTTGGAATGATGCCTGGATGAAAGGTCCAGCTTTATAGACCTGGCTGAGAAGATTTATAGACAGCATATTTTGAATCATATTGTTTATAAATGGTAAATTAATGGCTGCCTCCCGATAGCCTCATAGATATATGTTGTCATATCTTAGATGGTAAAACTCAAGAAGATGGACATATTCTTATTCTTTCATAGGTTCATAGTTGCCAATTTTGAGCAGATAACAATCTTCAGATAATGGCTCATTTCATTTAATTTGATCTGTATTGTTCATAGAATTAAGGAAGTTGCTTAGATTAAAATTGTGACTAGTGTTTGTAGGTGGCATATTGATGATGATGGCAGAATGGATGAGTTCATGTAGTAACAACTTGTGCTTCTCATTTTGTATCATAGGTAAAGTTGCTCAGATTAAGTTGGCTTTGGATATATCCTCGAGATATTTCTTTAAGAGTGTGCCCTCAAAGCCGTTTTTTTGTTGGTTTTATATGATTTAACTATGCTGTTAAAATGCTCAAAGCAGAACAGCCAATAACCATATGCTGGCCCAAAGTTAAGAACCGTTTCTTTGATATGTAGGTGTAGGTACATATTTGGAGTGATGAATTGCTCTCCATACAGAGTCTGTGAATTTCTTCCAAATAGCTCCAAGCAAAAATGTGTCTCAGCAAGGTTGCTGTACGTCAAGCTTGGCATGGCTAGATACTGACAGGCATTGACAAAGCACATCCAGTTGTCAAAATGTTTTTGCAGAAGGTGATCAGACAGAACAGTGGGAGAGTAGACAAGGCACCATGACTTCCATTTATCAGCCTTTATGAAAGGAAATGTCTTAATTATCTTTTTTCTGAGAGATGTGTAGCCTATAGGAACATGAAGCTTATTGGCATTGTCTTGCATAGCTATGAGATGTGCATTAGAGATCAGACCAGTTGATATCCACTTTTCCATGATGCATTTGGTGGTTCCGACGAAGGGGTTGTACATCAGATTTATTATAGTGCACTCTACTGCATTGAAATATACAAGCTCATGGAGTTCCGATCAGCAGACATCATTCTCTCTTTCTATAATTCTTTGCTGGTTCTCATTCCTTACGTTTTTTTATGCAATAGCAAATTGTCAGTTCTCTTGCTCAGTTTGAGCCACCCAGTCAGAGAAGACAAATGCTAAATAGTTCATATCTCTGTTGTCAGGAAGGCAAGTGAACTTACAGTTGTATATATGGCATGTATTGACACTGGTGTGTGATGTAAACCCACATGTCTTGTGGGCAGCAAGAAACAGAGCAGTGCAAACATGAGTTTCTTGGGGACACTGAGCTGTAGGTATCATTACACTGTCATACAAAGTCTTAAGTTCGGCAACAAGGGGGCAGAGGTAGTGATTTATTTTACTTATCTTGGCGTCTTTAGGCCCTGGCATGAGGCCAGCAAGAATTACATTCTTCTTCTTATACCTCTCTTTTCTTGGAAGATTGTTGATTGAGAGGTAAATTGCGCCACAAGAGTAAGTAACCCCATCGAAAGATTAGAACCAGTCAATGTTGAAAGTAAGCATTATGGATCATTCATTGCATACAAACTGCTGATTCATGCTATCTTTCAGAGTATTCCATTTTGCACCATCATAGATGCCAAATAGAGTTCCTGAAACTTGCTGTCTAGATCTTCAAAGGTTAAGCAATTCCTCAAATCCAGAACGGCAGAAAAAAGTATGCAAAATGTTTGTAACTGAGCTGTATATGTACAATTTTCTTGGGTGTTGAAAACCAGCAGTGGTTCTCAAGAAAAGATTGTTTTCACAAACTGGTCCAGAAAGCTTTCAAGCATCACAACACTAAGGGACAGATGCAGACTCAAAATAAATGCTGTTGCATTCACTACATGCAACATAACAATACAAGTCTCTAGTTAACAAATTGATTCCTGTAATGGAATTGAAACCACTCAAGCTCAAGGGAAGATGGAAGGACTGTTCAAAATGTGCCAGAACCTCATTGATGAACTTTAGCAGTATGACACCACCAGAATTTACCACATATTTTGATATAAATGTGGTAACAAAAGAAGCAATGAAGGCAAGATTTGAATCTTCTAGCATATTTAATAAATAGTAGTGATCTATTTGATAATCTATTAATATACAGTAAATTTTACTTATTTTTTTATTACTGACCATCAAATTCTTGAGACTCTTTAAGTTTTTTAAAGAGGTCCAAATCAATGCTATTGTTGTTATCATTGCTTTAGTCAGTAAAGATGTTATTGTCAGCAGAAAGAGGTGAGTCATAGATTCTATGAAAGAATTGTCATATAAAAGGTTAGATATGCTATTTAATTGCATAGTCTTAATCAATTTATAGGTTTACTTTCAACACACTCTTCAGAATTCTCTTCAGAATATTCTTCAACATCATTGATTTCAATTTCAATATTCATGTATATATCATTTTTTGTATGAGATACTTCTGTAGAAATTTCTATAATATAATGTGTATTAGATTAAAATTGAAAATGAAGAGAAGTATTTTTTACATACAAGATAATCTTCTCTGGATGTAATTCTGACAATCTTTTTCTGCATGTCTTTGATATGTCTGAACAGACACATATATATAGTCTCAGACAGGGTGAGAGCAGACAGAATACTTGCATTCAATGAGATAGCTGTTGTTTCTGAGCATAGTTGGAGCTTTGGAACTTTATATAATAAAAGAAGTATAAATATTCTATAAACATACTTTTTAATGTGATATTTCTATCTCTTTAATTTCTACTATTTCATGGCATGTGTCTATAATCAATTTTGCTCTCTATAAATAAAAATTCTTGGCTTTTTATAATAGCCAAGTGTTTATTTGCCTATTTATTCTTGGAAATGCCTTAGAATTCTCTTGGGCATACCTTAAGAATGTCTTGGCAATTCTTAAAAATTCTTGGAGATGTTTTGAAAATACATTCAAAGAAAGATTTGTGTATTTTTATTGTATATCTTAAATAAGTGTCATTTTTCATAGTAAATAACCATAGAGCATATCTTTAATATACAATATTGTTAAAAAAACTTAAAATAAAGTTTATGTAATATCTATATATCTAAAATCAATCAAAATTAGCAGCATCACGTGATATACAAATTTGCCTGTAAAACATCTATTCACATCTAAAATCTAGCACTTTTACTGTAATGTGCGAGAAGTCACACAATAAGATAATAAGATAGAATGAAATATGAAGATAAAGATAATGTTTATTTGTGATAATATTTGTGATATTTATATTAATTTATAAGATGTTGCAGTATCCTAGATTCTAGCTAAGTCCTTTTGCTGTGGTATCTTGCTGAGCAATGGTTGTCTTCTTCTTCTTGGCCTTGCTCACCCAACTACTGTGGTTGGAGTAGTTGTTTCTGATTGGGTAGGATTGGAACTGAGTGCCAATTCCAATCCACTCCTGACATTACTATGTCACATGATATACCGAGATATTAACCCCTTGAATTTATTTTACAAACTATTGTCAAAAAACTTATACAACTATCAAACCAAACTCTAACTTTGAAAAAAAAACCGAAAAATAAAATGTCATCTACTCAACGTTGTTGTGCTGCTTGCCATATGCTTAGACATAGCAGAAGTACTCATAAACAATGTCTCATTAACCCAAAGAACATTTCTCTCCACATTCCTCAAAAGAGAGCTAATGTAGATGAATATCCTGCAGAAAGTAGCCGAAGTAACTATTTATTTATACACTTATGCATATTACTGCAAGTATTATATATATTTTTTAATAATAAATGTGTTTATAAAAAAATAGCTGCTGCCTTAAGAATAAGAAGTGAGCCTGTTCAAGACCAAAATTTGGACATAGAAACATCGACTTCTATTTCAGTTTCTGAGTTGACTGAATTTCCACTCGCAAATGAGACTATTACTGAAGTTCTTGAAGCAGTCATGGAAGAAGAGATTGAGGAGACTTCATCCGATGAAGAAATGACTGGAAGAGAAGAAGAAGTCAAGGAGATTTCAACTGTGAATAGAGGATCAATTTTACCCCATTGTCCTCACTGTAATGGAACTGATCATTGCCAAATTACAAGCAGATTTTGTTCAAACAATAACAGTAGCAGAGCAAGAGGATCTAGAAATCGAGGCAGAGACTTGAATAATATTGCCCGACTTCCAGCTATTTCAGAACCAGCAGTTGATAACAGTGGAGATATGGATATCGAGTGTCAATTTTGTGGGGCAATGATGTGGGCACATGAAAAAAAACAGTCGTTCTTCTTTAAGAAGCCGCACGTTCTCTATGTGTTGTAACAAAGAAAAGCATGTTCTCCCCCAAATTGAGCCAACACCTACAGGAATTGCTGAGCTTTTGAACTATAGAACACGTGATGGAAAGAAGTTTCTTGAAAACATTCGAAGCTATAATAGTACAATGAGCTTTACTTCTTTGGGAGCTAAAATTGATACCTCTGTTGGCAACAATATCAATGGGGCATACAACTTCTGGATTCACGGAACAATTTGTCATAGAATTGGATCTATTTTGCCAGTGACAGAATCTGATGTCGCTTACCTAAAATTCGCTCAGATCTATATTTATGATAGTGCTGCTCAGATAGATCAAAGACAGTACCATTCCCCACAATTGGAGAGAAGTGTTTTGGAGAAGATTCAGTCCATTCTTATGGAAACAAATCCATTCGTACATCTCTTCAGAACAATGGATCAAATTTCTTGGGAAAAGGGACAATCTATAGATCTCACTTTGTGTTTAGTAGCTGAGGGGCCTCGAGATCAAAGACGGTACAATGCTCCAACTGCAAGTGAAATAGCAGTTCTTATTATGAATAATGAAGAGAGTACTTCAAGAGACATTGTGCTGCACACCAGAGCCAACTTCCAACAGAGCATCAATGAGTACCACTGATCTTATGATGCTTTACACTATGTGCTACTCTTTCCACATAGTGAAGATGGTTGGACCATTGATGCCAGCTCATTGTCAGAAGAGCATGTCACAGTAATGCAATGGTACTCAAACTGTTTGATGTATTGACGCAACACACAGCACCTCCTCCATCTTTTTGGCCGTCTCTTTCAACAATATATTGTTGATATGTATGCCAAAGTTGAGCATGATCGGCTGCACTTCATCACCAGCAATCAAAATCGTCTCCGTGTAGATCTTTATAGTGGAATTCAGGATGCTGTTATCCATAACGATTGTAATCTTGCAAATCTTGGAAAGAGAGTTATTCTTCCATCTTCTTTTATTGGTAGCCCCCGGTATATGGCTCAACTTTATCAAGATTCAATGAGTATTGTGCGTCGTTTTGGCAAGTCTGATTTGTTCATAACTTTCACTTGCAATTCAAAGTGGCCAGAAATCACAAATTCTCTGTTGGCTGGGCAAAAAGCTAATGACAGACCAGATCTTTGTTCTCGGGCTTTCAATATGAAGCTCAAAGAGCTCATGATTGACCTTACAAAAAAAATATTCTGGGGAAAGTTTTGGCCTTTATATATGTCATTGAATTTCAAAAGCGCGGACTTCCTCATGCCCACATTCATTTGATTTTGCGACCACAAGATAAACCAAAAACAATAAAAGATTTTGACAGAATAGTTTCGGCTGAAATCCCAGATTCTGAAACTGAGCCATTGGCATATGAAACAGTAAAAAAATACTTGATGCATGGCCCATGTGGAAAGAAATATCCAAAAGCACCATGCATGAAGAATGGGATCTGTTCAAAGAATTATCCTAAAAAGCTTTGCAATGAGACTAGCAATGGTGGAAACGGATATCCTATTTATCAACGCAGTCGAAATGGAAGAGTTATTAGAAGAGGGCCAAAGATCATGGATAATGGATGGGTTGTTCCACACAATAGATACATATGTGCAAAATACAATGCTCATATAAATGTTGAGATTAGCATCTCTGTTTCTGTCATAAAATACCTCTACAAATATGTATATAAAGGACATGATCGCGCAATAACCCGTGTGCAGCCTACACCCACCAATTCTGCTCCACAACAACAACAAGAGCATGTAAATGAAGTTAATAAGTTTCTTGATGCTCAGTATGTCTCCGCTTCTGAAGCATGCTGGAGAATATTTTCTTTCAAGCTTCATCAAGAGTATCCCAGCCATCAACGACTTTCAATCCATCTGGAAAATGCCCAACCCGTATATTATAATCCATCTTCTAACTCAGAGGATGTTGCAAATTCCAGAAAAAACACTACTTTAATAGGATATTTTGACTATAATGCTACACACCCATCATCTGAAAAACTTCTTTACGTCGACTTTCCTTCTCTTTATGTATAGAATACAAAAGAACGAAAATGGACAGCACGTAAGAGTTTTGATAAAGGAACGATTGGCAGAGTTTACACAGTGTCTCCAAGAGATATTGAAAAATATTTGTTACAATTACTGCTGCATAATGTTAAAGGGGCCAAAAGCTTTGAAGACATATGTACAGTAGAAGAATGTGTGTATGAAACAAACCAAGCTGTATGTCATGCTCTGGGATTATTTTTGAATAATGATAAGTGGAGTAACTGTATGGAAGAGGCAGCAGCTCATCAGATCTCATTTTCTTTACGAAGACTCTTTGCTATTCTTTTGATTTTCTGTGCAGTATCATATCCTTTCTCTTTGTGGCTTGCTCATCGCGATTCTATGATTGAAGATTATCTTCATTTGGCAAGAGAAAGTAGTAGAATTCCTGCGTTAGCCCCCACGCAAGATATGTTTGACAGATGTTTATGGGGTATCGAAAGTCATCTATCTGCCAACTCTATGTCTCTCATGTTATTCACTGGATTTGTTCTTCTATCAATGCCTGACATCCAGCACTTTAGCCCAAATGGGCAAGATGTTCAAGCTATCATACAAGAACAAGAAGATTTATTCGATCAAGCCCAGCTTTTGCCAGATCCAGATACATTGACATTCAATAATTCACAAAGACATGTCTATACAACAGTATTAAGCGCAATTGAAGAAAACGTGGGAGCCCCAAAATTGTACTTTGTCAATGATCCAGGTGGGATGGGAAAGACATTTGTCTTTAATGCCTTGCTTCAAAAAACTCGCCAACAAGGAAAAATTGCTCTTGCAGTAGCAACAAGTGGAATTGCTGCATTGCTGTTAGACGGTGGGCGTACAGCACATTCCAGGTTTAAGATTCCAGTACAAGTTGATCTTAACTTCTTATGCTCCATCAACACAAACTTGCAAATGGGAAAACTTATTAGAAGAACAGAATTGGTTATCTGGGACGAAGCTTCTATGATTAGTAAAGATGTTTTTAATACTGTAAGCAGATCCATGCAAGATATAATGGAGGCTGTTGATCCATTGCTTGAAAATATTCCATTTGGAGGGAAGTTGTTTGTCTTTGGGGGCGATTTTCAGCAGATTCTTCCTGTTATACCCAAGGCAACAAGAGCTCAGGCTGTAAGCCAATGTATCAAGAAAGCATCTGCATAGAGAAATGTAAAAACCTTGCAGCATACAACAAACATGCGAATTGCCTAAGCAAATAATGAACAAGAAACATTAGAGCTTAGGGAATTTGGAGCATTTCTCTTGCAAGTTGGTAGTGGTTCTGCCCACACAACAGGCAGTGATGACACCATCCCAATTCCGTCTCATATGTTACTTTCTGGATGTAATCCTGCTGATCCGGCCAAAGCAGTTTTCCATGATCTCTCCTCTAATGCAGCCAACCCTCATTTTCTCATGGGCCGTGCTTTGCTTACTCCTAAGAATAAAGATGTCAAGAAACTCAATGATATTCTTCTGAGCCAGTTTCTTGGAGAGGCACGAGAGTTTAAGAGCGTTGACCAGGGAATTGATGAAGATGGTCAGTTGACATATCCAGTTGAGCTACTAAATATCATTGATCCTGGATCCCTACCACCTCACTCACTGTCCTTAAAAAAAGGATGTCCTATCATGCTTCTTCACAATCTTGACCCAAAAAATGGCCTCTGTAATAGTATATGCCTGATTTTCAACTCTTTTGGAACATCTGTCATCAGAGCAACGATTGTGACTGGATCCAATGCCAGGCAAGTATCTCTTATTCCAAGAATAAAGCTTAATCCATCTGGATCAAATGGTGAAATTGAATTCCAGCGGTTCCAATTTCCAGTTTGTCTTGCATTCGCAATGACAATAAACAAGTCACAAGGTTAAACTTCTGAGAGCATTGGATTATATCTCTCTGCCCCAGTATTCTCCAATGGCCAGCTGTATGTTGCTCTATCCCAGGTCAGAAAACCTTCTACAATCAAGATAATGCTTGATATACCAGCAAATTCCAATGAAACGGCAAATACTGTATTTACAGACAATGTTGTATTTAAGGAAGTCTTTGACATTTAGTAAAAAATTATATATAACATACATTATAAACTCATCTAACCAATTTTTTTTTGAATAATAAAACATCTATACATATCCTTTCTTTTCATATAATTCACTCAAATAAAATGTTCCTATTAATTGTGCTATACGGTACTTAGACTTCCAATAGGGAAGGGTTTTATATTTACTTCCGGTAGACTCCAGGGCCCCCCCAAAGGGAGGGAAGAGGGGGGGGGACCCCCCAAAGGGGGGGGGAGCACCGCTCCCCTAGTAAATTCTATATTTTGTCTATGAATTATTTGTTTTCTAAAAAAGATCAATTATTTTGATTTCATACCTTACAAAAGCTTGTGAAAATGTTGCAATTTATTATTTCAATCCAAAAAAGAACAGGTTTTAGCATTCATTCAATAGAATAACAGAAAAATTACATCACCGTTTAGAGTATAATATCAGTCAAAAATATGATTTTAGTCTCTTATTTCCCCTATTGCAACTGATGTTTCTGAGAGTGAAATCATATAATTTTTGTAGTGTATATTCTTGTCATTTTACTCAGGACAATTCAACAAGAAGGAAATTAGATAACAGACAGGACTTGAAATAGATAGAAGCAGATATATAGATAATAGACAAATAGACAAATGAATAAACAGACAGGCAGACAAATAGACAAATGATGAGACAGTACTTGTAGATCTTAACATTGTGCAACTTAGTATTTTTCACAGGACAATAGCTCAAGCTCAGTGATGACATTCAAAAGAAATATAGAGAAAAAACTGAACGAATTCGATTGGGATAAAAATGTTTTTCTTATATACTAATTGACAGCTATGTACAAAGTGACAATATAGATATATCTTATACTAAGTGATAATTATCCAGAAGAGTGTACAGGTCTTTGAGCATAATCACAAAAGAAAATAATAAAAAATAATAAAAAATAAAAAATAAATATCAAATTACTAAAAAACATACACTCTTGTGAAGCATACTAAAAGAGTAATATCAAGAATTATAAAGAAATAAGTACAATGCAAAGGGAAGTAATCTAAAAAAAAATCAAAGAAAAAATAGAGAAAAATGGAAAGATATTTAAAGTCTGGCAGAAATTTAAATGTTGATAGTAAGAAAAAAGAAAAAAGAGAGAGATAAAAAAATAAATCCAAGAAATCGGATTCTGTTATGTCTAGAGATGGAGTCATGACTTTGCACTATTTATAGCTTAATATTTTGTTAATAAGTTGACATTAGATCAAACAAATATATGCTTGTAGTTGGCACTAAAATATTGACAAGTGGTATATTATCACTGTTTTTGAGGGTTTGTATAGATTTATAAATGTGAGATAACATCTCTTTTTTATAAGAGAGAAAAACACAAACTCAAAAGAGAATGTAAAAGTAAAAATAATAATATCAATAAGAGAAAAATAAGAGAAAAACAGTATTATTGATCAATCTCAATAGATTTGTCTCAATATACTCAGATAATCAAAACAAGTAAAATATCAACAGCATTAAATATTAAGAGAACTTGTTATCAGAAAATAAGATAAAAAATCAATGTTTATTAAATATAAGTATTGCGATATTTATAGTTTTGCAATTGACTTGTTGAATAATTAAATAAATAAAATTATTGAAAAAATATAATAAAAGTTGTATAACTGACAATCTATTAAATGTGATTTGTTCTTTACTATCATTAAGTACAAATAAAATAAAATAATTATTAAGTTATAATCATGAAGATAGTTATGCTTGTAAGAATATATAATAAAAATAATATTAATTCCAAGTTGATTTGTTCAGTTAAATATAGTGAAAAAATAAGATTTGATGTGTGGTTCCATGAAGTTATTATTGACAGGATGATGCCTTTTTGTTGTACTTATTGGTGCTTTACTCTACAATTAAAAAAATTGCTTTCTATTCAGCCTTGGCTGCCGTCGGAAAATCAAAAAAAAAAGAGAATATAATTTTTCTAGAATTACAAAGAATTCTGCAGTCACCACACTGCCGGACAACCGAAATTTTGGTTATTGCTGCTTATAATTATAACATTTCGTGTCAAATATATCATTGCCATGATAGTATAGTGGCAGTACGTCGCGTTGTGGCCGCGCTGACCCTGGTTCGATTCCAGGTCATGGCATCTTTTTTGTTTCAACAGCTGTATATTGTCGGACATTATTTTGATGAATCCGTAAAATCTGAAGATAGTTAACCGCAGTATAATGACTATTTCTTTAATTAAATATAAATAATAACTACTGCGGATAATGCGCAGTATTAGTTTAGAAAACTATATAAGACAATTCAATTCATATCAATAAAAAGTATCTTTTATCCTCTCTTTGATTTTACGTATACTCCTTGATCCCCAGTGGGTTTGACCTTTTGACTTTGTTATAGTAAAAGGAAGACCAACCCAGATCGGGAACGACAATTGGTAGCTGAAGCTATTTTTCCTCCTAAAGACCTTTGATGAATCCTGGTGAAAGACACCAAGAAAATTTTGACAAAAAGACACTTAGCCAGTTCGAGATTGAAGAACGAGTCCAGGGCTTGTTACCCAAAGAACTAGTAAACGACTACAAGAAGAACCGGCGTGTACCACATATACCTGAAGAACAGAGACTCAAGAACACTCCTGCACGAGAACAAAAGTGGTCCGAACTTGCAAAAAAACTTGCCGCAACATTAACAGGAAAAAATAAAGAACTAGAAGAGATGGCCCCACAAACTGCCACCGTAACCGCTGAAGCAATCGCAGCCACTGTTGCAGAAGCAATGAAAACAATCACAGCACAACAGGAGTCCCGTGCCGAACGAATCAAGCAGCCTGATTGTTTCCAAGGTGAACGCTCCGCCGCAGTAGTAGATGGCTGGCTGCGCGCAGTCGAGCGTTACACCAAGTACTACAATTTCGCCCCGACCAAAGCCTGCGACTTTGCAGTAAATCTTTTGCGCGATAGAGCTGACACATGGTGGAGACGCACGGAACTCAAAACAGACCATCCCACTACTTGGGTCGAATTTAAAGCAGCCCTCACCAGAGAATTCCGCCCAGTTTATTCCCTCCAGACCTCTAGAGATCGACTAGCACGATTACACCAGACTGGGACTGTTGCTGAATATATCGATGCCTTCCAAGACATTCAATTGGAATTGCCTGGAATGAACAATGAAGAGGCACTCGATAAATTTGTCCGTGGACTACACCCGTCCATCCGTGGAAATGTCCTTGCTGCCCGCCCTGTTGATGTTGACGATGCTTGTAACATCGCCTTGGCATATGCCAGTGGTCTCCAACTCGGATACCAGAACAATTATGTGTCTGTACCACCTCCGCAACAATACCAGCAGCAGTACCAGCCACAGTACCAACAACAGCAATATCAGTACAGTGGACCCGAGCCCATGGACCTGGACGCAATCAACAACCGTCGCAGCAACTACCAGTCTCGCCCGCCTCCAAGACGCACTAATGCTACTTGCCATTGGTGTGGTGACTCCGGTCATTTCAAGAGAAATTGTAGAGACCGTCTGGCCGCAATCAAGAAGTTGGACGAGGAGCGTCTTAAGAAGCAGGGTTTTCGCGAAGCACAACCATAATGGGAGGTCGGTTGTGTACAATGGAAGAAAAATCCTCTCCACAGGCCAGTATTAGTAATGAGCCTACAGAACATTTAAGTAATAAAGAAACTTTTGACCAGTACAAAATTGTTACCAATGAAGAGAAAAAAGCCATTTCCGAAGAAAATTGTGACCCTTGTCTCACCACCGATCAACATTTTTTGGAAGACCTTCACTCTGCTGTGGACACAGATTTACCATTATATGCGGCAACACTTCACGGACAACAAATCTTGATTCTCATCGACAGTGGAGCCAGTGCAAACTATGTGTCACCCCAGATCAAACACCTTGCCACAAAAGTCTCGAATATTCCTGGGCGATCAGTTGAAACCGCTGGAGGGCATAGCATCAAAATTAACCAGAAAGCCACACTTACACTTTCTCTTAATGGTTATACTGATAGTGTTGATGCTTTTATCTTCCCCACTAAATTCGATTTGATTCTCGGTCGCACATGGTTACAGACTGCTAAACCTGTTCCTGATTGGCATCGAGATAACTGGTCTTTATATTGTGATGGCCAAGAGTTTGTCCTGCGTCCCCATGGCAACCGCCCCATGAAACCTCAACTTAATTACCTCATTTCTGCAAAGCAAGTCCAGAAACTCTCTCGGAGGGAGGAGGTAGAGTGTTTTTTGCTGCACATCAAGACTGAGAAAGAAGTAACCAATAATGAACAATGGATGAAACTAGTGAAAGAGTTTGACAATGTGTTCCAAGACGGTTTGCCAGGGTTACCACCGAGTTGAGATGTACAACATGTAATAAACACTGAAGATGCACACCCTGTAAACAAACCGCCTTTTAAGATGAGCCCCCGAGAACTTGACGAACTCAAAAAGCAACTCAAAGAACTCCTTGACCTTGGTCTCATTCGCCCTAGCTCATCTCCATGGGGTGCTCCTATATTATTTGTAAAGAAAAAGAATGGCGAAATGCGCATGTGTGTAGACTATCGTGCTCTCAACAAAGTCACAATCCGCAATAACCATCCTTTACCAAGAATTGACGAATGCCTAGAACGATTGCGTGGAGCCAACCATTTCACCAGCCTAGATCTCAAGAGTGGCTACCATCAAGTACGCATTCAAGATTCAGATGTGCCAAAAACAGCGTTTAACACCCGCTATGGTCAATACGAGTTCCTGGTCCTTCCTTTTGGTCTTACCAACGCCCCGCCAACTTTCCAACATTTGATGAACAAAGTTCTGGGAGAATGTTTAGACAACTTCGCTTTGGTCTACTTGGACAATATTCTCATATTCAGTAAAACCTCAGCAGAACACGAAGAACATGTACGACATGTCTTGAACCGTCTCTGCGAAGCCAAGCTGATTGCCAACTTTAAAAAATGTGAATTTAACAAAAAGGAACTGACATTTCTTGGTTTCAATGTGTCTGCTCAAGGTATCCTCCCGTCTCCAGATAAAGTCAAGACCATACAAGAATGGGTTCCACCCTCTAATGTTCAAGAAGTGCGCCAATTTATTGGTTTGGCACAGCATTATCGCTGTTTTATCCCAGGTTTCACTGGAATTGCTGCTCCATTAACTGATCTTACCAAAGGAACAGGACCTAAACGACGACCAATTGTATGGACTGACACTTGCCAAGACAGCTTCGACATCCTTAAGGAAAAACTCAGCACTGCACCTGTACTACTTGCACCAGATATGGACAAACCTTTCCGAATTGAGACAGATGCTTCTGATTTTGGTGTCGGTGCTGTATTGATGCAAGAAGATGAAGAAGGAGTCTGGAAACCACTGGCATTTGAATCCAAGAAACTTTCCAGTGCTGAACGTTCCTACCCAGCCCAAGAACGTGAACTTTTAGGAATACTGCACGCACTACATACCTGGTGCTGTATGATTGAAGGGAAACCATTTACTGTTTTTACTGACCACCTGCCTCTCAAGTACTTTCGTAGCCAAGTTAAACCAACCCCTCGATTAATAAGATGGATTTCCGAATTCGAGTTGTACGACCCCATTATTCAATACAAACCTGGCAAAGACAACGGTGTCCCGGATGTACTTTCTCGAATGGACGGTCCCGAATTTGATGCATCTACAATTGAGTCTATGGAGCCAGAGTATCTGTACACCATGCCCAAATCACAGACTTCAGATTGGCCCAAATATTATGCTCGCACAGAAGATGAGTGGCCAGACGACATAAAAGAGTTGCTACACAGACAACGCAAGAAATTCGTGGTTCATGATCAGAAGGTTTTCTGCTTGGTTAAGATTGGTGACACATTTCAAGAAATCTGTTTTGCTCTGTTTACCAAGCGTGCCGATCTGGTAAACAATTTCCACAATGGGTTTGGACATGCTGGTGAGACAACAGTTTATGACTTGATGAAGAAACGTTGGTGGTGGCCAGAAATGCGAACACAGATCCAAGAATGGCTTGCAAAGTGCCCCCAGTGTCAATTAGTGTCCAATGCCAAGCGAAATATCCACCATGCACCCATGGAACCCCTAGATATTCCCCCTCCATTTTCCCGCTGGCATCTAGGTTTCATTGGAGAGCTCCCAACAACTGTAAATGGTAACCGATGGATTCTCATTGCAGTAGATTACGCCACCAATTGGCCAATTGCACGTGCTGTACCTGCTGCTATGGGTGAAGCAATAGCCAATTTCATGTATGAAGAAATTGTAATGGGTTTTGGTTGTCCCAACGAGATCCTCACTGACCGCGGCGCCAATTTCATGTCACACATCCTCAGCTTTTACATTAAAAAGATTAAATTACACCACAAGTTAACATCAGCATTTCACCCTCGAACCAACGGAAAATGTGAACGTTTAAATGGTATTTTAAAACAGATGCTACGAAAATATGTACATGGCGCTATTCATCGCTGGGACGAATATTTGGAAACTGCACTCTGGGCCTGCCGAATTAGGAAACACCGAACAACTGGTTTCAGTCCGTTCTTCCTGACCTATGGCCGTGAACCTCGTATTCCGGGTGATCCTCTATGCCCATTCATGGATACCGCTATTCCTGATGATCCTTCTCTTGTCTCTGATGGTGCTATCCCTTTTCTCCGCAATCTGCAACAAGCCCGCATTAATGCTGATGCTCGAGTAGCCACCAATAGCCAACAAGACAAGGAACGATGGGATTCTATTATGAAACCGCACCAATTTGCAATCGGTGAACATTTATTGCTCCGACATGAAAACAAATTTGGCTTAGAATATAACTGGATGGGACCATACATAGTTATAGACAAGAATGTAGATAAAAATATATACAAGCTCACAACTATGGAAGGTGTCCCTTATACTTCCTGGGTTCACGCCGATCGTTTAAAAATTGCAAAATCCGATGATTTTGACCGTACCTGGTATCACCCAACCCCTGCCCGTGCCCAAATGTGCCGCGATTTAGCCTTGGACTCTTCTTCTGCCCTACCGTTTTCCCTTGTGGATTCTTCTGGGGTTGATCGAGGACTATCAACAGTTTTGGGAGGGGGTGATGTTGGACATTATTTTGATGAATCCGTAAAATCTGAAGATAGTTAACCGCAGTACTTCTTTATGCGCAGTAATATCTTCCTGAGCATTAACCGCAGTATAATGACTATTTCTTTAATTAAATATAAATAATAACTACTGCGGATAATGCGCAGTATTAGTTTAGAAAACTATATAAGACAATTCAATTCATATCAATAAAAAGTATCTTTTATCCTCTCTTTGATTTTACGTATACTCCTTGATCCCCAGTGGGTTTGACCTTTTGACTTTGTTATAGTAAAAGGAAGACCAACCCAGATCGGGAACGACAATATTGTGTCGGACATTATTTTGAAGAATCTGTCAGAGTTGACATCGGTGAACAAAATTGGTAGTTATAGCAACCAGTAAGAGTTGACTTTTTAGGATAAAAGATCTTGACTTTGCCAATTGGTCTTTTATATATGTTTTAGATGTTTAAGATGGTGAATATACTTATAGAAGATATTACTGGACAACAGGCATCTAAGACATATTATTGTAGCTATTCTTTTAGCCAGAAATCAATTATCATTTTGTATAAATAGTCAAGAGATATATTTAATAAAAAGCATCTTTATTCTTATCTAAAAACTATTCATAAACATGACGATCCCCAGTGGTATTGATTCTGCGACTTAGTTACAAGTGCCAGAAAAGAAATACTAGATTGAGACTTGACAAATCCATAAAATCTGAAGATAGTTAACCACAGTACTTCTTTATGCGCAGTAATATCTTCCTGAGCATTAACTACAGTATAATGACTATTTCTTTAATTAAATATAAATAATAACTACTGTGGATAATGCGCAGTATTAGTTTAGAAAACTATATAAGACAATTCAATTCATATTAATAAAAGGTATCTTTTATCCTCTCTTTGATTTTACATATACTCCTTGATCCCCAGTGGGTTTGACCTTTTGACTTTGTTATAGTAAAAGGAAGACCAACCCAGATCGGGAACAACAATTGTATGTTGTATTGTCTTGTCTCAATTTAATATTTTTTTCTGGCATTTGTAACTTAGTCGCAGAATCAATACCACTGAGGATCATCAAGCTGATGAATAGTTTTTAGATAGAATTAAAGATGCTTTTTATTAAATATATTTTTTGACTATTTATACAAAATAATAATTGATTTCTAGCTAAAAGAATAGCTAGAATAATATATCTTATACTGCAAAAATCATTGAGAATTATTATAATAGGGTGTTTCAGCAGTTTTAAATGTTTAGATTTTACTTTTGCGGTGATTTAATTTATTAAACAATTGGATATCAATAATCTAAATTTGAGATATATTCAATCTATAAACAACTAGGCACTACTGTTAGTTGTTTATAGATTGAGGTTTAGAGATTGCGGAATTTAATTTTTTTAACAAACAAATTTAAGTGTAATTGATTATATTCTTTATGTTTTCTCCGTTTCTTCTCTATGTTTTCTTTTAACAACTTGACCTCTTATTCAGAATGCCTACATTAAATGATAGACAGATTATTCTCAGAGATCTGAAAGAGAACATTCTCAAAAAGCTTATCAAAAGACAGCTTTCTCTGAATATATCCATATTAAATATTGTTAAGGACATCCCTGAACTTTTAATGTATCAGATTGTGCTTGAAAACATATACCTTTCCCCAAAACTCCATATTCCACATGCTCCAAGCAGAATAGACTGGCTTCTATATCAATTAGATGATGACCAATTCAGATAGGAATTCCACATGAATAAAGACTCCTTCCATATAATACTTAGAATGATAAAGAACCATTGGGTTTTCAAAAGTGATCCCCACAAGAAGCAGGCAGAACCAATGATTCAGTTGATGGTGGCCTTAGAGCGGCTAGGTACACATGGAAATGACGCTTCTGTGGGTTGCACTGCACAATCAATGTGTATCAGTAGTAACTTTTACTGTTTTTCAACTATTATATGCAGTGTACATACCTTGATACTTATATATATCTCATTGCATAGAAGGATCAGTTTGCCACTATACAGAAAGATTTCTCACCGCCATAATGTCATTAGAGACTAGCACTGTGGTTTGGCCTGATCAGTTAGACCGTAGCAGTATCAGTAGAAGAATTGAAGAGACAACATGCTTCCCTTCTTGCCTGGGCTTTGTAGATGGAATCTTGATTGGCCTAGAATATAAGCCAATCTGGAAAGGAGAGGACTTTTACAGTCAAAAGTCTTGTTACTGTATTTCAGCAACCATTATATGTGATGACAAAAAGGTTATAAGATATTGTCCTACTGAATGGCCAGGGTGCTCTCATGATGCTTGTGTATTTGCAAATACACATATGGCAAGAAATCCTGGCCAATATTTTTATGGGGATCAATACCTGTTGGAGGATTCAGCATATGCACCAAGTCGTATCATTATACCTACCTACAAGAGGCCACAAAATGGATTGATATCAGCAGAAAACAAGCAATTTAACTACAAGCATGCCAATGCACGGGTCAAGATTGAACATTGCATTGGTATTCTGAAAGGGAGATTCCAATCCTTGAAAAGCTTACAGATCTTTGAAAAACAAATACAATGTGGCTAAGATTGGGATATGGATTAGATGTTGCTGTATCCTACACAACCTTTTATTGAAACGTAGTGATACCAACCTCCGGGGACTTTCCTATGATGATACTAATGAGAATGATAGTGAGAATGAGGATGAGAATGATAATGAGTATAGAGAAAACTTATATCAAGTAGAATTGGATAAAGATAAGAGGGAAAGAATAAAGCACATTATCTTGGAACAATAAACCTCAAATGCATTTTTACTCTTATATATCTTGATTGCCTAGTATATAATATGTTTTATTAAAGTTTTATATCCAACTTTTTCAATATATACTCTTTGAAAAGTCCTAAACTCTCCAACTTAGCAATGTATTGAAGCTTGCTTTGAATACAATCATTCTTTAACTGCTTTGCTTCATTCTCTACCTGCTTTGCTTCATTCTCTACCCGCTTTGCTTCAATGTTCAGCCGCCTCTTCTCCATTATCATTCTGTCTTCATGCGCAATCTCCTGGTGGCGAAGCTGTCTTTCATTAACTTTGGCTTCAGATTCAAACTTCTTCTGTATCAGCTCGACGTGAATATGATTCAGCTTGACAGACTCTTCTACAATCTCTGAGATGCTTGCATCAATCGTTTGTCTGGCCCACTTGGAAGGTTTTTGGGAACCGGAAGACGTGGCAGACAGATGATAAACTGGAAGTGTTTTGTCCAATTGTTTATCATCTTGAACTTCTGCGTCAAATTCTACTTTATCTTCAGCTTCAACTTCTTCATGACTACGAGCCTCTTTGTACACCCCAGAGACATCAATTGGGTCACCACTTGTCATTGGAAATGGTGGGTTAACTGATGGTCTGTGAAGCATTACACACTTAAGGTCATAGTAGTAAGTGCATTTTTGCTTTACTTTCTCTAACAACCATAATAAAGATTTATTATTTATTAGGAGCCATTCTTTTATTGATATATAAATTGAGCATACAAGTATACCTTCAAGTGTCTTTGCAGCTTCCTCTGGAGTTTTGCAACTCTCATTAATATCATTCAGAATGCCTTGCCCAGTTCCATTTAGAAAGTCGGTGACATCCTTAAACTTATCATGCAAGTACTGAATCTTGCTGCAAATATCACCATTACTCCAGTTGGTAATATCATTCTCGACCATGATTTCTCTGATTTCCGAGCAAAGAACCTCTTTTGTTTTCCCACTAGAATCACCACCTTTCCAGCGAGAGTAGTTGCTTACATCAGTAAGCCAATTAATGAGAATCTGGATGGATGATGGCTTATCACCATTATCATTATCCCAGCGTTTGAATGTTCTTCTTCTGGAAATGACTACATAATCTTATATGAGTACATTATGTATTTGTAAAGACATATACTTTATATATATAGACATACAGTTCTTGGTGCTCATATTTTAAATTAGAAATGTAAGGGTAAGAAAGATGTATTTTACAGTTACGTTTATTAATTTATTTAAATTAAGATTTCATATAGAATATATTTATTTAATAATATAGCATCTGAAAGTAATGTTAAATCTCGATTTCTACATCTGTAGATGCTTTCATCTATAGATATCTTCATCTAAAATATTCTAATATAGTAAGTCTATATTATATGTAACTGTTAAGGGCACTCAATTGATTTTTTAGATATTAGATGTCATTGGTCATTGTATTAAATCACCGCAAAAGTAAAATCTAAACATCTAAAACTGCTGAAACACTCTAATAATAGGTCTTGATTATTGGGATATTTTGTCACATAAAAATGAATTACTTGTAAATATTAAGGAAATCGTAGTTGACAAGTTATTGAATAAAGTGTCAAAAATAATTGAATATTATATTATTCCAAAAATAAAAACCGGGAGTTTAAGTGTAATGTCTGTGTATCAACTGTTCTCGGGGATCAATTATATAGACTATTTCAAATGCAGAACAATGTATTATCTACCACTGATAACACCTGTAATTTGATGTAGACCTTGTTTTTGTAATAACAGGCATAATAACAGAGCACTTCTTTAATGTTTATTGGCTAAATGAATCAAAGAAAAAATTCTCATAGGTGCAAATGCTAAGCACGAGTCTCTCAATTGGATATTGTTTTGTTTTGAAAAATGGTTTTTTTATTTGTTTTTATTTTGAATAAAAAAAGCTTTTTTTTGGCAATAATAAAAAGTCTATATAGTATTACTATTTAATACACTAATCTGTTATATTGTACTTCTTATAAATTTTGTTTTAGAATTTTTTGAATTAATAAACTTGGGTAGTGAGTATATATGCTTACTGAAGCTATTTGATTAAAGGGAGTAGAAAAATACTTATATACTGTTAGAGTAATTTGTTAATAATGGAATAAAACACAGATTTACATTATCAAAAGCTATGAGCCAATATGTCATTCAAGTATATATTACAAAGAAAGGAATATAAAACATATACATACATATTTACTAAAGGAACTTGTCTTATCCTTGAGTACCAGTCATATAAGAATGTGAAGAACGATTTCAACTATAAAAAAAAGAGAGTGAGAATGCTGATATAAAAAAACAAAACAAAATAAAAACAACACAATAATAAAATAAATAACACATACCCTTATATTCTTTAAATGACTTGTTTTTACTGACCATATGTAAAGTAAGGGTGAGCTATATTTAAAGTAGATGTTAGATATTGTTTTTAATACTGGGAAAAAACTGCTTATATAGATATATACATACATGTCACTAATATGTTTTTGTTTTTTTGTCTGCACTGGTTATATCAGAGAAATATATGTAATGTCTATTTAAAGTAATTTATAGTTAGTAAAATAATGATATATTTAATGGTAAAGTACCTCTTGTATAATGAAAGACACCTGCATCATATGTATATATTAAAGGTGCCTAAAGTGAAACATAGTAGGATTAAAAGAGTGTTATTTTTATTAATATTATTAAAGAGTAGAGAAAAACAGAAAAAGATGGGAAAATAAAAAACAGTGTTTGAAAAAGCCATAGACTCTGAAAAAGTTATTAGACTGTTTCTCTTACTTTAAAAAAAATGTCTACTAATTATAGCTTTATATGTTTCATAAAACAATTGTTACTTACTATATACCTAAAGAGGTTGTTTTCTAGCTCAATTTTTTTCAAAATATATATTTCGATCTTCTCAATCATTTAAAAGATGTATTTACACACTCATGTACTTGCTCAACTTGCTCGCTTAATCATTAACATAATTGTTCAATCACTCAATTACTCTAAAATTCTTTACATGTAAACTACTCTCTTAAAAATTTATTAAAATAGAAATATCAAGCAATATATACCAGAAACTTATAATTTTATTATATAAAAATACAGATAATGGCTCCAAGAACTAACATCAACCAGAACGCACGTACCAATGAATCAGCATCTAGGCCATTAATCAATGCAGTCAACACTAGCCGTATAGGATTGTCTAATCCAATGATTGCTTCTAGACCAGACAATATGTCAATTCCAGTGTCAGAGTTTAATGATGTAGTCAGTCTTCTTGCTACACTCAATGCCAAAATGACAGCTGTTAGTTCCGATGTTAGTGAATTGAAAGGTAATTAAACACAAACTATATTGTTTTCTAATAGACTAATTATTGGAACAGTACAATGCCAGATGGGTGCTCAATCGACTGACATGCAAGCTGTTCTGGATTCTGATATGGATTCTCAGGACATCATAAGCAGCTCAAGACACCCAAAGATTTCAGTAAGCTCAAATACTAAAATTGTAAAAAAAATCTCCCTTTAAATCTAACATCAATATATCTTTAATAGAGTATTATTTGGGGGCGGTTAAGAAATATTAATCTCAAAATGGATGATTTGGAGTTGATTAGAGAGAATAATGATAAACCAACTTGGGATGTCAATATTGGTTTGTCTGACGAGTTTAATAAGAATCTTGTAAGTGATTTGATGCTTTACATTCATCATCAACCTGTAGCAGCCATGATACCACCAAAAAAGCTATGTGGTATTATTGTAAACAGCTATTACAATTGCTTGGCTGCCAGTAAGCTTACTGAAGAAGACATACAGACAAACACTACCTCAAACAGAAGAGAAAATAGAAAGACTGCTGTAAATATTTCTATTTATAATAATTCAATTTTGACAAGTACACTTAATATATTATATATATATTGTAGCTTAATAAAAGGAGAAAAAGAACATACACAAAGCATAACTATGCAGTTACCAAAAAGTTTAATCGGGATTACAATGACGTTTTTTATAGAGACACAAAGTCTGGTGATGAGACAGAAACCAACACTTCTGTTGTTGCATCTCGTCCTGATTGGTATAGTGATGAGGTAATGTTTTATATAAAATGGTTTTTTCTGTTGTTTGATTTCTGATGTATATATATATTTATAGTTGAATGCCATGTTTGACTTTCTTGACAATCTTGCCAGAGATGACTTGGGAAAAAGAGCAACACAGTTGAAGTCGCGGAGTCATGTGTTGGTACACAAGACAATTCCTTGTGGCTTGGTTACAAAAATGCCTGCGTGGTCAAAACGCGTATAATAAAATTTCTGTCTTTTTAGTTGCATTCTTTACCACATCTCTTTTTATGTCTATGAACTCTGTCTTATATTATTATTATTTAAAAAAAAGATAGAGTATTTTATTAAGCGTACAGCTTTCTTGGCAGAGGAATAACAATGACTTTTGCTGCACCACTACCAGACACATGACTTCCAATTGCAATTGGTGACAATATGCGGTAGACAGGCAGAATGTTGTCATAGTCATATTTTAAAAGCGTTGCGTCATACAACTCAATACCTTAATTAATTCTTGGCTGATGGCAAGGGATTTGGTACCATTCAACAAAAGCAAATATATGTTTGGGATTGTCACAAGCATGGAAGTTGGTGTAGATAGGATTGGGTGTAAAATTGTATGTAAAAAGATACTTGATATGACCAGCGTATATCCCTTTACTATTATTGTTGGTCTCCATATACTTGGCCTGTATATAGGACCCTCTCATGATCAAGCCTTCACCGCCTTTATAGACTTGTCCAAGAAGATTGATAGATGCAATCTTTTGAATTCTGTCATTGACAAATATTCTGTGCCTTAGCATAGTTTTTGCACTACACAGAGTCTCATCATCATACTCAATCTTGTAGAACTTTAAAAGACAGTCGTATTCTGCTTTTCTTATTGTTGTTGCTTCTTTTAAAGCCAGTGGCAAGGCGGAAGGTGGAAGAGGCTTGTTACCAAATGTTTGTTGTTCTGGATTGGTGGCGGATTCCAGGAATGATGGAAGATGAAAGAATTATGGCAAGTTTTGATGATTGCCAGATGGAATTGTGCTGGTTATACAGTTGGTAAGTTTGCTGAAGAGAGAAATGTAAGAGGGGTTGGTAATGGTGCTGAGATGTGTGTGATAGAAATCACCCTTGGAAGAGTTCTTAATGAACTTCTTCATGTATGTTTTCTCAAAGCCGCTCTTTTGATTTGTCTGGAATCCTTTCAAGACACCATTGAAGCACTCAAAACTAAACAACCAAAAACTGTAGATTGGTCCAAAATCCTGAATCGATTCTTTCAAATGAAGATAAAGATGCATGTTTGGCAACAGTAAGTCAAGCTTATACATTGTTTCACAACCACAGCAGAATTTTCTCAAACTGACATGGGCTTTAGCAATCTCTTCTTCAGTAATGGCTGGCTTTGTGAGTACCCTACATGCATCAACAAAATGAATCCAGTTTACAAGAAGATTACTTGGCAGGCGCGTCTTCAGCAGAACAGGAGAGTATACCAGACATCAGGATTTCCATTCATCCACCTTCATAAATGAAAATCCTTTTCCGATCTTTGTTTGGAAAATTGTATACCCCATTGGGAGTGTCATTGAATCAGCTTCCTTCTGCATCTCTGCAAGATCATTATTGTCAAGCAAGCCACATGCGATCCAATTGTCCATCATGCGCTTTGCCATCCCAAGGAAAAGATTGTGCATGGGATCGATTACTGTTGCACGCACTGGTTCAAAATACATGAGTCAGTGGAGCTGGGACCAACAAACGCCATTCTCAACCTCCAGTTGCTTTCTTTCTGCTAGTGTTCTGGCATTCTTCCACATTATGACATGCTCAATATTCTCTTCCTTGGTTCTGCTTACCCAGTCGGAAAACTTAAACCCAGAGTAGTTAACAATAGTGGATCCATCAATGCGTTTGAAATGGCGGTTGCATTTATTACACACACATGTGCTATTGTGGGAGGTGAACCCACACGTTTTTCTTGTAGTTGGTATATTGCAAGCAACTATCAGCAAAGCAGCATGAATAAGAGCACCAGGGCAGTCATAGGTATTTACTGTTATACCCTTGTAGAGAACTATGAGCTCGTCAACAAGAGGACGCAAATAGTTACTGATCTCCTCAGTACTTGCTTCTTTGGGTCCAGGCATTAACCCCACAAGGATAACATTTTTGACATTGTTGCGCTCTTCTCTTGACAGATTGTTTACTGTGAGATATATGGCACTGCAAGAATATGTCACCCCATCAAAGGGCTGGAACTAATCAATATTTAATGTCAAGATCAATGAACATTCCTTTGCAACAAACTGGGCACCTTCATCATCAACAAACTCTTTCCACATTTTCCCATCGTAAACATCAAATAAAGTGCCATCAACCTTTGGCTTGCGATTCAACTGATTGATATTCTTTTTGAAAGAAGGACACATGAACAATTTCTTCAAGGAAGCTGTCAACGAGTTGTAGATGAACATATGCTTAGAAATCATTGTATTTCTTATACTGTGCTTGTAAAGATTGTTTCCGCAAAAGGTCTTGCTGCCGACTCTTCTAAAATTGCAATATGTTTGTGTGGTGTTGCTGTAGTCATACAAGGTGTGGCAATCGCTGCATGCTACGTAATTGGACACCCCATTCATCAAGTCATTGTATCATGTAATTTTCTTCAGATCAGGAATAATTATAGGAAGTCGGAAATCCTCTCTGTAATATTCAAGTATTGTATTGATGAACGTGATCAAGATCACAGCGCCATCATCCACAATGAAAGTCGAAATAAACATCACAGTGAAAATGGCAATTACTCTATGCCAAGGATTTTCTGGGAGGTTTGCTGTAGACTCTATAGATTATCATGATATAGTATTAATTTTTGTTCTCTTGGTTTGATCCAGGTTAATTCATTTTAATTATCATTTATTTTTAATAATTACCCTGTTCTTCCTCTCTGTCTTGCTCTTCTGGCTCAATTTCATCCGACAATTCATATTCAGACTCATACTCTGAAGTATACTTCTCTGTTTCAAAAAGAGATTCTTCTACCAAAAGAGGTAAGTAGGTATGGACATACTGCTCTGGTGAGGATGCACCAACAGAGTAATTGTCATCTATTGGTACTGAGTTTAAATAGAGTGCGCATTAGTTATAAAAAATAAAATACTATTACCTTCAACATATTCTTCAATTTGATCTACGTCCATATCAGTTTTGAAAGTCTATATTTTCTGGTAAATGATAAAATATTAACCGAAATGGTGACTGCCAATCCTTTTCTTTGTTTTTGAATTGTTTATTTGAAACAGATATTCTATATCTATTAAATTACACATTTTATTAAAATACATACTCTCACCAAATATGTCAATCAACAACACTCAATCTAACAAAACCATTTACACTTTGGCAACAATCTCCCAAGCCTTGGAATGCTCTTCTGTTCCAGGAGTGATGACACTTAGATTAGAAAATATTATTAGAGTAAAAACATCTGAGTGGAAAGAATGTTTAACAGAGATTGGGGAAGCTTGTACAGTCAAGTAGGTCATTTGCAACACCAATAAGCAACCCACCAACATTACTGCTGAAGAAGCCAAAGCAACTGGTATTAAGTTGTGTTTTTCTCAGGAGTATTCCTGTCATCGTTGGGGAACCTATGAATCTAAGGCAGCTTTGCGTGTGGTTCAAAAGCAAACAAAGAAAAACAAGTGTCCTGCTCTTCTTTGTGTGAAAGGATTCCTTAAGACACCCGAGTTTTATGAATTTGTTGTTACAAAAGATCATGTAGAGCATACTCCTGGTAATATGCATAGTGACATTTGCATCCTTCCTCTTGCAAAGAAATATCTTCACGAGTTGGCTCAACAATTAGAACAGTCGTCAAAATCTGCTAGTCAAATTAGAATTGATATGTTGAGAGCTGTAGATCAATATGATAGAAAGTCTGAAAGAAAAGTTAATTATTATGATATCTGGAATTTGATGAACAAAGTAAGCTTTAAAAATAATATATCTTATAGCATTTACTTTAATATATTTCTGTAATAGATCAATAAAAAGCTGTATCATTTTGACAAAGACCAAATGACTTCTTTCTTAATCTGGATGAACAACAAACTTCCTGCCTTAAACTTCAACATCTTTAAGGCAAACACTTCATATTCTCCAGATATATCAGCCTTTGCATATGGTTTTATGTCACTTGTTCAGCAAGAAAAAATGAAAACCACAACTTCTTTTTGTTTGGATGCTACTCATGCAATCTCTAGCAACGTGAATAAGATTCTTTATACTCTTTTGGTGCATGATGAAGATATTGGTAGAGGATGACCTGTTGCCTTTATGGTAACCAATGATCGAGATGTAAGCCCCATTGTGCAGTAGCTGCAGTTTTTGAAGAGATCTTCTTTGCTTGTTGACCCAAAGCAAATTACTATTGATTGTTGTGCAGCAGAAGTTCATGCCATTCAGACAACTTTCCCTGCAACATCCATTCAATTTTGCATCTTTCATATAACTCAAGCATGGAACCGAAAGTTATCTGACAGTGTGAAGATTCCTGCATCCTTACCATCAGAGACACAAATTTTACATGGTGTGATGATGAAGTCTCTGCAAGAGATCATTTATGAAGAAGACATAGACGAGTTTCATCATAAAATTATACAGTTTAAAGAAGACTTTGATGACCAAGAAAGCTTCTTGGATTACTTTGAGAGAAACTGGTGCACAGAAGCAAAGTTTAAGATCTGGAGTAGAGCATACCATGAATGACAATTCTCCCATATGCTCACAAATAACTATATCGAGTTCTGGCACAATTAATTAAAAACAGTTTTCATGAAAAGATCTAGAAACAAGAGACTTGATAAGCTTGTTTTTGTTTTAGTACATGATGTTGAGTATTATCTTACCCAAGAATATGAACATGTTATGTCAAACAATGGTCCAATGAGTTCTTTTACTAGACAACAAAGAATACGTGAGATGGAAGCTAAAGAAGTTGATGATGATGACAGGAAAATGATGATTGTTGCTTCTGGTACTGCAGAAGATGTAAATTGGCAAGTTCAGTCATTTGTAAATGAAAATACAGCATATGTTGTTCAGGTTGAAAAGCCAAACTTGATTATTTCGTGCACCTGCTTTGATTATCAGCGAAGATATAAACCTTGTAAGCATATGTATTTGCTTAAAATGCATACAAACCGATCTCTCTACTTCTCTCCACCTTCTGTCACAAGTACAAACGTAATACAGCCAGTCTCTACCTCTGAAACAGTCACAATCACACCAACTATCAGTCGTACATCTGCTTTTATACAGCAATGTATTGACATCAATCAAACACTTCAGTATGCAAACCAAGATCTACTGACTATGCAACAGTATATGACTGAAGATAATGGTCAGACTTTGTTTGATGTATATCAACGCTCTCTACAAGTCTTTCAGTCTATAAAAAACAAATATGACGTTCATCTTCGCAGATCTCATACACAAGAATAGAATTATAACTATCTAGCTTTTTTCTCAAAGAAATGTTTTGTAAATTGAAACAACTTTCAAAACGACTTAGTAAATTATCGCATTTTTTATTTTCTGGTAGTTGTATTTTTTGTCTTATTTTCTGGTAGATAAGCCTCAATTTTGGTTAATACTTTACCATCTACCAGAAAATATAGACGTTCTCTTTTAGCCAGGCTGGGATTTTAATTTTTGCTATTTCTTACAGTGAATACACTCTTTCCAGAAATTATTGGTACAAAAATAAAAATAAATTTGATGCAAAAATAAAAAATTATTTAGTGCAAAAATAAAGATGAAATTTGGTGCAATTTTTATCATTTCTCTGCTTAATTCATCTTTTTTAGTGCATTTGATGCATTTGGTGCATTCCATTTTTATATCAAATAATTTTTTATTTTGCACCAAATTTGTTTTTATTTTTGGGCCAATAATTTTTGGATATAGTGTACTGTAATAACTCTGCGGAGTTATGTAGAGATATAAGGCTAGTTTTAGGCAACTAGGCTTGGGAGACGAAGATTATGAACTTAAGAAAGATGGTCTTTTATTGATAGCAATTGAGCAAGTATTTATACTAAATATTGAGAGATAGAGAAAGCTAGAGGTAGAACATGTTGTGGTATATGTAAGCTTATGCATACTACAACAGCACAAGACAGAGCCAGAGACAGACACAGAGACAGAGACAGAAACAGAAGGACACAGAGAAATGATCCATGCATTGAGAGATGCAGACAGTAAAAACACCAGAGTACTAGTTACAGCTGAGATATGGGTGGGATTATTCTTAGACACAACAGTATTATAAATCCTATTAGAAAACAGTAGTCACTCATAGCAGCATTAGAAATATCACTAAATAATGTGTGGTATAAGAAAAAAACTTGTTTGATATAGTGATAGTGATAAAATTGCTGTCAACCATCTATATCACTATATTGAGTTTTGACTGTATATTAATTATGAATAAAATATGTAGTAAATAAAATAATATCTGGTCAGTAAAATTTGTATATACAGTGATCCCTTGATAATTTCAAGGCCTAGGGAAAGCCAGGTGCCTTGAAATTATCGAAGAGTGAAATTAACGAGTTTGGAGTATATATTTTCCACCAACTATGGGCGGAGTTTACATTATTCTTTAATAGAAAAAATATATATCAAGTAATGATTTGATATGCTTCAATCCTCTGTTTAAATTCATTCTAGTTAAATATAACCTCTGGCTGCATTACTGTTTTTCATCCCCCCTGTCTTGTAACTAATTATTGTTTCAAATTCTTATTCAATCAAATAATAACAGCTTTTTGGTATGCTTTTAGCTTATTATATAATACTTATCTAATATAATTTTCAATTTTTTTTGATACTTTAATGAAATCTATCAAATCCAGAACTAAACAATAAAAATGAGCAAAAAAAACATTTCACTTAATATTGCAAATCACCTTGAGATTTGTGATATGAAAAAGAAAAAGCCATCTATGAGTAACCCCCAACTGGCTGAATGGGCAAAGGAAATCTTTGGCCTTCAAAAAGCTCCTGATGCTTCTACAATATCAAAGATTTTAAAGAGAGGAGACCAGGGCTTGATAATGCAAGCTGACATAAAAAACAGAAAGTGCATTAGAAAGGGAAAATGGCCTGTATGTAATACAGACTTCTGACAGAATATTTGATCATTTTTGACTCCCGCCAAGACTCTTCAACTTATATTGTAGCTTTAAATTTCTGATAAAAGATAGTAAAGTTCTATAAATCTCTGGTACTCTCACAGATAACTGTATAAGATGTAATAGATAAATTGAAAAAAAAATTGAAAAAGCTTTAATAAGAGATTGATCTAAATTTACACATCTTAAGTTCAGATAGACGATTTTGCATATTAAGGCAAAACGTCATACAAGTCTCTATGCTAATTGCTTTCCACGTTTCTTGCAAAGCATTTTCCAATTGTTGCAATGTGGTAGGCTGAGGTCGTCTTGCACGGATTTTGTTATCAAGAAGACCACAGATATTTTCAATTGGACTTAAGTCCAGACTGTTAGGAGGCCACTCCAAAATCTTCAATTCAAGGTCTTTCTTGAACTTTTCTGCCAAGGTAGCCTTATGATAACTCGCATTATCTTCTTGATAAAGATAGTCTCCCTTTTCTACATTAGGAAGACTTTGGTAGAAGGGCATGAATTCCTTCTCCAGAACTTCATTGTACAATGGGGCATTCATGTTACCCTTAAGCATAACCAGTTGTCCAACTCCTCCAGACCAAATACATCCCCAAAGCAATACAGAACCTCCATTTCCTAGAACCTTTGGAGTCAAGCAGTCTGGATGATATTTCTCTCCTGGTTCCCGCCATATATGACTATGACCATTTTTCTTGAAAAGGGTAAAGGTTGCTCCGTCTGTCCAAATGATAGTATCCCACTGTTTTTTCCAACCTTTTATTTTTCTATATCAAGCACGACGTTTCGCAATGTGCTCCTTAGTTAGAAGAGGCTTTGATTTGGTTACATGGTAGGCTAGATTCATCTTGTGCAACGTTCGGCTGATAGTTTTTGTACTGACTTTTTTTCCAGTCTTTTCCTTAATCAAGTCTGCCATCTCAACCAAGTTTTGATGGCGATCCCATTTGACATCCAAGAAGAGATATCTTTTATCTCTAGCAGTTAATTTAGAAGGTCTTCCTGTTGGCTTCTTATTAGTAGCAGATCCAGTTTCGTTGTATTTTTTTATGATACGCATGACAGTAGTTCTTGGTATTCCCTTTTTTCTTGCAATGTCAGAAATCTTCATGCCATCTTCATGAAGTCCAATTAAGATTCCTTTTTCAACTTCTGAAAGCCTTTCAAATGACTTGTGAGGTTTACTGCTTCGTTGTCTAGGTATTATATTAAAAAGATTTTATTGAATTTAGCAGATTGAGTAAAGTGAAGTGTAAGGGTGTATTATGAAATAAATAGCGGAAATATAAAACGACCAAATTTTCTGTTCCGCGACTATATATCTCAATATTATGCATTTTTGCTCCATATAAAAAATAAAATTAATCTTATTATATTGTCACACAACTATAGCAAATTGAAGAAGCAGTGATTCTTTGGATCAAAATTGCTGAAAATAATCAGATTCCCATCACTTAGGAATTGATTAAGACTAAAGCTACTATTTTTGCTGAAAGAATAGGCGTTAAAGACTTTAGTGCTTTTCAAGGCTGGATGGAGAAGTTTGGAAAGCATCATTGCATTAAAATGAATCGAATTCATGGTGAGGCTGGTTCTACTGATATAGAATTGCTTCAGATTGACATGGCTGCCATCAAAGAGAAGATAGAGGGATATAGTGCTTGTGACATATATAACTTTGATGAAACAGCACTCTTTTATGCTGCCTCACCAAGAACAACAATTTCTCATCAGAAATTTTCTGGTTGGAAAGATAACAAGAAGCACTTGACTGTAGATCTCTTGTGTAATGCGGATGGAATGGACAAGTGGTCTGATATACTATTGATTGGGCATGCAAGAAGACCAAACTGCTTCAACAAGAACAACAAGAAGCAAGAAGCAAGTGATCATTGATTCTCCATGTGTCATTACAATACCAATGCTTGAATGACAAGATCAATCTTTCATGTTTTCCTCCGTTGCTTTGATCATGCCATGAAAGCTCAAAAGCACAAAGTTCTTTTGATTCTCAACAATTTCTCTGGTCATATAGTTGATTATACATCTACAAACATCAAGCTTCTTTTTTTGTTACCAAACACCACTTCCCACCTTCAGCCATTGGATGGTAGTATTATTCGGGCATTCAAGGCTTATTTCAAGTGTAAGCAGTATGGCAAGACATATCAATACATTGGCATGATTCAAAATGGCAATCAAGATAAAATCGGGCCAATTGATAAAATCTTTGAAATTGATCAATTGTGGGTCATGAAATAAATAAGAGAGGCTTGGGAATCTGTCTCAGCAAAGACTATTGAGAACTGCTGGAATGCAACAATCTTTCGCTTTATTGAAGACGAAGATAGTGAAGGTAGTAGTAAAACAATTTATTGGTTATAATAGTAGTATAATCTTTCAATTCCACTTTCTTAATATTCTAAATATAATTTATAGATGTAAACCAGGCTATGATTCAGCAAAGTCTGGCTGAAGAGGTTCTTGTCGAGGGTTTACAAGAAACCCTGGACAAAATTGCTGGATCAGGTCTTCTGTCTCTGAAAGATTGCCCAACAAATGAGTCTGATCCACTCTATGAGAGACAATGCACTCATAGAGTAGTCAATGAAAATGAGATTGCAGATATTGTGATGGAAGAATATGACGCCAACGAAAATGCAGCCAACAACAGCAATAAAGAAACTGCTGAAGTGGAATCAGGAGTTTTTTTTGAGAACTTATTCTGCTTCGGAAAAGTTTGAGTGTGTTTGCATGCTTTTGGATATCTTGAAAGACAAAGATATTGACAGAGACTTCGTCAGTAAGGTTGAAGGTCTTTGAAACAAGTTCCAGAAAACTGCGAACTCAAAGCAAACTAAAGTCACCAGCTTCTTCAAGTCTTTTTAAAATTTATTCTTTTTTAAATAAAATAAAACAATTTTCTATAAGAAATATATTTTTCTTCATTTAAAAATAGAAAAAAAAAGTTAGCAACCAAATACAGTCAAAGCTTGATTTCGTAATATGTTTATAAATAGTAACAATTGCAAATAACAATAAATAGTAATGACAGATAGAAATAATAAAATCTATAATAAAAACTTTTATAACAAAACAAATTAAAATTATATTTATATTTTTCAAGTAAATAATTTTTACTAAACAATTAATAAAGGAAACTTAATCAAAATATAGCACATATAGTTTTATTTTATTTCTAAAAAAAAAATGAAAAAAAAATTTTAAAAAAATCAAGCTAGATGACAACTTGATAACCCAGTGTTTGGCATGAAAACTTAATGCACTTGACATTGATGTCAATTACAAAATCATGAAAAGCTAGAATTAAAAAAAATTTAAACCAAGCTGTAACTATATTGCTCTTGTCTGATTGGCTAACCTTTTTTTCTTTAAGGTCTTCTTCAGCATACTCTGTGTATTACATGAAAATGATAGGGTTGATTTAATAGACAAATGTAGATATTTTTGCCATTAATATGGTAATGATATAACAATAAAAGTACCAATTGGGTAGTCATCTGATCAAACCTTACAAATAAACTGAACCAAAGACATATAATAAACCAAGTTGGTTTAATTTGTGGAGAGGTGATAGAGTAATACAAAGAGTAAAAGATACTAAGTTTGGCTTCTAAAATGACAAGAACTGTTCTTGTTAACAGCTTTATGAATGCTTTCAATCCATAATTATTTTTCTCTTACAGATTCTCTTTATTTTCTTACTAAGATATAATAAAAATGAGTCACTCATGCTTGAGTCTATAGGAACTAATAGTTCTAAAAATAAAGAACTCTAGGAACCTCTTCATTATGAGATTTGTATTCATTTATATGTTTTCTACTTTCCCAGAACTAATGAGACGGTATATTAGTATTAAAGTATTTATTACTAAAATGACATACAAAGAAGTCTTTAAATTATCTTATACTAATAGTCAGTATACCTCCAGTTATTTTAGAAGCCGAATTTGAGGACTTTTACTTTTTGTATTACTTTATCACCTCTCCGCAAACTAAACCAACTTGGTTTATTATATGTCTTTGGTTCAGTTTAATTGTAAGGTTTGATCAGATGACTACCCAATTGGTACTTTTATTGTTACATCATTACCATATTAATGGCAAAAATATCTACATTTGTCTATTAAACCAACCCTATCATTTTCATGTAATACACAGAGTATGCTGGAGAAGACCTTTAAGGATTCAAGACCAAAAAATTTCGTGAAAGTGAAATTAACAAGAATCGTGAAAGTTAAGCCCTATTTTTCGAGTTGGGTCTTCAGAGCCTTGAAATTATCGAAGCGTGAAATTAAAGGGGCGTGAAATTAGCGAGGGACCACTGTAATTAATTATGTTGTGGGGAGAAAATAAAGCAAAATACAATATAGACAAAAGAATTTGTGAGAGCGTATATAGGTTGTTTATTTCAAAAGAAAAGTAAAGAATAATAAAATTCGATTATTTTTCTACACAGAACTATCTACTGATATTTATATGTTTTTCTAATTTGTAATTCAGTGTGTGCTTAAGTAATCTTTATCATGATGAGTCATCTTCCAGGAGTATTGTTCTTCTGGAAAGATCCGGAAAGACCAATTCATATAATATTTCTCCAGTCAGATCAGTCCGAGAGGTTTGGTAAAGAAGAACATTTATGCTATTGGTAATATTTTAGTATTCCAACCCAGATACTCGGGTAATGTTTCATAATATTAAATAGTTGTAGTTGTAGTCTCTCAATTAAGTATTTGTATAATAAAAGAAATATGTAGATGAAATATAATGATGCCATATATATAATGTATATGTATTTGTATATCCCATGTCATGGTAATAATAATAAATAATCAATTATGTGTATGATGATCTGTGTATTAGATAATACCATAAAGGGAGATCTGTTTGACTGGAATAGCTGAGGATATTATTTTATCCTTCAGACTTACTCTCAGATTCAGCAGTAATCAATACTCATTCACAACAAACTATTTTTAGTATAACAACCAATAAAACATTTTTTATAAAACATATCTCTGTTATAATAACCAATAAAACACTTTTTATAAAATCTATCTCTGTTATAACACCTAATAAAATCATTTTATAAATTAAATTTCAATTAAAAATAAATTTATCATACAATTAAAAAGATAAAAAATCTAACTTATATATAATTAAAGGTTAATTAAATGAATATTACTTGTTAAGTGACCAATGATTTGAAATATAATCTTAAACAAAAGTTTATAATGTCTAATAAAAGTAAATCTTAAACTACAGCTCATATATTGAAGTATTCGGAATTGTTTATGAGCTAGTATCTCAATAATGAGAAAAGTAGATACTGTAAGAGTGTTATTTATTAAAGAGACAAAATACTATTATTTTTATATCTGCTACTATTCAAATCCCTGTGATTCAAATCAGCAATCTTAGGGGATGAGGGGTTTTTGGCTATGGGGACGGGGGGTAACTGCACTGCACAATTTAAGGTGACTGCTGGTCCGAGGCTCGGATATAACCTGTCTTGAAGAACCCCCCATCCCCATCCTTTATAAGCACACCCCTCACATCATCACCAAGTTCTTCTGTCAAGTCGACAACCATTCCATTCTTTTAAAACCTTTCTTCTTCTGCTCTCTTCTCCCACATTCCTTGCTTGATGGTCTCCTTCCTCCACCTTCCTCTCCCATTGTGTCGCATGTGGACCCCAGCCCCTTCCTCACCAGTATGTTTCCCATAATACCTCGCAAGCCATTCTCACCCAAAACGTTCCGCACCCTTTGCACCCCGTCCCCAGACAACCCTGTCCCTCCTCTCCACACCCACCAATGGTGCACGTTCTGGTCTGCTCCCATCCACCATTCTGTCCGTTCTTTATGGTTCTGCGCTCTTCACAACAAGCTGTCATGTTGCTCCGTTCTACACCAAACTGTCCCTACCATCTTTCCTGACGGGTCCTGCCTCATATTCGGTGACATCAAGGAATCTACATCTCACTTTCTGTTCACTTGTCCCCCAAAGTTCTCCGCCTGGACTATTTTTTGGTCAACCCATTTTGGCAATGTGCCCTCCACGCAAGACATTCATTCTACTCTTTTTTCCTTCCATCTCCCGCCATCCCTCACTTCAGACATTCCCACCGTTTCTCTTGTCAGCTGTATCCTCCTTGCAATCTGGTGCCATCACTGGTCCTTTGTGTTTGACGATGCTCCTTTTCTGAGTACATCAGACCTTGTCACTGCTGCTTCTCTTGTCACCCGTTTTCATGCGGAACTATCCCTACCTCTTTCAGACTAGCTACTCACTCATTTTACATATAATTTAAAAACCCAAAAACACATAGAAAATATAAAACCCAAAAACAGGATTGTGACTTCCTCTTCCTCTTAGAATTGTTAAGCTCAAAAAATTCTGAGGCCCAGCCTCCTTACAAAAAAAAATTATAAGCACACCCTTGTCCCCATCATTTATAAGCACACCTTGCTCCATCGTTATAAGCACACCCCTGTCCCCATCTTTAGATCATTCCAATTTCCTGGGAAAAATAAAAACACCCCCTTTTTTAAAGTCATTATTTAGTTGTAAGAATAAAAAATAATATTTCCAAATAACAAGATATGATGTCTTTTTTACGTTGTGTACATTGCATACATTGCATACATTGCGTACATGAATCAATAAAAATACTTATATAACTACAGTGCTCTTTTATTAAATATGAACACCAACTTCGCTATCCCCATTGACAAGATGTATTCTGTTAAAACAACTCTCTCATTCTCAGAGAATGGTTATCCTGACAAACAAAACGTTTTGGAGGCCGTAAACGAGTATGCCCTTTCTAACAACTTTACCATCAAAATTAAGGATGGAAAGTTTCCAACACTTCACCTTGCTTGTTCAAAGGCTGGTGCCTATCGTGATAAGCGTAACATCAGCGAGGATAAAAGAAAGAAGGCCCCTAACTCTTCCCTCACTGGATGCCCCTTCCTATTGAGATTTTCTTTTAAAAATAAGAGTCAGAGATACCTTCCCTTGCCTGCCCGCGGTAACAATGAACATTGTCATAACCACCCCATCACCCCAAACAACTTGGCGTCTTCTTACCAGGGAAGAATGTCTCTCCTGACTTTAGAAGATGCAATTATCGCAAAGACAATGCTAGAAAACCATGCCAAGACTCGCGATATTCAGAAAGCTACAAGAGATAAGGTCATGGGAATGAGAAAGCTGAGAATTAGCGATATCAACAACCTGAAGTATAACTCTTCTCGTGGTGGTGAATCATCAATTCATGGCGCTACTGGGCTCATAAGAACTATGGAAGCAAAGGGATTTTCTGTCCTTTATCAATTCAATGAGAAAAAAAGCCTCACGCACATTTTCTTTACAAATGAGATGATGATAAAAAGAGCCCGTCGTTTTCCTGAGGTTCTTATTGTGGATGTCACTTACAAGACAAACTGCGCGAAGATGCCTTTAGTCTGTGTAGAGGGTGTCAGCAACCTTGGTGGAGAAAGATTGAAGAGCTTTCCTGTTGCATTTGCGTGGGTTTCTGATGAGACAGAGACAAGCTATGCCTGGTTCGCAAGATCACTGAAATCAATCGTGTTGGAGGGAATCGAGGACAGCCCTATCTTTGTTACAGACAAGTGCAAGGCATTGATGAATGCCCTTGATTCCGAGTTCCCCATGAACAAAAAGCTTCTCTGTGGTTGGCACATGATAAATAACATTGCCAAGATGGCAAAGAAGACTATGAAGGCAGGCGAAGACAGGAATACGTGCACCAACTTGATAAACAGCATGATATTTGGAGACGATGCTGGCAAGTTTATGCAGAAAAGAGAACTTTTCAGATCGTTGGCTTCTTGTGAAGATCTCAAGACTGAAGGACTGTCTGAAGATGGTAAAAATGGTGCAGTGAAAAGTTTTGAGGAGTACTTTGAGAAGAAGTGGATGAGTTGCAAAGAGAAGTGGGCTGGCTACCTCACCAATAAGCTAAAGCACTTTGACTGTGTGACAACACAGCATGTTGAGAGTGGCCATCATGCCCTGAAAAGGAGTATCTCGGCTCTCCAGTCTTTGGACTTCTCGTTTGAGCAAATATGCTCATATCTCTTGCAATTTGAGAGTGACTACCAAGATCGTAGACTGGATGAGGAGTTGGTGACCGATGCAAGAATCCTTGCTGATGAGCGCCTTCGTGGATTGGTCCACTCAGTTTTCAGAATGGCATTGTTCACGATTCGTGCTGAACTTCTTGAAGAGGTTATTATTGGTGAAGCTTGTTACTGCAGAGTAAAGACTATGTTTGGTCTCCCTTGCTGCCATACTCTGCCACAAAATCGGGCCCTCACACTTGCAGACATTCCTGAAAGATGGGTTCTCTCTTCTGTCCTCCCATTCCATAATAAAGAAGTAGAAAAATTGGAAAGTATAAGTACTGTGGCAATTGAGAAACAAGTTCTGTGGATGAAATCAATTGCACAACTTGAGCAGTTGTTTAGACGATGTGAAGGAGAACAACAAATCTGTAACCTGGTGGCAAAGGTGAACGATCTTATAAATAATGCCGGTAATTTAAAGGATCACCAAGAGGTTGCCTTTCCTTTGTCAAGTGAGGTCAAAGCTCCTGGAAGACCTAAGCACGTCAAAAGAAAAACTGCTCTCCCAAAGGGTTTTGTCCGTCACAAGCACAGGCATCTCCTTGTCCAAAAAAATAAGGCAATGAGATAACATACACGCAATAACACAATGTAATACATATTTTGTCTTGTTTATCTAGAGTGAAATTAGAAAAATCTTAAAAGAAGAAATTATAGATGTAATGAAGGAACTTTTAGAGGAGAAACCTCTTAAAAAAAGTATTTATTATTGACTTTTACAAAGTTACAATATAATATCTAATGTTTACTATTTCCAGCCATTAAAAATATCAAAAAAGAAACCCAATTTGCTGAAAAGCAAGAGCCTCTCAAAGAAGGTAATTGATATGATATTTTACTGAAATTAAATGCTAAATGCTACATTGTTTTTTGTTTCTTCTTAGCTGAAAAATATTCCTCTGGAATTAAAAGACCTAAACATCTCCAAGACGACGATTGGTACGATTTGCCTAGTCCAAAAAAACAAAACAAAAATGTGCATGACTTTGCTCTGCCTGCTCAAATCGACCAAGCCGCCATTTCGTTGACGTTTAACCCCAAGTCCGATGATTGGTGCGGTGTCCGTGTATTTGCACACCTGAAAGAGGGTGGAGAGGATCAGTTTCCTTTGGTGAAGAAGAAGATATTGGCCACGATGGCAACCCATGGTAAACTTTACGAGCACAACTTTGGCATAGATGTTGCCAAAGTGACAGAGGTCATTGCATTTGGCTCCGAGATTGACCCTGCTCTTGGGAAAAATATCCCATCTTGCCCTTCCTCTATGTGGTTCTCTGCACCAGACTGTGCTCAGATAATAGCTGACACATATAACGAGCCTGTTTGTGTGTACTCAGACGATCGGAGCGTCTTGCCTGTAACTTTCCTTCCCCTCCATGATTGGAAGGATCTCAAAAGAAAGCCATTGCCGATGGTCTTGCACCATGTACATGGGTGCCACTGGACAACAATTAAAGTGAAGCCTCATGTACATCGGTCCTGGCCTGAGGTAAATGCACTGTATTTTGATGCTATCCGTAGAGGGAGTATCATTGACTGCTTTTCCACAAGTTGGAATCATTGGGGTCAGTTCCCAAAGAACAAGTCTTATATTTTACCCTCTACTACTATCACTAACTCTCCTACAAATTCTCTCGTAAATTCTTCCAATATTATTGACCTCACACATATATAACTTATCTATCTTTCTATCTTTTAATATACTTTACTCCTATTTTTTCTTTAATTTTTTAACAAACACAATGGCACTCAGTCTGTCTTTAATTTTAATGTTACATGTAAAACCCAGATACGAATATTATTGGCATCCAGCTAATTGGAAGACTATATAATTGGCTTTTATTTTTTGGAGTACAAAGTCTGTGCATTTATAAGCAATCTGATTAAGATCTTCATCCAATCACAGACGTGAATTTTACCATAAAAGATGTAAAACAGAAACGACGCATAGCTTTTGATAGATTTCTGTCTTAATTCAAACGCTAAAGCTTGGATATTTTGCCGTATTGCTGAAAAAAAACGTACATCTCTATATCCAAAATTTGAAGTTAATTTATTATGTTTTGGTTGAATAAACAAGCAAAATATACACTTTTTTTCACGTTTTTAACCATTCGAGATAGATTGTTTTTGCTAATAAATATCTTTTCTACATAATAATATGGTCTAAAACTTTTACTGAAACGTTTTTTTACTATTTTCTATTGATATAAAGCATTTGCAAGTGATTTTTACTAATATTTTCAAATTGTTGTTTTTTTGTTCAATCTTTCACAAATGAAATGTACAGAACTTTTGTAATTCACTCATTAAACGTGATTCAAAAAATATTACAAAACAAACAAATACTCACTTTATGCAGAAAAAATCAACAAAACCAACTATCTTACTCTCATACTTTTATCTATTTTTTTGAACGAGTTATGAATTTTTTAAAAATAAATAAAAATAAAAATGAAAAGTTATGGACAAATGTTCTTCCACTTTTGCATGATTTTTCTTAGTGAATAAAGACAAGTGATTATACTGGATGGGGACAAGGGGGGTGACAGTTTTTTGGGGGACAGGGTGTTACACACAGAAATGATGGATTTCTGCTGGACAAGTTAAAAGTAGCCACGCCTCTAATTATCTGCCGGACTACTCACTATAAGCTTGTGTAACACCCTGTCCCCATCATCCAAAAACCCCCTGCCCCCTAAGATTTATGGATTCAAATCCCTGTTGTGTAATGGTTGGTTTACACTGTATGAGTGTGTAGTGTACACGTGCCTGGTGTGTAACAGTTTCAGAGATTGTTAACTTGCCAAGTTTATTAGCAAGAAGGAATCAGTGTTTGATTGTGGGGTCTGTTCTTCACTCAATTGTGGTGTGTATATCACATATATAAGTGCCAATAAGAAAACACATATAAGCTACAAAAAGATGTATTGATAAATGAATAAAATCTCATATGTGTTAGATAGCAGAGTTATGTAATAATCTATAACAGGCAGAAAGTGGGAAAGGAGATAACACATGTATCTTTCAACTAAACAACCAAATCTGTCAGTTTTGACAGATTCAATCAGGGACATACCAGCAACCTCTACTCAGAAAATCTCACATACTCTCCCTTTGGCAGCTCTACCACTCTCATACGGATCTCCATCCTCTATAACCAATAGTACACCTATCTATTCGCAGATGGCCCAGGTTGACTATAATAAAAGCAAAACAATTTGCACTGCTGTGCTTATTGAAGACAATGATGAGAATGCAACACCCCAAGTTTATAGAAGAGGCACCACAAGCCACTCGGTGATCTATCACCTACCCTCTAACTTTGGAGACTTAGACAGATTTCTTGGACCTCTACAACAGGTCTACCCCCGTAGAATAGGGCGTCAGCTCAAAACTAAGACAGAGAAAACACATACTGCAATTGAGTTATGTCTCTCTAATGATATTTACTGTAAACAGACAGGCAGAGGCACCATCCAAGTCAGCGATCAACAACTTCTGGCCATACCTGCCATTTCGGCTGACCTGAAACTTTTCCTTGTAAATTTGTCAGGTCTTCCAGCAGATGACTACGACAACATTGCAGCTCAACTCAGAAAATGTCTGAGTCCATATGGAAATGTCTGCGAGACAATAATTTTTGAAGAAGGCCAGCACCAATGGTTCAAGGGAAACAAATATGTCTATTTGGAGAGACCTGTGGTCTCACCCAAGGTTTGGGCTCAGCTGACTTATCAAATCAAGTACTCCAAAAACATTCAGATATATGGAACGTGGGCAAAAATGGGGGATCATTGCGTATTTTGCAAGCAAATGGGGCACACCATTGATAGTTTCCCAGAGAGACGTAAAAAGATACATACTTGTCACAATTGTGGTGTTGCTGGCCATATCCAGATCCACTGTATCAGAGAGCCTGCCACCAATCTTCATCAAAAAGCTCAACTTGATGAAAACCCAAGAACTTTACTTGTCACCTGCTGTGCCATAACTCCAGCAACAATTTCGAGGCAAACATAGCAAGCCACAGAAGCAAAAACTGAAACTATGCGAAGGCTAGAGACACAATATCTTATTGACCAGCAAACCAAAGCCGCTGCTGATCAGATCACTTCCAAACAGAAAGCCACTGAAGAAGCCTTCCAGGCCAGTCTACTAGATGGGTCACTCAATGGTCCAGCTCTGAATGGCTTGGAGAGCAATTCACTAGATGTTGTTCCTCATGGGCATAATCCAATGGGGATAAACCATAATGTGGAAATGACAGACAATAAAAAAGCAAAAGACATACAAAGATACAACCAACAGAAACGAAAGGATCTTCTAAAAGAGGAGGCCAAGAAAAACGTTCTCCCCTCAGGCTCAACATGCAACAGAAACAAAATCAATAACCACTATGTATAATACAATCAAAATGGCTACAATAAACTGTCAGGGACTGACCAAAGCCTCTGACTCCCAACAACACAACCACTTAATTCGACACCTACAATCACAAAATATTCAAATTCTAGCACTTCAAGAAACACATGCAAAAAACAATCAAATACAACACATTTTTAACAATCAATTTCAAGCATATGAGAACTAATGAACTCAACATTGTGGTCTTGTCTCACTTTCACCTTCGATACATTTTTCTGACAACTACACTAACATCTGTGGTAGAAGCATATTCTCCACAATCTACCACACCAACAACCACTTCGATCCTATACAAATTGTTGTTATCTATGCTCCTGCTGCAGTAACAATTCGCAAAACATTCTTTATATCGCTCCTACAACTTCCACTATTTGCTCAAACAATAACGCCCTCTTGTCTTTTGGTGTTAGGTGACTTCAACTATACTTACAATCCAACTCTACTCACCCTTGGCGCGCACCAATCTCTTGGATCTACTATGTACAAGACACACTAATAGACGGTATAACCAAAATAGCTCAGACCCTAATGCCAACCTTTTCTTGGGGAACGCAAATGAGTAGCATTGACTACATATTTGCCACGCCTGATATAGCAGCATTGAAACATAAATCTGCCATTGATTACATTAATCCTGCTTGGTCAGACCACTTCCTTGTATCCACTAACCTCTCCCTTAGAACATCTCGTATAGGCAAGGGAATATAGTGGGCTAACTCTCACTTGGCCCTATTGCCCTATTTCCAAAAGCAACTGTCACAGACCCTGCAAGAAATTTTACCTAGCTTAGACAGCCTACCATCACACCAAGATGAATGGGAAAATGTTAAGGTCACAGTCCAACGGATTGCTAAGAAACACACTTGTGGTTTCACAGCTTGGTAGACACAACAAGAAAAAGCTCTTCAAAGCAAGCGAAACCATCTAATGTGTAAATTTAAGATAGACAATATTCACAACACCCAGCTTTCCATAGTGAAACGCCAATTGTCTATTATTCAACAGGAAACTGTCAAAATACTGGCCATGCGAGCCCAGAAACACTGGAGAGAAAATGGTGAACGTTCAGCCAGGTACCTGAAAAGAACGATCTTGGCAAACGCCATTAGAAAAGATATACCTTTTTTGCGTCACCCCACCTCAGAAGCCTTGTGCACAACACCCAGTACCATGACAAATGTGGCCATGCACTTCTATGAGAAGTTATATACTGTTGATCCAATTGAAAACTCATCAGTTGAAGATCTACTCAACCACGTCCCTCCTAAGAAATTCTTGAGTGAAGCCACTCGATCCTCCATGACACCTCTGCTAACATTTGACAATATCTGTCCCGCAGTTAACTGCTCCCCCAATCATAGCAGCCCTGGCCCGGATGGTCTGCCCTACAAGATTCTCTCTCTCTTGTTTTGTGAAGACAGATATTCCACATTGTTGACAAACATTTACAATGACGCTCTCAACAAAGGAGTCTTTCCATCTTCTTGGAGCTTCACCTGCTTGTCACTCCTCCCAAAGAAAGGGGATCTCTCCAGTCTCAAAAACTGGCGCCTATTGCACTGATCAATGCTGATGCAAAGTGTTTACTCGCCTACTCAATGTCTGAATTATCCATGCCTCGAACTCCCTCGTCAATCACTACCAGACTGGGTTTAAGATAGGACGATTCATAGCTGACAATGGACTCATGGCTCGTATAATTATGGAACACGCCCAACATACTTCTGATATCTCAATCGGTCTGATAGTTGACCAAGAAAAAGCATACGATCATGTGCACCCTGAGTATTTGAGATTAGTTCTTCAAAAATCCTGGTTCTCTGACACGATAGTGCACTGTATCTCACAATTGTTTTTCTCCACAAATATATCGATCAATGTCAACGGTTTTTTGTCAGCACCAATTGTACAAAATCGAGGGCTATGACAAGGTGATCTGCTGTTCCCTGTCCCATTCAACCTTGCTTTCGAACCTTTGCTTTGCCGGCTAACCGCCAGTAACTCTCTTCCAGGATTTGATCTGCCTATTGACTACCACACTGACCAGCCCCCACCACCACCCATCAAATACTTAGCTTATGCAGATAACATTCTCATATTTCTTAAGACACGATCTGACCTTGATACTTTACGCAGACATCTGGACACTTATTCCAGAGCCTCAAATGCACGGATTAACATGCATAAGACACAAGCCTTCTCCTTGTCTGGTAACTCACCCCCAGAGTGGCGTACACACCTACAACAAAAGTTTATAACCTTATGGCATGATCGCACTTACCCAACTGCTCTCACATACTTGGGCTTTCCATTAATATCGTCTCTCACACAAAGAGATACATTCTGCACCTCACTCTTGAATACGGTTGACTCATCCTGTAGCATTCACCTGCAACGATTACTCTCAGTTCTAGGTTGAGCTACTGTAGTGAGCACATTAATTCTTTCCCGTGTTTGGCATGTTCTTCAAATAATAACGGTCCCCAAAAGTTCTTCAACAAACTCCCATCCATTGTATGCCAGTTCCTCTGGTGGGATATGTTCCCTATGACAAGTTTGTCTACTCTATGTTTTCCAAAACTGCAAGGAGGTCTAGGTGTGTTGGACCCTCAGATTCAACAAAAAGTCCTGACTATGTGATGACTACAACCGATTCTTGACGACCACCCCTCAGCATCATTTGTCACCCCTTGGATAAAGCACTTTCTAGACCCCCACACGTCCTTTGTGGACTCTCGCCTTCGTTTATTGTTTCCTAGACTGTGTATTCCCGCTTTACGGACAAGGAACGGTGCACTTTCTACTCTCATGGGCGCAATACATTCTATCCCACGAGATTTTTCACTTCTCACACTGAGCTGCACTGCTTGTCTTTCTCTGAAGCTGCTGGATGCCATAACCTATACAGCTTCTTCTGCACCTGTAACCTCCAGCTGGAGGCGCCTTAATGCTTCTGACGCTTTCATTTTTGACCAGGGCCTGCAAGCTATCCACTCCAAAACGCAAACCGAATGGTCCACCTCACCATATCTGATTGCTAAGCTATTCTGGGATCTTGCTAACGCAACTGCTGAGCTCACGCATTTCTTTTGGCGTGCTACTTTACCTCTCAATGACCATCCAGAATTGCTACTGCCAGTTAACCCTTTAGTCGTAGATTGCAAGCCATTCGTTGGAGCCCTCTAAACTGGATGTAAACGCTTATCTGACTTTACAACCAACCAATTTTGGTAGTCCTGCCGGGATCACACTCAATCTCCTCTTGTACCCCTCCCATTGCAAGGTAAACAATGGCGTTTATTTTGGGCCTTTCCCATCTATCACACATCCCGGAACATATGGTATTGGGCTATACGTAACTCCCTGTCATGTCAATACAACCTCCACAGTCGTGCACCCACCATATTTGTCACTCCAAACTGTCCCATTTGCTTGTCTGAGGTGGACACACTCTCTCATTTTCTCTACCAGTGCCCACAGAAATGGACGGTGTGGGAAACCGCATGAATTAAGTACTTTGGACTATCCCCATCAACATTTGATATCCATCATGCACTATTCTCTCTGGAAATCCCTGACCATCCATTACCTGTATTTCATGTCCACCCATGTCAAATAATTAGCAGCATCATTCTTGCCCTGTGGCGCACTCACTGGAGCTTTATTTTTGACAGCAGGCCTTTCCAGACCTCCTCCATTAACTCTAAAATAGACGCCCTTGTTTCGCACATTTCCTCTGACTTAGATTTAACATAGACTTCCCTTCGACCTTTATTTCTATTTTCTCCAAAACCCCAACAAAAATCCAAAAATAATTGTGTTCCTTTCTTAACACACAATAAATACAAGGACCAGTTCCTCTTTACAAAAAAGGAAAGGAGGCGAATAAAAAGCCCCTTTCCCTTGGCTGCCCCAGGGAACCCCCAGGGAACCCCCAGAGGCACCTCTTTTTTTCCTGTAGTGTATCAGTCATGTTTCTGTTGTCTTCTCTTTTCTCTCCTTCTGCAGTTCTCTTGGGTCGCCTGTTTGTCAAAGTGTGCAAGGTCTAAATAAACCCACAATACAATATTTTCACTTGTCTACTGCTACTATTTCTTATTATAATTATTAATTACAATAAACTCAGAGTTTACTCCAATATAACAACTATCACACCAACTGTTTCAAATTTATCAAAAATACATTTTATAAGAAATCTGTGCACTGTGAATCAAATGATCTTTTACACTTCGAATCAAATTACCTATATTCTAAATTGTCTTATATCTTATTTTCCCTCCTTATTTCCAATTCTACGCTCTTTTCTATATCTATTTTTATAACTACCAATCTGTATTTTGATATGTAATTGTCCACATTTATTACTTTATCTAACAGTTATTTCTTTATTCTTTTAATAAAACTATTTGTTTCCATAGCAAAACATTTGAAAAAAAAAGATATTAGAAAAAACCGGACAAACAAAGGTTGATATTATTATGCTCTATAATGTAAAAAATAGCTTAAAAAATATATGACTGTCATAGCTTTATAATCTTAATTTTGTTCTTCTATTCACTATTGGCAATCGGATCTACCAAAAAGCATATTTTATTATAAAACAGAACATTCAGATATTATTCTTAACAAATACCACAGCTGCTAATGAACCTCACAGACTCCAATCCCAAAAATGTAACATATACCAGGAACTCACTATAATGACTGTTAATGCTATTGTTGAAAAGAAAATATTCTTCAAGGCAAACCAGACTTGGCGTATGACTTGTGTTTTTATATAGGGAATTAACGGTGTTCATATTTCGGTTTTTTTTATTATCAACTAGACAGATACATCTTTTTACAATTATATAGGCAACTAATGGGTAATAAGTTTATGGATTTAATAATGCCTGTGTTGAGACCCTCATGATATTTCGCATTACAGACCGTAGTTTCTCACATTCAGCTTCCTTTTTAATTAAACAACGTTCTAAATTGTCTGGTTTGTGAGAATCCAATCCCTGTGCTACTGCGTGTAGCTTTGTTAATGTAGAAAAATGAACTTCTTCAAGTTCAATGATTTTTTCTTGGAGTACAATAGCATGTTCTTTCCATGGATTAAATTCTAGACTATTGCTATAAGCTTGACTTTCATCTTGACACAGTGCTTTGGGCAAAGACTCTTGTGAAAATCTAATCAATGGACAGCTCTTAATGTGCCGTTGAAACCAAGCAGCGTTCTGCTTTATAGTAATACATTCTACTGCGGCCGAGTTATCTTTGCTGCAAAGGTTGGTGTTTGTATCATTTTTGGTCATTGAATCCTTCAGATTAAATTTTTTATCGCTTGTGTAAATAGCCAAGTCTTGTTTGGAATGATAGGTGAACTCGTCTTGATATGATACTGGAAGGCTGGACTTTTTGAATGCGCTAGTTAGCCGCTCTATATGTTTAGCTTGATACTGATTCATTTCTTTAAGCTCGCGGATAATTTTGTCTTTGGCTTCCACGACAGCTATCTGATGACACTTTAAGATATCATGATTACTTAATACAGCTTTATTGCTTTGACATGACGATGGTGCAACAATATTTACATACGTTTTTATGCGAACAGAAGCTTAATAGGCAAAGTATGGTATATATGGATATTTATACTTTGGGAAAAACTAAAATACGATAGAAAATATAGAAATACCAGGAGCTCGAGCCTTATCAGGACATTTATACTCTACAGTAGACGCAGATGAAGCCGATGATATTTGATACATAGAAAACGCTTGAATTTTGAGTAAATGAAAGCCAAGAAGAAGAAGAGGAAGTAAAGGGAGAGTTATTAAGATCTAGACAAACTACAAAGATAGGTAGATGATTTATCTTGAATATTTTGCACACAAACAATGTGGAACGATCTACTTGGTACATTGCATAAACTACAAAAAAATAATACTAGAAAGAAGCCTGAAATTGAATTTGCTTAATTTCTTTTTCTTCTTCTTTAGGTTTCTGTTGTTGATAAATTAGCTAACATAATATATCTCATATTAGCTCTACAGTAATTTATTTTGATGTAAACTTTTCAATCGCAAAGACAGAAAGACGCCTAGACTTTATTTGTGCAACCTACAAAACAGCAATTCACACCACTCGATCCTAGCTGGCTGTACATGTAATCTGATTGAATTCTTGGTGAATAAAAATATGTATCTATCACAGGAATTTGTCAAAAAAAAGAAAACAGAGATAATTACTTGCCCACAAACACACATGAATTTCATTAGAAACTCTTTCATATTTTTTTGGTTAAAAGCTAACAAAAGTAATAATAAATAGCACGAATGATTTGGTTTGTATCAAAATACACTGTATATCAAAATTAATTCAAGTAAAAGGAATGGCAATGCGATAATAAAATAAATAATATATATATAAAACAGATGAGATGCGTTAAATCGAATAAGAAGAATAAAGGCCCTCTATAGATAATAAAGATGAAGAAAACAAGAGGGTATAAAAGTAAAAGAAAGAAAGACAAGGTGGGGATGAGAGAGGGAGAGAGGGAGAGGTGAGTAACGTATGCTGTATAGATATGAATATAAGATAATAAAGCCGTTTTAAACAGGTTGCATATAATTTCCTGGAACGAGGCCTCTCTGTCTACGATCAGAGCCAGTCGTCTCGGCTTCCCACCATCCATCTATTTGCTTGTGAATCACAGCCACGACTTCCCCAGAAGCAACTGACATTTCAGTTGGAATCTATATACGTACCCAAAGAATACAAGTAAATTTCAAGTAAGATGTAATATGGTAGTTAATGAATTACTTACACTAGCCGTGAAATTCCACATGGCACGAACTAAAGATCACATACAGATTTTATAGATTAGAATTAGGTAAAAAGTGTTTGTACATATATATACATACCATACTCTACTGGCGGTTTTTCCATAGGTTTGTTGATCAAGCTATCAATTTGTTGTCTAGGAGTAAGATACACTGGAGCTCCGGAAGCCGTGGACTCTCTAAATGGAGACGATGAAGATGCGTGGATGTTTTCTGAGCTAAGTGCGCGCAATGGTTCAGCAGACACCACTGCCCGAAGTGGGTGTTTTGAAGCTACATTTGATACAACTGGAAGAGGAACCGATACTGGATCACCTGAGTAGGCCGTACCGGGACGGACGGAAGATATTATAGATTCCAAAGGCTCTCTGAGAATGGCATCTTTATTTGCTGAACTTATTGTTGCCGCTGCTGCTGCTGCTGCCTTTTTATCCTTCTTGTTTCCAAAAATACCCAATGAAAATCGACTAGTCTTGGGTTGCTGTGCTTGTTTCTCGAGTGCAGACACGCGTTTTATCGTTGCTTTTTCTTGAGAGTATTAAAAGAAAGAAATATTTGTTAGCTTTTACTTATTTTAATGTATACCACTTTAAGAAAAACAGCTGCAAGAAATTATTTTCGTCTCTACAATAGAATTATTGAAAAGGCCTTACCATCCTTTCTATATCTGTCCTGCGGGTCTTGCTGCGGTAATAACGATTCTGGGTGTACTCGATCTAAGGGGGCAGTAATATATATATTGTGGAAATTAATATTAGTCCATAATAATCTTCCCTAAAGACTTCCTATCCGTCTATCTTATTGTCGTTCTTCTCATTTCTCTTACCATTGTTATTTAAAGAAATCCCATTCCCAGACGTAGGTCGTCGATTGTTTGGATTATTGCTAGAGTCTCTATGATTCTTGTTTTCAATTCCGTTATAGCCTACACCATATGCAGTGTTGCGGATTTGTGGATTATCTTGCCAGGGAGGAGGACGAATACCAAGAGTGCGTTGCTCGTTTTGGAATGGTACACGCATGTTTCCATGCAGCTGTTGGTCCCATAGACGATCTTGCTGTGGAGTAGTAGCAATATTACTAGTGGCTTCCTGCCACACCTGATACTGATCTTGCTTCTGTTGTTGCTGTTGCTGCTGTTGCTGCTGTTGCTGCTGTTGCTGCTGTTGCTGCTGTTGCTGCTGTTGCTGCTGTTGCTGCTGTTGCTGCTGTTGCTGCTGTTGCTGCTGTTGTTGTTGCTGTTGCTGCTGTTGTTGCTGTTGCTGTTTTTTAATTAAAGCGGTAGGATCATCGAACACGACAATAGGCAAGCTACTGTTACTAGTGCGAATAGGGTTTGGAATATCAATTTTGAGAGGAGGATTTGATCGGCTGAGTTTGTGAACGTGATGGACAACCGAAATTGGTTTTTCTGGATTCTGTTGCAGGTCCTGATTCTCTTGGTTCTGGTCAGAGCTGGTAGGCACATTTGAGTTTTCCTTTTCATTTTCATTTCCATTTGAACTTGCACTTGCACTCAAATTTACATCCACATTCACATCTACCGGTTCATTTCCGGGTACATTTCCGGGTACTTTCTTGAGTGTGTTTGCATCCAAACTTTCGGATTTGTTTCTAGCCGTGTTTGTGGGCGTATTTCCGAGTGTATTAAGGTGCACATGCAATGGTGTGCCAGTAGGTGTAGATGCAGTTGTTGGAGATGTAACAAATGGTGAGGCAACTTTAAAACTGTCTGTCAATAACATTGGATGGTGCTGCTGCTGTTGGTGATAGTGCATTGGATATTGTACTGATCCTGCAACAGTATGTCGCTGTTGCATCGTTGGTGACAAGACACGCGTCCTCACACCACCGACACCGGGAGAAGAGGACGATTGGTACTGGTACTGGTACTGCTGATTCTGATTCTGATTCTGATTCTGATTCTGATTCTGATTCTGGTTCTGGTTCTGGTTCTGGTTCTGGTGATTTGCGTTGCCGTAGCTCCTAGTTTCGTTTGTTTTGATAGGTAACATTTGCGATTTTCGCACAGACGAAATCATCCATTTTTCAGCCGGAGGAGCGCGTGGGCGGACAGGTAAGGCCTCTACACTTGCATCCGAATCACTGTCATTCTTACACGCAGTCTCGGGTACTGGAACTCTAGACTTTTCCACAGTTTCCGGTCGATTGGTGTTTCTGTCGCCATCGGTTTCGCTATACTTTATTTCGTTAGCCAAAGACACTGGCCCTGACAGTGTCTCCTCTGGTTTTGTGACACTTTGTTCATTAGCTACACTTTTCGTTATTCCGAATTGTACTGGCAATGGTGTATCCACGATACTTTCTTTTTGTGTTTCAGTGTTAGGTAGCGAATTTTCCTGTTCGTTTTCTTTTTCTTCTCGTGCTTTGTTATCTTCTTCCTTTCTAGTCTCAGACGCTACGGATTTGTCAATGATATTGGTTGGCGAATTCAAAGTATGAATCGAGGTAAGTGGAAGTTCGGCAGACTTTGTCGAAGTTGGCGAAGAGTAGCTGGGGTTGAGTACCGGTTTATACTTCCGTTTGCTCTTTTCGGACGTGATTGATGGGTTACCGGATTTTGAAGATAGTACGGACTTCTGTCGTTTGGGCGCGTTTGCCAAGGATTTTAGGCTCAAATGTTCCCCAATTGGTGAATTAGGTTCAGGTTGTGCTTGGATCGGTTTCTCAGATTGGGCATGAGTTCCACGTGGTTGATTGACATGCGCAACAGCAACTGCAGTAGCAGTGTAAATACTGGAAGTGATGGTATTATTAATACTATTGTCATTTACGGTAGTGTTGACGGTAGGCACAGCAACAGCAGCATGAGCGTCATTAGTAGAGACAGGGTTAGGACCATAGCTAGAACCAAGCACAGGTGTAGGTACATGTGCAGGTGCGAATGCAGGTTCAAGCCCACGAGCAGGGCCAGTGCCAGTGCCAGTGCCAACGCCTGCGCCTGCGCCTGCGCCTGCGCCAGAGATAGGGTTAAGCCCAGGAGAGATTTTAGAAGTAGTGGGAGTAAAAAGACCCGGATTGGGTGCAGTTATTGGATCATCTAGAGAGAGATTTCTATTTTCCATTAAAGTGCCACCACGGATCTTTGAGGAAATTGGATCGGTGGCTCCTCTTGGCAAATCTGTGTTTTCAAAATCATTGAGCATGGCATTGACCTCATCGAGTTCAGAAGAAAAGTATATTCCTGAATTAGAATTCTGCCTATTTTTCTGTTCTTCCTGTCCTTTGTGCTGTTCTCGATCGAATGAACCTTTGGTGTCTTGTCTTTGGAATCCTCGACTAGTGTGATTAACGTCTGTGCTGTTCATTCTTGCAATTGGGTTATGGATCTCAAGTACTTGGAGTTGTCGATCGACTGACTTTAGTTCTTCATCGGGATTGGTCAGAATATTGGTGGTACATACGGGCGAGTTGTAGGACAGGTTCAATTGGGTTGGTGGAGTAAGGTCGGAGGGTGTAGATCGAGAATAGAAATCTGTCTTTGATGGAATGGCTGAAGATTGGATAGAATTGTAGGTGTCTGGATCTTGGAAGTTGTGGTATTGCATTGGCTCTACAGTAACAATAATAATAGTTTTAGTGATAGTAATAGCAATAGTAATAAAATCAGACGAATTAATACATTTTAAACATTTGAAAGTAAATTTTGCACGTGTGATGAGTAAACACACACACACATACACACACACATACAAATGTATAGTGTATATATTACCTGGTAAGAATGTTCCGGTGCCTTGGTTCTGGACAAAAATTCGAATGTCTTCTCCAACATCTGTAGATTCTAATGATGTTCTTATACGCTCACAGCACTACAAGACATATTAATTACCCATTCACATGCTTACACGCATAGCATTTAATCCATATATTTATTTAGTTTACCTGGTCATCAATGGTATAAGCACTTGAAAGCATATTTGCGAATCTATTGATATAAAGCAAAACAAAGAGGAGACATTTTAGTTGGCCATTCATTTGTGTGTGTTAATAAAACACAACAATAAAATATTAGAGTATGTAGAGTAGATGGAGCACTTACGCCCACATTCCCTTTCTCATCTGATCCATTCGCCTTTCTTCCATTTCTTGGTATAGATCACAGGCAATAGACCATTTGTGGATCCATTCTTCTCGGACAGAATTGAATATATCTACAGTTCGTCTGTACTCTTGATCTACAAAGCTAGAGTTAATACTATTGAATACAAGGATCATTGATTGTGTTGATCTGTAAACTTTTGTGTGTGGTTATTTCTTCTTCATTTGGGTTGTCGAGGGTAGCTGGGTTGGTTCATTTATTTATTCGCTAATTCATTATACCTGTAATGGTTGCTCTGTGTCTCTGTTCTTCAATATCCTGTTGAATCTGAATGATGATTGTAACCACGGTAACAATAATAATAGCAGTAATTTAATTTTTTAAACAAAACAAAAAATTAGGATAGGGTATAATAGAATCAAATATGTAATTAAGCTAAAAAAAATCAAATAATAATGATTACCTTTTGGTTGGCTTCATTGTCTGTGTCTTGTGTAAGGAGTTTCTTTAATTGATTCAACTTTGCGTATTCATTGCTACAGTATTCCTTTGCCTAATAATCACATAACAAAAGACTATCAGCCAAACGACTCTAAATTATAACTTGATCACTTTTTAGGCTCAATAATGTCTTTTATTATTTTTAATGATTCATTCATTCATATACTGGCTATTTTAATTATTATTACTACTATTGTTATTATCATTATAGAACTTACTCGTGCAACATTGTTCTGATGAAGATTTTTAAGTTGTCTCGCGTTATCAATTTGGTTTGATTGCTACATTAGATAAATGTATATATATACATAGAAGAAGAAGAAAATATAATATAAGAACAATACACTTTAACACATATGATAAATTAAAATTAAATTTATAAAAAAAGACATGTAATAAATATATAGCTATAAAAGAATCGAATGTGTATGCATGGGTGCGTGTTTGTATATATATATATATGCACGCTTTTTTGTTTAAAGCAGACAGACAAAAAAAAACAGCCAACAATCTCTTTAAATACATGATATAATTATTACTGCTACAAGGATTAAAGAAAGAAAGAAAGAAAGAACAAAACAAAACAAAGGGACTTACAGTCTTTTTCAATTCTCGTTGTTCTGATAAAAAATCATCAAGAGGACGTTCTAGATGATGTTGGATTTGTTGGGCAAGATCAAGGTGGGCTCTACCGGTGGTTTCAATAGCACTAGGAATATTCGATAATGCGTCTGCAAAAGATCCTTGGCCGTCTGTATTGATCGAGAACTGGGACAGTTTTAATAAACGCTGACCATATTCTTCTTCGATGTTTGCTCTACAGACCCACATATATTATTATTAATATTGGACCAAATATATATATATATATATATATATATTGCTTACCTTGCTTTGTAAAGATTCTTTATATCTTGACATGTTTGTCTTGCAGTCCGTAATCGATCAGTAATGAGGTCCACTCCTCGGTCATGTTCGTCCTAAACGTAATATTGAATTAGATCTTTTGAATTGTGAATCTAAACATGCTGAGCAATTGTTTACCCAAAAGAATGTAGAGAACCGGTGGTTGGATATAGGTTTGGTTTGAACAGCTGCCATTAGCAGTGAGTATATATGTTGTAAAAAGATATATTATATATCTATATTATATATGATTTTACAAAAAGTAAAAAAAAAAGGAAGAAAAGAAAGAAAAAGAACAACCTAAAGGCTAGACCTGTGTTAGAAAATTATAAGTACCCAAGCACGACTATCAAACCAACTAACAATTTGGTACCCAAACACACGCACGCACCCATAACTACATATATACCATACACACACCATATCACTTACAATTACACAATCACACAATTACACAATTACACAATCACACAATTACTATTACACGATTACACAGTTATAATCACTCACAGAAAAGACATAAAGATAGGCAGCAATAGAAGACAAAAAAAAAGACAAAAAAAATGATGTGTTCTATATATAAATTCGTGATTTATATATGAGGATATGTGGATTTGAGGCGGGGATATAACCCAAAAATAGGTTTCTGTAATTAAAATTGTGTCCGAGAAGTTTATAAATATAAAATAATTTTCTTGGACTATAAATATACTAAATCAACTTATAAACCGTAAGAGCATTTACATATATATATATATATATATAAATGTATATATATGCGTGTGTGTGTGTGTATGCTTTGTATCGAGACTCTTATGCTAATATGTTGCTATGCTACTAATTGCCACTGAGAGCCTGTATCCATGCCAATTAGCAACTCTCCAACTCCACTATATCCAAGAACGATAATTATTATTATCAAATATTCTTTATCAATATATCAATTGGTCAATATTTATGTATTCATCTCAAAACCAAGTAAAGAGAAAGAACCAATGAAAAGAAGTCCAGCCAAATATGTTAATGTGCCTGTTCTTGCTGATTGCTTAAAGTGCCGTAACAGCTAAAGATCGTATTCAAACCTGTGGTTCCTTGTTTGTTCCTGTCATCAATGTCTATAAATCCATAGATTCGGGACAAACTACGCTCGTGAATAACGTCATGGATTTGGGTGTTGTATCTCGCACAGACATTTCCGAGTATGCATGATTTTTAGATTATTATTATTATTATTATTATTAGAAAAGAGTGTATATAATATATAGATAGGTGCATAAAATGACCATGACAATATCTATTTCCATGTATCTATACGTATACATATTCTTGTTCTTGTTTGGTTTCCATGTGAATGTTGATTTTATGTGTTTTTGTGAAATAATAATAATAAAACAACAAGAGAACATCTTATAAAACCTTAGGCCGTTTTACCCTCTTCACCCTGATTAAATATAATCGGATCAAATCAAATAGAATTGAATTGAAGTTAGTATGTGTAATAAACATTAAAATGGCAGTGATATTAAAGAATAATAAAATGGCATTTGGAATGATACTTACAGTCTCTAAAGTATTCATATATGTATCCATGTCGGCATCCAGATCAGCTTCCGATGGTTTGGGTCGAGGTTCCTGACGCCTGCGCTGATTTTGTCGATTGTCCCCACCACCGTTACTATTGTTGTTGTTGTTATTTCTGTTACGACGGTTGTACTGGTTGGATCTTCCGGAATCTCTTTGGCGCTGACCACCATAATTATCATTACTGTTGTTATTATTGTAATTGCTACCACGCATAGGAATTTGCTGGTATCGATTATTAATTACAGAAGCATAGGTAATACGCATTGGTCGAGCTGTAAAACAAATTAATTATTATATTGAAAGAATATATATATATTTACCATCCAATTCAACATTATTGTATGCAGTCATGGCTCTCTCTCCATCGCTTTGGTTTATAAAGACCACATCAGCCACACCTGATGATTTACCACTTGGATCCAAACGTAAAAATGCACGTTTGAGAGGACCAATCTGGCCAAATAGTTCCTATTGTTTGTGAAATTGTTAGTTGAATATTATATTAAATGAGATATATATATATATATTTGTATATGGATATGTATTTCTTTAGTGAATATAATTATTACATTTTAACAAGAATTCCAGATTACTTACGTAGAGATCACTCTCGGTCACACCATAGTCAAGATTGGCTACGACAAGACTATTACCAGAAACGGGTGTTACTGGGTTTGATTGTCCTCTCAGTCTTGAATAGAGAGGCTAAAAGTATTATTTTTTTATAGATTGTATATACGTGTGGTGTATCGTATCATAGTATAGTATAGTATAATATAATATAATATAATGGTAATAATGATAATGGTAAAAGTCTTTAAGTATAACGTTTTGTTTTCTTTTGTTTTGTTTTGTTTGCCTATGGTTGTTTGGTGGTTGATATATATGTATATATAATATACTGGCTTGAAAGATTATCTTCTATTTTTTTTTAAAGAAAAAAGAAAAAGAAAAAGAAACATACCGAATTATTGTCTCTGCGTGTATTTCTGTCCCCTCCTCTTCCGTTTTCTCTTGGTCTATTGTAACCGCGATTGTTATTACGATTGCCGTCTCTACCAGTACGCTGTTTTGAAATGACGTCGTCCAGTGACATATCAAGAGGGTTAGATGCCATGATGCTTTATTTTTCTTTGGTTGATCGGATGAATAATTGAAGTTGATGAGCTTGGATTGTTCGTTGCTTATGTATGTCTGGTTAAATTATGATTGGATCGCGTCTATATAATAATAATAATAATTTTATTATTATTGTTGTTGGCGTGTGTAATGCGTATATGGTGTGTGGTGCGTGCGTAGTGTTTAGCGTCTAGCGTCTATTGTATGTATATATATGTGCGTACTGTGTGCGTAGTGTGTGTCTCTCTTTCTTTCTCTTTCTTTCTCTTTCTGTCTGCGCGTGTGGTCTGGTGCAGTTCATTTGCTGAAATTTTGATAGTCCAAGATCTGTAGACTAAATGTCGACGTCATCTTGGCCTGAACCCCGCGGATAAACTCGAAGCATTTCGACTTACATAAATTATACATTACACTACACTACGTTATATTACTTTACACAATACTAAAATAATCATATTTTTTTTTAAAAAAAAATGTTAAAAAACGACTGTTTCAAATTGGGGGGTTTTTTTTTAAAAAAAAAAAAAAATCGGTCAAAATATATAAAATATTTTGATTTTATTGCAAGATAAAATGAATAGAAAGTTGAAAAAAAAATTGCAACAAGATACAATTTTGGTCAAAAAATTATGTTCAATTTGGAAGTAAAACTAATATGGAGTTAGTAGGAAGGAAGAGAGGAAGGAAGGGCAATAATGAAGTCCAAAGAAGTTGGGAAAATGGTTTGGTTAACTTGAGATTTAAAGAAGAAAAATAAAATAAAAGATTTCTGCGATTTTATGATTTATTTTACAGCCAATAGGGTTATTTATTTTGTGTTTTTTGAGTTTTTATTTTATTTTATTTTTACTGTAAAATAAGAAATGTTTCAAAACTTGTTAGTTGTTGTTTTTGAATACTATATGAATCTGGCCAGCTTATTAGTTTCAACTGTATTAGCGAATTGAAACTGTAGTATTCTGGATATACTTCTTTTATAATTCTTATTAATTAATATATATATATATATATATATATTGAATGAATTAACGATGGGTTGTTAACATTATCGATCAGAATAGTAGAAGAACAAATAAAAGGAGTTAATAAATACAGAAGAAAGAAAAGGGCCTAGTTAATTTTATCTTTTTGGTGATAAATTTATAGTTGAATCTGATCTAATTTATTCTAAATCTGGTGTATTGAAGTAAATTATAATTAAAGAGTTAGTGTTTCTGACCTTGCTGTCTATCATAATCATTTCATAAAATGGTCTGTAGATTAATGAGCAAAAAAGACCAACCTATAATCAGTAGTGGTGTCCCTTGGTAACAATGTATTCCAAGCTGTATATCATTTTATGATTATTCAAGAAATCAATAGTAATATATATATATATAGCCTCAAAGAAAATGCAAATAAATAAATAACTAATGAATAGCTTTCTCTTTGTAAATTGAAGCACAATTTCCATAACATCGGCAAAGGTTTTCAAATATCCTAAGCATAGGAAGAATGCGATGCTCTTCAAATACAAAACAGAATCTACAGAATTTGTATTTTTAGTTTCTTTGACTTTTGACAAAAGAAAACAAAGAAAAGGTACCAGCAAACCATTATAGATTTTGCAAGCCATTAGGGCTTATACGTTCACTCAAAGAGTGCAGACTCATTAAGTTAATAAATGATATTCTGTGTGATTGGTAGTGGAACTTATTAAGTAAAGAGGAAAATATTCAAACATTTTGGGGGTAAGACACTTGGGGGGGGGACAGACAAGGAGGATGAGGAGAATGAAAATTAAAAGAGCAAAAAAAAAAGGACATAAAATGGTAATAGCCGATTTTTGTTTTAAAATATTTTTTTTTTATTAGATATATATAAGCTCTCGCCTAAACGTGGGGAAAACGTTGAGAAATTTGGCCAATAGAATACAAAGCTGAAGAATAGCAATTGCATCATGACTTTTACTGTAAAATAAATATAAATATATATTTTCTATTTTTAATTTCCAAATCAAGTAAGGAAAAAAAAAAAGAAGAGTCCCAGGATTAAAAGACTATAAAAAGGGAAAATATTAGAATTAACAACAAAATCAACACACTTCTTTCTATTAAACTATAACAAAAAATGGATCCTGGATACGCCCTCCTCCAACACATCAAGACTGTGCCTAATCTGATCAATGAGGATCCAAGCATTACCACACCCAAGAACTCAAGTTTCATGGACATGCCCTGGTCTGAACTCTCCAAGCTTATCTCTCAACAGAGACGCTCATCAGAATCAAGTATTGCCTCTTCATCAACTCAAGACTCGACCATTGAAAAGGAAGACTTTAGTCTTGGCAACTGGGACTCTATGACTGGCTACCAAGATCATCGCCACAAGCACTCTTCTGCTTAACTCTTTTCTTTTTTTTAAAAAAAAGAAAAAATTCATAATATCTTTTTATCATCATTATCATCATTACAAAGCCAATCCCTCTATCTATCTCTGTTTTTTATATATATTGCATCCTCTCTTTTTATTCAACCAAATAAAACATCAACTTTATTTTTCAGTCTTAATCTTTACGTCTGTCTACCTATCTATCTATTGATGTGTTATCTATTTCACACTAAATTTCATTATCTCTTCTCTCTGCTTTGTTGTTATCAAAAAGACAGCTTACAGATAAATATTTGTTGATTGCACTACATAACATAGATAGAATAGATCCAAGCCATTGAAAACCAACTGGATTGATAGTCACACACACACAAGTACAACCCCGGATTGACTACCAAAAAGTTGTATGCCTTTCTCACGCCTACAACCAATCCCATCGAGTTCCCTTGGGCTGACAAAAACACAAGCAAAGAGTAGAAAATGTATTAGTTTAGAAAATAATCAAAAGTTAATATCTCTTTATAAATAAATACTTAGATAATGAAAGGCTGCTTCTTTTGACACACTTGCTGCAAACTTTTGATGCTCAAAATCACCAAAATGATCCTCAGTATGTCCAGCTGTGGATAATTTATGCATCCCTGCAGCCAGACCCCCTATCCATATGTCTATCTCTCCTGGACAGAAACATTGGCACAACAGACGCCAATCTTTATCAGACAATCGCAAATCACTACATACACCACTCTGAGTAATAAGAACTAAAACTGAATACTAATCATTCAACTCACACGTGGCATCTATATTTTAATTATTTATTTGTCTTACACACTCATTCAACCCCCCCCAAAAAAATTATTATGTAGACCAGAAAAGGCTTTGTCTATTTTGGTGCATGCAATCAAAAGAGGTGCTCAACCTGCACAAGCCATTCGACATCAATATGAAGCCCTACTGGCCAATATTCAACTTTCAGCTGTCACAAATGACATTACCACCGAGGTAAAGCAAAGTAACCTTTTCTTTTGTTTTGGATTACGTATACAAGACTATAAGACCGCTTTCCTAATCCCTAAAAAGAAAATCAACTCCACACCACGACTACTACTTTTGTCATTCTTGATAATATATATATATATAATTATAATTATACAAAAAGGCTCGTAGTGAATGGATAAACCACTGTCTGTTACCAAGAGGTAAATGTTCAGTTGACAATTTATTTTCTGCAATTATAATGTAAGCTGTCATAGAAAAGTGTCGGTCGATTAGGTGTATGGTTCACGGACCACCTGAAGGATTGCTGGAGTTGGGCTCAAACTCGCTTGAATCATTATTGAATGCCTGTGACTGTCTTGAATCGCAGATCCGTTTGTGTGGACGGGTTGCCCGGCTGAAAGAATGTGTTGGCCGAGGAGAGGACATTTCGCTAGAGGAGCTGAGGTCCATGTCCATGGCCAAGTCAAGATCCAATTGGCCAACCCATAAATTTATTCACCGTTCCATGGAAAAATTTGGTAATAATTTTTTTTTGAAAGGGAAAATTCTTTTAGACAATCACCTCATAGTCACAGAATAACCCCGACTACTCCCCCCACACACAAACACAGATTGCACTGAACTATACTACTATTAAATAAAATTATAATACTCATTCAAAAATAACTTTTTTTTTTGCTCTGTTTCCCCGCATTCCAGACCCTGTCCTATGCCATCAAAAGCTAAACTTGGTGTCTGGCAAGAGTCAATTAGAATCTCACCAAACACAAATATCGTCTGCTGTTCTGCATCTGCCCGTACTCAAGCACCCGGACATCGATCGTTTCTTGCAAGACCACAGACATTTTCATGACCTGTCTTGTCAACCGACACCAAAGATTGGTGCCCTCAAGTAACAGAAAAATAAAAATAAAAAAAAATAAAAATTCTAATTCTAATTCCAATACAAAATTCAAAATTCAAAATTCAAAAGGACTAATTCGAAATCACTCCGCCGCCATCTACTACCACCACCACCAATATTAGGAAAAACAAGAACAAGAACAAGGGAAACTCAGCAGTCTGTGCCTGTCATACGGCTTCAATCAGACTACCAAGTCATTAATGTCCTAGGCAAAGGAGGCATGGGCACTGTCTACAAAGTCAAGCAGATCCACACCAACAAAACCTATGCCTTGAAGGTCCAGTCCCCAGCCCATCCTCTCGAGTTTTACATTCTGCAGCAGCTGGCCCAGAGACTAAACCGGCCTGCAGACCATCTGATCACAACTGCTCACAATGCATGGGTCTACAACTCGACCAGCTTCATGCTCCTAACCCATCTCGACGGAGGTACCCTGCTGGATTGCTTAAATATCACACGCACACAAACAGACCTAAATACATACACAAGCACAAGCACAAACACAGGCAGAGGCACAAACCAGCCTGCAATGCCAGAACCCATGGCTCTCTTGTTGTCCATGAACCTCCTTGATGCCGTCTGGGAAACACACCAGACCGGAATAATCCACGGAGATCTCAAACTTGACAACGTACTGATGGACTGGCAACCAGACATACCAACATCCACTACAGTCTATCATCCACGTCACCCCTGGTGGCATCCGATACGTCTCATTGATTTCGGCCGCTCTCTAGACACAACCCTCTGGCCCAAATCATCAAACCTCAAGTGCCTGGCGTCCTGGTCGCCCCAACCACACGATATGCCAGACATCAACACAAAGCCATGGTCTCCCAGAGCCATTGACTATTGGGCAGTAGCTTCCATGGCTCATCTTCTGTTATTTGGCCAGCCCCTGCGGACTCTAGAGCTCCGACAGCCTATCAGACGCTACTGGCACACCACGCTCTGGCGTTCTTTTTTTGATGTTCTTCTCAAGCCAGTAGCAGCCCAAAGTCCAACCCAACCAGAAGTTAATCGAGACTATGATCAAGACAACAATCAGGCTGTTCAGAAGGTTATACAAGACATCCAGAACTGTCTGATTACTGAATCTCAAAAGGACCCCAGATTATTCAAATTAAGAATAGGTCTCCAACAAAGTTTACAACAATATTTAAAAACCCAAAACCTAAAATAATCACAACATCCAACAACCAAACAGTCAACAATAGTAATAGTAACATTCAATTATTAATTGGCAATAGCACTGTACATATATAAATATACATATACTTCTTTCTTTCTTTCTTTCTTTTGTGTGGGAGTGGGAATGGGAATGGGAATGGGAATGGGTGTGGGTGTGGGTGTGGGTGTGGGTGTGGGTTTGTGTACAAAATCTATTTAGGTACGGATATGGATCTTGCCTGCCTTGGTAAGACTGCGAACTCCCTATTTTCACACGCACACACACACACATATATATATACATGCACAAAAGCACAAAAGTATAAATGCGCACATGTACAAATAATAATAATATTAACGGCAACAGTAGCAGCAACAGCAACAGCAACAGCAGCAGCAATAAGCAAATAACAAATATATAGTTTAATAACCAAAACTAATAATAATAATAATAAGAATAATAATAAAAGCTTACCTTGTATGGCTTGTATCCTTCATGGAATACTCGCAAACTGTCGACCTTTAGCCCAGAGACAGCGTACATGTTGATTTGGAAATCAAGAGAGATTGTCATACTTGCCTCTGGATCACTCTCACTTGAGAGTTTGGTTAAGTTTCAATAGGTAGATGTACATTAGTTAGAAAGATAGAAAAATAATACTAATCTTACTATTACTATTACTATTACTATTACTATTTTACCTAGTACTGTATGTACCAGACAGCATTGGTGCTCTTTCTTTCAATTGAAGTTTACCAATATCCCATTTGATTGTCTAATGCAAAAACATGTTCATTTATAAAGAGAAAATAAATTACAATCGATATTGATATTGATATTGGTAAATTGTCAAACTTATATTCTTTCTCTTTTATATACCTTTGAAACTGGGTCATACATATATTGACCAGCATTACAAGTAGCATTTACACTAGTTGTGCTCTTTGGTACCGGTAATGTCAATACAACCCGTTCGATCATTTTTCCGTCAGTTGTACGAGGATGAACTGAAATATCAAACTTGCCTATAATTCAATTCAATTGATTTTATTTTATTTATGGTGTCAGTGATAATTATGCTTATATACATATAGACATATAGACATATATTTGTGTGTGCATCTATGCATGTATGTGTTTTACCTCCATTCTTTGTGGGCAGTATTTGGGGTTTTACCTGAACAGGCATTGCATTATATTGTGATAATGCAGCTCTAGATAAACCACCAAGTAGATCAACAAAAATTATTGGTATTGATTTCTCAAGGATGATTTACACATCTTTGTGAATATCATCTTACTATTTCTTTACCTGTATGACATAAGCTTGAATTGACCATCCGGAGGCACAAATGAAAGTACCTTTTCACTTTCCCACTTGCGATATCTTGTTGATCATTATTATTATTAAGAAATAATCACAATTTACCATCATCATTTGTAGACTTCTTTCACCTCCCTGTCCTTCTTGTATACATTTTTCTTTTCTTTTTGCTTATATTCATTTTACCTTACGCATGGGTGGAAACTCACATCATCAATTGCTCGAGGATTGACAAAATTGAGTGTCAAATCTGGCATACCCGACAATTTACTGTTGGCAATCACATTTCCATGAGCCTCACAGGACAGAAGAGTTCCATTTCTAATCAATTATATTTTATTAGTTGATCGACCCAATATAATCCATAACCACAGTTCTTTTTTAAATATACACACACAAAATAAAAGAACTTACGGTGCAATTGTAGCATCAATCTCTTCCACAATATCAAAATAAATCTCATTCTGTGTATATTTTACGCCTGCCTTTCTCCATGGTATACTTGACATGTTCTGAGGGAATTTTGGAGCAACACTGATTTGACCATTTCCAATAGATATATTAAATATTGACAAGACAAAGTGTTAGTACAACTAATACTGGTCTTATTAATATTCTACTCTTTTTCCGCTTTTTTTTTAATTAATCCATATTATTACCCTGCTGCTGCTCCAACAGTTGTCATGACCTTGTTCATAATAGTAGGTGGCATAATAATCTCCTTGAGTGCATTTGGCTCTGTTGTCAAAGGATATCCATAATCCATCATTTCCTCCAAAAGCTATGTGCAGCAACACGAGTACCAATACCAACACCAATATCAACACCATAGTAGTTCACACACACACATATATATATATATATTCAACAGTAAATAACAAAATCAAATACTCTTTTATTATATCCGTATATGTCATACACGCTAATTTCCTCCATGTAATTTATTGATCTTACTTGATATACTGTAACAAAATTATCGCGGATTGATGTCTCGGAAACGTCACCCAGGTAATCGGTCAAGATATCGATTATCCGATGTATAAACTCAAATACCAGCATTGGATCCACTACATATACATTTTCGCATTTCATTACACCGCACTTTTACCTCACTGTAATATCCAACCGCACAATATACTACTCTCAACCATGCACAATCTTACCTTCTCTTTGGACAGGACATAACCACGCCAAATCACACCTCAAGACATTAAGGAGCCAGTAGTTGTCGGTTTCTAGAATAGGTGGCACGTCTTCACGGGTATAGAATGTCTCTTTGAGATTGATACCGAGATCTGATTTATCCATTGTTCCCGGTACAGAATTCATGTACTTTGCACATTCGTCATTGAATACATCCACCACCTGTCTAGAGATGTTTCCTCTCCATTGCTTCTCGATGATTATCTTTCTAGAATCATCATGTAGATTCGTTACCAGAAAATAAGATAAATAAATAACAGTAACCATAATAGATACTTTTCTTTACTTATTTTATATAATTCTTCAAAGATACTTACCCTTGACGGTTAATAACAAAAAGTGCGTTTATCATCCTTGTATCAACAGACAAACGTAATAGAGTGATAGTAGTAAAAACGCGCTAATATATATTTATATGTAGTTGTTTGCGTTTTTTTGGTTAAGATACAATAAAGGTAAAAGTTAAAAAGAAAAAGAAAGAAGATTTGATAAAGTTTGACGTTCTTTCTTTTTTTCCCCCTCTTTTCCTCCTTTGTGGTTTTGCACACAGACTCACTTGTTTTAGAATTGTTGGATTTTGTACTGTTCCATCACGTGACCTATAGATTTTCATTTTTTTTTAAAAAAAAAACCATCTAGTTGTAGACGCAGGTTTATATCAAGGAGGGCGTTATATATTTTGCTATACTCGGATTTCCTCATTTTGGTTTTATTTGTATAAAAATATACTCGGTATTTGTATTATTATTAATGAGCATATAAAACATAGAGAATACATATATAAATATAAATAAACTTAGCATAATTTACATAGATTTTGTCCACAAAGGAGCACGGCAACTGGTCAAAGATATATATCTTCCTGAATCCAGCACTGGCATAGTTAACAATATGTTGTCAATGAGATTATTCTGGCTTGTTGTTGATCGAATAGTGTTAGGGAGCGTGGTAGTCATATTTCTGTTATTCATAAATTGAAGCAAAGTGGCTTTCTTGATTGATTCTCTTGTGAAATCAACATTAAAATCACCAGCGATCGTTATATGCATATAATCATGGCTAACAACAAACTATACTGGGGATACTTATATGCTACAGCATAAGTTATTGATTAATATGAATAATGATATGCTTGTTGATCCACCTGCTTCATCAATGAACATTCTGGAACTAATTGTATAAACTGAAGAATTGTCATTTGAGCCGGTCGTACTAGACAAAAGAGAGCTACGAATATAGCAGCAAGAACCAGAAACTCGTGCATTGGTTGGATGGCTGTCTATGCGAGATATATTATCCCTCATTATTAGGTAGCGCCCAAGTTTTATTGCAAAGAATAATATCAGATGGTAAGTATACTTGATCGCTAGTTATCTGGTTTATATGTGCCTTCAAGCTTTGTACACTATGTCAAATTAACTGTAACGACTCACATATTGCTTTATTGGATAATGAAAGGAGGAATGGTATGATCTGATACGACAGCTTCCTCAGATTGTACACAATTGTCTAGAGACACCTTCAATAGACCAACTGAAGTATTTTCTAATGGTGGGAATTGTCTTTTTTTTTTGTTACCTCAGCAGCACAACGTACTAAACTCATTGTGCTACAGCTATCCAATCTTCATTTTTACCTTGTGGAAATCAAAGATGAGTATATTCAACAAGATATCCCCCTTCTTTACGATCGTATCTGCAGGAGAAATGATTAAAATAATCAAAGTCAATTCACCGTATTGCCCTAAAGCACAAATTACCACTTGAAAGTACTCTGACCGTGAAAAAACCTGAAAATCATACGTAAATCTAATTTTTATTTTTAATAATATCGCCCTTTAATATTATAATATAGGGAAATCTTACGGATAGCCTAGCTGGATAGCCTGGAAGGACAGCCTGAAAGTATGCGATATCACTCATAATAAGGGGTTTAATGGCTATACACATTTTTTTTGGGTCAGGGTCAGACTTTGCAGCAATCTTACGGTAGCCACGTTTCCTGGTGGGGTACGATATTTCTATCTAACCGGACTAATCAATTCTGACTACTTGTCTGGAGAGCAGCGTCTTTCTCTCATCCTTCAGGGCAAAACAGTGTGTCCTCAAAGAAATACAATATATTCATTGTACGCATTAGCTTTACTACTTTGTCACTACACTTTGTATCCAATAATCTCTCGCCAGGAACCTAACTTTCATTACTTAAAGAACCACAGCCTGTATTTAAGCAGCTTATTAAGATGCTGTCTCATACGAAAAACAAATTCTGTATATTCTATTAGCAGCCTAAAATATAGACCTAACAAAGAGATAATAATTAATCGCAAATACACTATACCAAAAGGCAGTTATGCAAAATACTATTAGGAGTTGCTGTCATTAGATTGTGACGCAATCTTGTTTGATATCTTACTATTTATTGACCTGCTTACGCGTATCATGTCTTTGTCTTTCTTTCACCTAAATATTCCCAGAGTTCGACAGCACCAGCTGGTAAGTAATCCCCTTCCGCTCTTTTCCCGAAAAGTACAAAAGAATGTCTTTATTCAAATATTCTGTATCCTTAGGAGCCAGAGAGAGTTATTTCATGATGGAAAAAAAGGCCACGATTTGTGTTCCGGTAGAATAAAAATGTCACCCCTCACCAAGAAATACCTTCCCTCTAAACTTAGGGTACACACTGCCCAGACTGTCCTGCCAGACTATCCGTAAGGTTCCTTTTTCTCTCTCTTCCAGATTCTCATTTCTTTTAAACTTTTTTTTTGCTTTTCATTTCTTCTTCTCCTCCCCTTTATTTTGATCCTCAATTGATAGCATTGTTTTTCAGTGATTTTCAGATTTTCAGATTCCCGGTTCTTCATCATGTACAACAGAGCAAAAGCCGCTTGTAAGGCTTCTGGAGTACCCATGTTACAAGAAAATGGCGATCAACACCTTGCCATGCTTGACCAAGCCGGGTTGGATGTGGTATACGTAGAAGAGTCAGGCGACAAGCGACCTGTTATCATGGGGAAAGGGGCTATCATACGAGACTGCATCACGTATATGAAATACGTTGCTGGTAAGCTAATGAGAGGTGCTTTAGTTTCAACTTATGATTCTTACTGCAATCCTTCCCTCTTAGCAGGCACTCAAACAGCGCCTTCAACATCTGCGATAGCATCCTCGCCCGTGTTATCCTGTAGAAAGCCAAGGGGAACGGTACGGACAAGCTGGAAATATGCTGACCGGACAAGCTAGAAAGTCAAAACTGAAAATGTAGCAACTTCACTGAAAAAATGGTTTTGCATGTTACACGCATGTTTTTGGGGGGAGGAGATCAGATAAATTATTCTTCATATTGCAAATAAAATCACTGCCCTTTTTTTTGACATTTAATGCCATTCACCAGCGTACGAGGGAATTGAGCCACGTCATATACGATTCCAATTGTTATTCAGCATCTGTTTTTTAATTATTTACTAAAATACCCTACTAATTTTTTTTTATTAATGATTTGTTTAATTTTGGCTATATAAAATGAGCTTTTTAATGTACGGTTGTTTAGTACATTCCTTTTTAGTAACTAGAGTCCTTATTTTAGAAATTTTATCAATTCAGAATCGAATAAATTACTATGAAAACTAATTTTTCTTTCAATTCCCTCGATGCAATTCCCTCGTACGCTGGTGAATGGCATAACTCCATAAACTCCATATAGAACGCCAAAAAAGGAACATGAACAAGTAGCTATACTTGTTGACTCTGTAAAATATTTTTTTATTGTAAAGAGGTCATAAGATTGAACAAGTTAAAGACATAAAGGTTTTAGTACCAAGAGAGTAAATGTTAGATCAATAATTGTTGGGTAATTTTTCGTTTTATATATAACTATGAATTTAAAATTGAGTAAAAAAAAATGAATAAAAAGGGGTTATTTTGTATACAAATCTACTTTAATCATAGACTAAAGAAAAATCTGCAAAGTGGTTTTGGGAAACTATGTTCTTGTGGTATAGGTTGATAGTCGGCCACCTCATGCGAGCCGTGCTTGGTTTACGTTCGACCAATACAAAGTGTGAGTTCTGGAGATAAAGAATGATCGGTTCTCGCTGGATTGGCTGAGACTTAAAAGGAAGAAAGAGAGTATTGTTGCCTTCCTTTACATGATTTTCATTGTAGAGGGCTACGGCATACTTGAATGTATCGGCCACAATCTGCGGACAGTCCATGGTGTCGAACCAGTGTTTGGTCGGAAGTGGGCTGTTCTTGTCCTTCAGGATTTCGGCCATGGGAGGTCGGCTGAACGACTCATGAGAACTGTCTATTCGTGTCTTGTAGAATGTGTCTCTGTACTCTAGATACTTTTTTAGCATCTTGTCCTTCACCTTGGGCCATTCTTCTTCATTGTTGTAGATTGCTATAGCAACCGCTCTAAATCCACAGTTTCCATCCGCCTTTGGAACGGTAACCTTGGTCAACCGGTCAGGCGTTATGTCCAGGTTTTTCAGCGAATTTCTGACAGACTCTGATCCAATGATCTCAATTTCATCAAGGTCTTTCTGAAACTGCATATATGCAGATCTTAATCTTTTTTTTTTTGTTTTATTTAATTTGATTTGATTTATTTATTTAAAAGAAAAAAGAAAAAAAAAACATACACACATACAATAGTTAATAACAATAAAGATAAAATATATGGATAAAAGAGCTATTTTTATTAGTGCTACTTACTTGTCCTCGAACTTGTCGACTTTTGGTCTTTTTCTGAATTTTGAACTATTGCTGTCAAGATTCTTGGTCTTTTGGGCTTCGTTCTTTTGTTTAGAAGATTCTGCAGCGTCTTCCTTGAATAGTTCCTCAAAGTTCGACTGGTTGGCCGCACCATCTCCGATACTATTGATAACGTATATGATTCGTTTCTTTTCATTTAGGTCGTCGATGCTATTGTAATATCCCAGCATCTTGTGCACTGCACGCAACAGCTTTGATGCCAGGTTATCGGATATCTCAGAAAGACTATTCAATTCGGTTTCGGTTTCTGTGTCACTGTTCGCAAAAGTGTTTATGTCTGTATCCTGGTCCATATCGTTTTCCATAGACTGGGAATCATGATTGTCAGGTGTTAAGGGTCCACGATAATCGTATATTTCGGTTCTCCCGCATAATTCTCGTTCACAATCCTGTCAAAAAAAAACAGCAAAGAATAAAATATAACATAATAAATCAAAAATAAAGATAATAATTAAAGATCTTGAATAAACAGCTTATTTCGTTTAATACATATATATATATTATATTATATGAACACATTTGCAGTATTCGATTGTAATTGTGATTGGTATTAACGTTAATGTTAATGGCATAGTAATTTGCTTGTCTCTTTGAAATTGGATCACATATGACACCACTTTTGTATGTTTGTTTGTTTTCATAGCACAGAATTTATTTCGTACTTAAAGCATTGGGCTTTACATATATATTTTTGTTGCTGTTTCTGGATCTGTTGTAAGACATAAACGTACCGTATTTTCACACCACTTGTTTGCTTTTAGGTGCCCGATTTTCATTTTTTCGATGTCATTGGCTAGAGAATCATTTAATTGAGTTGTCAATCCGTCCGTACTTGTGATATGATTACTAGTAGGCTCTCCCATCTTATTTCCATAAATTACATATACCGATCCATTCACAAACACACAATATATACATATATCACACGCACATACACAATAAGAAGAATAAAACATTAAACTCTGATTTGTGGCTTGCTTGCTTGTTTTTTTTTCTTTCAAAAAATTTATAATTTTTATAATTTTTATAATGGTAATAATAATATGCTTCTTTTTCTTTTCTTTTCTTTTTCTTTTTCTTTCTCTTTTCTGTAGGAATTGAGAGGTACATACTATATCTCGTCCATTGGTCCCAGCACAACTACTTCTATTTTGCTTGGCCTGACCGATAGGAGCATAAACGGTCGTTGTGGTTGTGGCTGTGGATACGCTGTTGGTTTCGAGGTCTTCTTCTTTTATTTGTCTTGCTTCTTCTTCCTCTCTTTGTTGTTGTTGCTGTTGTTCTTCTTCTTCTTCATCGCCTTCTTTTTTAGTAAGGTAGTAATTAAAATAACCATTGCTCTTGCTGTTACTGATGCTATTTCTCTGAGGTCTGACTCTGTGGTTGTGTCTTGCTTCTCGGCTTTGTATAGTCAACCAGCCATAATCATCTTTTATGGCATAGATATAGCATGTGCACGGAATCCTTTTGAAACCTCTGTACGCGTTTCTAATTACTTTATTTTCTTGTGAAGTATTATAGGAACACGCAGAGGAGGAAGAGGAAGATGGACAAGTAAAAGCAGTAGCAGTAGCAACAGCAGTAGCAGACAAACTTGCAAAAGCACCGGCACTATCTTTTCTTCTCTTATCTTTTTCTCGATATTTTCCAGTATGTTTGCAAATAATTTTTAGATCACTTCTCTTTGAATTTTTCGTTATGAATGCGACGCTGTATTTTTTGCCGTATTCTTGTAACATTTCCCGTATATGGCTGATGGAGTCAAATTCTCTTCCAATGCTAAATATTTCATTGAAATCAGCAATCGCTGCTTCTGCAATTTCAGAGTGTAGATTGTTGTCGTTCCTATTGTTCATTTATAATGATACAAATGAAATAAATTATAATTGTGTGTAGTATGTGGAGGAGTGAAGGTGTAGTATGCGAGAGTTCTTGTACTATATATATATATATATATATATATATGTATAGTATGCAGCGTGTGTTCGTATTCGTGTTCGCGCTCGCGTTCGTGTCTGTATACGTATGCGTGCGTGTATTGATTTCTCTCCTTTCTTTTTTTTTAAAAGTTAGGATGATTTTGATAATTTTTAATACTATAGTGTTTATATATATATATATAAAGCAGAGAAAAAACAAAACAAAACAAGACGTAGGTAGAATGAGGTTCAGGAACAAGAACTTGGTCTTATGTAAGCTATTGTATTATCAAGCAACAAAAAATTTAATATAAAATTCATGATGTCACAGATTTCATGTATCTCATTATTTCTGCTAATATTGATCATCTCAATGGAAGCTTATATCTATATCTGTATATAGAAAATGAAAGGAAAGAAGGAAAGAGATACCGAGAGATCGAAACGAAGAGGTAATAATCCAGTATTTCAAACGCAAAAACTACAAAGGCAAGGAAAAATTATGTTATAAATTGTATTTTTTTTTTAAGAAAGTCTTCTTTGTCTTTTATATATAAAAGTATTTTTTGAATATGAAAAATGTATTCAATGTTGAATTCTGAATACCCTCCTATAATATACGAATATTCACAAGCCAAATCACATATACTAATGAATTTATACTTAATTATACGAAAAATAAATAAACTATAAAATAATAGTTATTGAGTAACTAAAATCAAGATCAAGTTAAAGACATTTGACACCATGCAAAAAAAAGTAAAAATAAAATAAAAGTATGTTATATTTTTTTTGTCTTTCCTATCAAATGCTTGTTACATTTTATCTCATTTTATCCCTCTACTTAAAAATTGAGTGGAATAAATGGTACCTCTTTAACCAAAGTCACAGAAGCAGTCAAAGCTCTTCTTACCTGTCTAATAATTATTATATATAGTAACATAATATTATTATTTTTCAGGGCTGTCAAGATTTACCCAAAGGGCACAAATTTTCAACCAACCAACCAACCAACCCCCCCACTCTTATTTTTTTTTGTCAATATACTCCAATGCATACCATTCGGTTTGCCATTTCAAAAAGGCCATTGTCAATTACCAAGACTGGTCAAACTCTAAAGGCATTCCAACCCCTCAATCGCTTGTCTTACTCGAGTGCCTGTCATACTACACAAGATCCAGTCGAGATCTTGCATTCTCCAGAACAAGAAACCAAGCCTACAAAAAGCAATCCCAAGAAGAGACTTGTGTTTGACAGTAGATCACCATCATTTGAAGAATTCTTGGCTAAAGGACCAAAAACTCCCATTGACCCTGCCCTTGTACGCCCAGACAATATTCCTTACCTCAATGTAAATGGCCTTGACTGGGGCCGCGGTCGTAAATTCTACATTGAAGTGTATGGATGTCAGGTAAATTATAATCGAGCTAATAAATATAATAGTAATTCTAATAATTTTTTTTATTGGATAGATGAATGTAAACGACACTGAGATTTTGAATGCTATTATGACAAATGCTGGCTATGAACGAACAACCGAAATGAGTGAAGCTGAAGTTGTATTTCTTGTTACCGTAAGCCAATCGAAAGATCATGCTAGATTAGATAAGCTACAAAGAAAGAGACCACCTGTGCTAAATATTTGGATTCAATCTAGTGTGCTATTCGTGAAAATGCAGAAACCAGAATATGGGAGAGACTCAAATATTTGCGCCATTACCGAACAAAGATCAATGTAGACAAACCGCCACTGGTTGGTGTCCTTGGTGTAAGTTGACTATTTTACTTTTTCCTTTCAAAATAATAATAATGTCTGCTTGGTAAAATGTATAGTGTATGGCAGAGAGACTAAAGACAAAAATGTTGGAACAAGACAAATTGGTGGATATTGTGTGTGGGCCTGATGGATATCGATCAATTCCTCATCTTATTTCACTTGCCGAAAATGAATACCACAATGGTGTTGCCAACGTTATGCTCTCAGCCGATGAGACTTATGCAGATGTGATGCCGATGAGACTCGACAAAGACAATGTATCTGGGTGGGTATCAATCATGAGAGGATGCAACAATATGTGTAGTTTTTGCATTGTTCCTTTCACCAGAGGTAAGCTTATTGTTATTAACATCAGACTCCTTTTTTGAAAAATGAAAAGAAAGACTTTACAAAAAAATATTCCATAGCTATGTTAAATTTAAAACCATGTAATATTATTACTTTTATGCAGGAAACGAACGTAGTCGACCAATTGACTCCATTATTGATGAAGTACGTTATTTGAGTGATCAGGGTGTTAAAGAAGGTAATGGACAAAACTATATACTTACAAGCTGTGATATTGACAGTTCTATTGTTATATTGTTATATTTATGTGAGCAATTAATTAACCAACTTCATTATCTTTAGTTACTGTACTTGGTCAAAATGTAAATTGTGAGTAGAATGGATACCCTTTAATTTATCTACAATTTAATAATTTTTTTTAAAAAAAAAGCTTATCGGGACACATCTGAGTCTACATACTACATGTCAGAGGCTCCTTTGGGAACAGAGCTAAGCAACCCAGGCTTCAAAACAATCTACAAGCGCAAGGATGGTGGGCGTCGATTTACCGAACTGCTGGATAAGATCAGTCTTGTAAACCCAGAGGTAAGACCGGAAAAAACATACACATATATATAATTTGATATTTTATTTTTACTATCAAACAAAATAGATGCGTGTGCGATTCACTTCTCCCCATCCCAAAGATTTCCCTACGGATCTCTTGCATCTGATTGCCTCTAGACCAAATCTGTGTAAATCCATTCACATGCCGATCCAATCAGGAAGCAACACTGTCCTTGAGAGAATGCGCCGAGGATACAAACGTGAGGCATATCTTGACCTTGTAGATGAGATGAGACGCATTATTCCAAATGTCTGGATTAGTAGTGATTTCATTACTGGTTTCTGCGGAGAAACGGACGAAGAGCACCGTGACACAGTAACTCTGATGGAACAAGTAAAGTATGATACAGCATTCATGTTTGCCTACAGGTAATTCCGTAAAACAGTAATAACAGCACCAACAGCAACAGCAATCAGAAGGAGAATAAGAATAAGAAGAAGTATTGTATATACGATCAATGCCTCTTTTCTTTTCTTTCTTATTTTTTTTCCTTTCTTCCTTTCTTATACACATACATACACACATACATATGCATATACACATATGTGTGTTTCATTTTATTAGTATGCGAGAAAAGACACACGCACACAGACGTTATGTGGATGATGTTCCTGAACCAGTCAAAGCCCAGCGTTTAAACGAAATCGTCACAACATTTCACAGGGTCGCAGGTGTAAAGAACCAGAAATTGATTGGAACCAAACAATTGGTACTAATTGACACCGAAAGATTAAAAACGAAACGTGGAATCGAAACCCGATTGAGTGGTCGAACTGACGGTGGTCATAAGGTGTTTATTCTGGAAAGCCCGAGTTTGGCTCCGTTTTCAAAAGGTGATTATGTTGCAGTCGAGATTACATCAGCCACAAGTGGCAGCTTTACAGGCAAGTTTTTGTCGCCTAGTTCAATCCAGCAATTTTCAACTGCATAAAAAATTGGAGATATGGTAGATTTAGAGATATAGATAGAAAAGTTGATACTATTGCTTTCATTGTCATTGTTATTATTGTTATTGTTATATTATCATTATTAGTCCTTCATATTTCTTACATTATATTCCTTTACTATTTTAATACACCCAAAAACTACAAGAGAAATACAATGCAATACACAAAATATACTTCTTTAAAGTACGAGTTTTTATTTACTTATATTATATACAATGATCATGAGCAATCATATCACAACGCCATGTTTTTTCTTTCTTTATTGCTGGAGGCTAAGACTGCATGCTTCTTGGTTGCCGGTCATCTCTTCTTGGAGTATGCAATTGAAGAAGAAAGGAAAACGAAGTGTAGATGTGAGGAAAAAGAGAAAAATTACTGAGGAAGAATACAGTATCTTTTCTATTCAATTTATTTTATGACAACCGACTCTCTTAAAAGCTAGTAGAGTCTTTATCTATTTTCTTGAAAACATACAATACGACAAGAAAAAGGGTCATTATTGGGGCTACTTTAGGGGCATTTCTTTTGATTGGACCCTTTACCTTTATAGAAGACTATGTATCTCTAATCTCTTACAGATGTAACATTATATTTACATATGAACCTGCTACAGTGGTCCCTCGATAATTTCACGCCCCTTTAATTTCACGCTTCGATAATTTCAAGACTCTGAAGACCCAACTCGAAAAATAGGGCTTAACTTTCACGATTCTCGTTAATTTCACTTTCACGAAATTTTTTGGCCTTGAATCCTTAAAGAAAAAAAATTAGCCAATCAGACGAGAGCAATATAGTTACAGCTTGGTTTAAATTTTTTTAATTCTAGCTTTTCACGATTTTGTAATTGACATCAATGTCAAGTGCGTTAAGTTTTCATGCCAAACACTGGGTTATCAAGTTGTCATCTAGCTTACTTTTTTTAAAATTTTTTTTTTTCATTTTTTTTTTAGAAATAAAATAAAACTATATGTGCTATATTTTGATTAAGTTTCATTTATTAATTGTTTAGTAAAGATTATTCACTTGAAAAATATAAATATAATTCTAATTTGTTTTGTTATAAAAGTTTTTATTATAGATTTTATTATTTCTATCTGTCATTACTATTTATTGTTATTTGCAATTGTTACTATTTACAAACATATTACGAAATCAAGCTTTGACTGTACTTGGTTGCTAATTTTTTTTTCTATTTTTAAATGAAGAAAAATATATTTCTTATAGAAAATTGTTTTTATTTTATTTGAAAAAGAATAAATTTGAAAAAGACTTAAAGAAGCTGGTTACTTTAGTTTGCTTTGAGTTCGCGGTTTTCTGGAACTTGTTTCTAAGGCCTTCAACCTTACTGACGAAGTCTCTGTCAATATCCTCGTCTTCCAAGATATCCAAAAGCGTGCAAACACACTCAAACTTTTCCGAAGCAGAATAAGTTCTCTTGAAAGGAACTGCTGATTCCACTTCAGCAATTTCTTCATTGCTGTTGTTGTTGACTGCATTGTTGTCTGCGTCATACTCTTTCATGACAATGTCAGCGATCTCATTCTCATTGATTACTCTATGAGTGCATTGTCTCTCATAGAGTGGATCTGATTCGCTGGTCGGACAATCTTCAAGAGACAGAAGACCTGATCCGGCAATCTTGTCTAGGGTTTCTTCCAAGCCCTCGACCAGAACCTTTTCAGCCAGACTTTGCTGAATCATAGCCTGGTTTACATCTATAAATTATAATTAGAATATTAAGAAAGTGGAATTGAAAGATTATAGTACTATTATAACCAATAAATTATTTTACTAATACCTTCACTATCTTTGTCTTCAATGAAGTGAAAGATTGTTGCATTCCAGCAGTTCTCAATAGTCTTTGCTGAGACAGATTCCCAAGCCTCTCTTATCCATTTCATGGCCCACAATTGATCAATTTCAAAGATTTTATCAATGGCCCCAATCTTATTTTGTTGGTCATTTTGAATCATGCCAATATACTGATATGCCTTGGCATACTGTTTACGCTTGAAATAAGCCTTAAAAGCCCAAATGATACCACCATCCAATGGCTGAAGGTGGGACGTGGTGTTTGGAGGCAGAAAAAGAAGCTCAACATTTGTAGGCGCATAATCTACTATATGGCCAGAGAAATTATCAAGGATCAAAAGCACTTTGTGGTTTTGCGCTTTCATTGAACGATCAAAGCGATGGAGGAAAACATGGAAGATTGATCGTGTCATCCAGGCATTACTGTTGTAATGATACATAGAAAATCCATGATCTACTGCCTCTTGTTTTTTGTTGTTTTTGTTAAAACAGTTTGGTCTTCTTGCATGACCAATCATCAATATGTCAGACCACTTGTCTGTTCCATCGGCATTGCACAAAAGGCCTACTGTAAGCCGCTTCTTATTTTCCTTCCAACCAGAAAATTTCTGGTGGGAAATCGTTGTTCTTGGTGGGGCAGCATAGAAAAGTACTGTTTCATCAAAGTTATAGATATCACAAGCACTATAAGTCTCTATCTTCTCTTTGATAGCAGCCTTGCCAATCTGAAGCGACTCTATGTCTGTTGAACCAGCCTCACCATGAATTCGATTCATCTTGATACAATGACGCTTTCCAAACTTCTCCATCCAGCCTTGAGAAGCATTAAAATCTTTAACGCCTATTCTTTCAGCAAAAATAGTAGCTTTAGTCTTAATCAATTCCCAAGTGATGGGAATCTGATTATTTGCAGCAATGTTGATCCAAAGAATCACTGCTTCTTCGATTTGCTATAGTTATGTGACAATATAATAAGATTAATTTTATTTTTTATATAGAGCAAAAATGTATAATGTTGAGATATATTACATACAGGCCATTTTCCCTTTCTAACATGCTTTCTGTTCTTTACGTTGGCTTGCATTATCAAGCCCTGGTCTCCTCTCTTCAAAATCTTCGAGATTGTAGAAGCATCAGGAGCTTTCTGAAGGCCAATGGTTTCCTTTGCCCAGTCAGCCAATTGAGGGTTACTCATAGACAGCTTTTTCTTTTTCATATCGCAAATCTCAAGATGATTTGCAATATTAAGCGAAACGTTTTTTTTGGTCATATTTATTGTTTAGTTCTGGATTTGATAGATTTCATTAAAGTATCAAAAAAATTGAAAATGATATTAGATAAGCATTATATAATAAGCTAAAAGCATACTGAGAAGCTGTTATTATTTGATTGAATAAGAATTTGAAACAATAATTGGTTACAAGACAGAGAGAGTAGAAAACAGTAATGCAGCCAGGGGTTATATTTAACTAGAATGAACTTAAACAGAGGATTGAAGCATATCGAATTATTACTTGATATATTTTTTTCTATTAAAAAATAATGTAAACTCCGCCCATAGTTGGCGGAAAATATATGCTCCGAACTTGTTAATTTCACTCTTCGATAATTTCAAGGCATCTGGCCTTCCCTAGGCCTTGAAATTATCGAGGGACTACTGTATGAATAAAAATAAAATCCACCAAATTTACTACCAATTTTTCCATATATGAATTTACTACCAATTTCTCTATATACGGATTTACTACCATACTTTTACTACCAATCTGTTTGAAACTAAGCCAATCAAACGTACTGCTTTACTATTCAGTAAATTAGTGGCAATACCACTATGATTAGTGGCAAGCATAGCTCATTTACCACTAATTTTTTCAATTAAGCGTAGTGTGGTCAGCCACCAAAATTTCTAAAAATTAGTGGCAGAACCACACACAAAGGCAATGTAGCAATACCACTATGATTAGTGGCAAGCATAACTCATTTACCATCAATTTCCCCTGCTTTAGCACAGTGTGGTCAGCCACCAAATTTCATGCAAATTAGTAGTATTGCCACACCAATTTCATTCATAGTGTTTATTTATTGGTGTTATGAATCAAGAAATAAAATAAAAATAAAGAAATCATAAAATTTCAATATAAAACTATGTATTTGTTGAACTAATTATTAGAAGAATACGGATAGCTAAAGAAGGTATAGACTTGTCATATTTAGATTATTTGATTGGATTAGATACAAAAATAATCTGAAATTTCATAAATCATATTTGACATTGTTGTATTTGCAGAATCTGGGATATAAACTAACTGACTTAGAAATCCGTGACTCAAGTCAAAGTAGTAATCTGAAACAACACCAACAACAAGTAGTTGTTATCCAAGAGCCAATACACTTCCTTAAACCATTGCGGACAATATAACATGAAAATATTTTCTCAAAAGACAGTAACAACAGGAACGAATATCAAGGAATAAAAGATAAATTTTTCTAAGTGAAAAAGATATAAAAGAGATAGAAAACATCAAGCTAGAAACAGCATCTTTCAACAGATACAACAATTTCTCAATAAACCACCATACAAAAGTCTCACTTTATTCATTGTCTCCATATCATCTCATATCTCTTCAATCTCAAGTTTATTATAATCAATCCAAAATACTTCAGACATAATCTGAAATCTCATAAATAGTATCTGCCCAAAAGTAAGGCTTACAGATTAATGTCTGGCATGTTATTGGCTTAGAAGAAAGTTGCAGATTGACAACTTTGTTGCAGGTTCGGGGTTTAAATGCTGCCATTTCCTACAGTGCTATGTTTGAGACATTATATTCTGACAAAAAATATTTGATATAAATCTATATTTGGTAATGGCATCTAAATGTCTCTTATTGTCATACCAAGATCTCTAATAGTTTCTGTTTTTATAAAGAGGTGATTGTGTTTTTTTAAAGGGACGTTTTTTTTTGTAAAAGGCGGTTTTTTTTTACAAAGGGCGACTTTTTTCAAAGGGTGGTTTTTTTCTGCAAGGGCCGTTTTGTTTGTAAATGTCAGTTTTGTTTTTTTAAAGGGAGGTTTTTTTTGCAAAAGGGCAGTTTTTTTCTAAAATGACATTTTTTTTTGTAAAAGGCGGTTTTTTTTTACAAAGGGCGACTTTTTCTCAAAGGGAGGTTTTTTTCTGCAAGGGCGGTTTTGTCTTGTGAAGGGCGGTTTTGTTTGTAGAGGTCAGTTTTGTTTTTGTAAAGGGCGATTTTGATTTTGCAAAAGGGGGGTTTCCATTTTTTTAAAGGGAGGTTTTTTTGCAAAAGGGCAGTTTTTTTCTAAAATGACAATTTTTTTTTGTAAAAGGCGGTTTTTTTTTACAAAGGGCGACTTTTTCTCAAAGGGCGGTTTTTTTCTGCAAGGGCGGTTTTGTCTTGTGAAGGGCGGTTTTGGTTGTAAATGTTAGTTTTGTTTTTGTAAAGGGCGATTTTGTTTTTGCAAAGGGGGGTTTTTGTTTTTTTAAAGGGAGGTTTTTTTTTGCAAAAGGGCAGTTTTTTTTAAAATGACAATTTTTTTTTGTAAAAGGCGGTTTTTTTTTACAAAGGGCGGTTTTTTTCTGCAAGGGCGGTTTTTTTCTGCAAGGGCGGTTTTTTTCTGCAATGGCGGTTTTTTTCTGCAAGGGCGGTTTTGTCTTGCAAAGTGTTGTTTCATTTGTAAAGATCAGTTTTGTTTTTGTAAAGAGTGGTTTCTGTTTTTTTTAAAGACAGTTTTTTTTACAAATTTTGTTTTTAAATAAGAATGTTTTTTACAAAGAGTAATTTTTATAATAATTAAAGATTTTTATAGAAGTTGTTAAAAAGATTTGTAGATTTGAAGATAAAGAATAAAGATTGATAAGAACTTACATAAAGTTTGTTTATTGAGAAAAGATTTTATATCAGAATTTGACAAGATTTTTATACTACACTATAGGCAAAGCTCGATTTAATAATATTTGATTTAGTAATAATTGTGATTTAGTAATTTTTTTTCAGTACTTTTATTTGCAGTTATGTCATTTACTAGCATACAAGGGAATTTCATCAAGGTAATTGAAAGAAAAATTACTTTTCATAGTAATTTATTCGATTCCGAATAGATATATTTGTCAATTCCCTCAATAATTACATGGTCAAATATACTATATAATTGTCAAGGGAATTAACAAAAATTCTTAAATAAGAACTCTAGTTATAAAAAAGAATATACTAAACGACTATACTTTATAAAGCTTATTCTCTATAGCCAAAATAAAACAAATCATTAACAAAAATATAAAAATAGGCAGGGTATTTCAGTAAATAATTAAAAAACAGATGCTGAATAACAATTGGAATTGTATATGATATAGCTCAATTCTCTTAATCCAATTCCCTCAACAATTCTCTTGTATACTGGTGAATGACATCACATAGAGCAAATCCGCAATATTATTAAGAAACATATGCAGAGTACAAAAGCATCCATTTTGACTTAGTAATAGTAATACAATTGTTGTTGCAACAGATTTTGAAATTAGAAAAGAATAAAATCATAGCAAAAAAACTAAAGACAATTAGTGTAGAACTAAAGACATTAGTACAGAACTAAGAGACTTAGCAAACCTTAGAAAATGATAAAACAATGATGTAAAAAATAGGATAGAAACAATATAAAAGCAAAGGCAAATAGCATGAAAAAAAGACCATCTTACATCTTGATTCTCAAATTCTATATAATTGTTTCTATCTTAAAAACCCTTATAATCACACTCTCATTGAACATCTGATTAGTCCCAATTGAATCTACACTAGTGTAACAAAAAGGCTAACCAGCATATTCACACAATTTGGCTTCTCCCAAAAGTATTACTAAATCAAGCTTTGACTGTACTACTGCTATTTACACTACAACAAATAGGGGCGGTTTTTTCAATTTGTAACTTCATTTATAATCTATAATAATCAAGAAATTATCAAAAATGCAAGTTGAAACAAGAAAATCTATGTTTTTTGAAATGGTTGATAAAAAGTAAATTAACTACCTAAAATTAGATCTCAGTAGAAAGAGACATTTATTTTAACTACAGATATTACATTTATGGGAAATATAGATTGCAATTGAGTACTATTAAAACTCAGAAGTAGAAAGAGAATAAAATATCTAAACTTTTGTTACTTGAATAAAATCTGTTAAGACAATTCAAAGACATGCTAAAAATTTAGAATAGGAAACTTTATGTCATCATTGTAAAATTACTATATTAATATTTCATATCAAAGAGTAGTCAATACATTTGTACAAAATATATGATGCTAATGACAACTTGAAATTTTTTTTTCATTCTTCTTTTTTTTCATAACAAACCCTGATGTTGGATTTTTCATTATTATTAATAATGCAGGTGATTATGTAAATCATTTGCTTCAAGTTATGCAAGATATACTTCTTGCTTTTCAGAGAGACTACAAAGCATTTCAAAAGAAACAAATAATCTTATAACTGGAGATTGTCAAAATACTTAATGATATAAATGGACAAGCATGTTAGAAGAAAACCTTATGCTAAGATATAAGAAACATGGAAATAAAAAAAAACATATAAACTAATGTAAAACTATATAATTATCTGGTGCCCTTGTGGTATTTCAGGTACGAAACAATAGAAAAATAAAATATTTGATAATAGAGACGTATAGAAATACTTTGAGACTGTATATCAGTTGTCTTTATTCATAAATAAAAAGTGTCCCTTTTTATAAGAAAACACAATCTGCTCTTGTCATTACGTCTTAGTTTCTTAAGGCTTTCTTCCTTTACTATATTTGGTTATTAGAGTGTATTTACTGCTTAACTAGTGTCGGTGTTACAATTATGACATCAAGTCATAAATCGTACTTCTTTAGCTCTTAGCTATTCTTTTCTCTTTTATATTAGAGCTTTAGGACTTCCTACTAAATTAGCTCCACATCGATCTGACACAGTTTACCCGGCAGTATGATATAATTATCTTAACAATCTTTAAGATATTATCTACAGTACTAACTGTAATAATTATTGGGCTGATTACTTAATCGTTTATATATATTTTATACTGACAAGATGATAGCTACTACGCTATCCCAATATGAATATGTTCTTATATGTGATAAATCCAACATCCGAGTGTCTGGATCACCACATCTGTAGTAAATAAAATGATATTTAGCTAGTATAATCTATATATAATAAGTCATTTTTTGTTTTGACAACCAAGAAACTATTTTGTGTTTTGACAACCAATAAACCATGTTTTGTAAAATTTATTTCTATTCCAACAACTAATAAAATACTCATTTATAAAAATATTTATTGAAAAATATGTTTTTAATCCAATTAAAATTATTAATAATCCAAGCTCTATATAAATAAAAACCAATCAAGTGAATATTAATTATAAAGTGACCAATGACTTTAGATATAAGGTTAAGATGAAAATTATAATACCCAATAAAAGAGAATTATAAATCAGGCTTTTGTATATAAGCATCAATAAGAAGTCAAATATAAATTACAAATATGTGTACCAGTAACTGAATAAAACTTCACATTTGTTAATGAGCGGGATTATACAATAATCCATAACAGGCAGGAGGTGAAAAAGTAGGTAGACGAAAAACATCCATCTGGACGACCTCCTGAGTGGCCTCCCAGTGAACCTCAGGTGGATCCTATTTTTTCCCATAGTGTTAATAATCTTTTTGTAGATCTCTATATACAATGTAAAGCTAAAGATATCTATTGAAATGTCAGTTATAGTATTCAAAAACTTGGGTATAGCCCATTTATATGTTGCATAAATAGAAATTATGTAAAACATAAAGGGAGATATAGTCTTTAGTAACACCAAGTAAGCTTGCAAAGCAGTAATAATTTAAACAAGTTGAGTGAGATCAAAAGATTGAGATATGACAGAAAAATCAGATGTCAGTAATGATCAGCAAAAATTTATGATTAATTAGATATACAAAGAATAAAAAATTACTTTATATAGTTATTTGATATTTATATAAAAGATGATTAATTGAACTTGGATCCTGTCTTTCTGTATAACAATCTTATCGAATTCCAAAAGAATTCTAAATTCAACTACTAATTATTTCAATTCCTTTTTTTCATATTTTTTAAAGAATACTCTAGCTAACATATTAAATAAAATGTCTGACCTTTCTAAATATTAAATTTATAAATTTATTGTTGATCTTGCAAAGTGCTAGAGTGAAAATAATAAAGATTATCACAAAAAATACAAAAGATGCAGGAAAATATATATTAAAATTGACATAAATGCATTAAGCAATGAATTATGTTGTGGGGAGAAAATAAAGCAAAATACAATATAAACAAAAGAATTTGTGAGAACTTGTGTATGTTGTTTATTTCAAAAGAAAAGTAAAAAAATAATAGAATTTGATTTTTTCTATATGGAACTATCTACTGATATTTATGTGGTGATCCAGACACTTGGATGTTGAATTTATCACATATAAGAACATATTCATATTGGAATAGCATAGTAGCTATCATCTTGTCAGTATAAAATATATATAAACAATTAAGTAATCAGCCCAATAATTATTACAGTTAGTACTGTAGATAATATCTTAAAGATTGTTAAGATAATTATATCATACTGCCAGGTAAACTGTGTCAGATTGATATGGAGCTAATTTAGTAGAAAGTTCTAAAGCTCTAGTATAAAAGAGAAAAAATAGCTAAGAGCTAAAGAAGTACGATTTATGACTTGATGTCATAATTGTAATACCAAAACTAGTTAAGCAGTAAATATACTCTAATAACCAAATATAGTAAAGGAAGAAAGCCTTAAGAAACTAAGACATAATGACAAGAGCAGATTGTGTTTTTTTATAAAAAGAAATACTTTTTATTTATGAATAAAAACAACTTATATACAGTCTCAAAGTATTTCTATACGTCTCTATTATCAAATTTATTATTTTTCTATTGTTTCGTACCTGAAATACCACAACAGACTCTATTGATAGTTGATATTTTATTATATAATATCTACCAGGCATAGACTTACAATCTACTGTCGCTTTTTATGGTTTTTTCATAATTGGCTGACTTTGGCAACAGATGCCCAGTTTTTGTGGCATCTGGTAAAGTCTATATCATTGTTTCTTAGTAGACACGCATGTCTGATGCATATCAAGTTCCTGTCTTCTTGAGATATTGCACTCCAGTTTGGATTTGGTCCTAGAACTTGCACAGAAGGAAGGGAGGCCAGTTCATTGCAGGCAAGACGTGTACAAGTATTGAGGTTTGCCTTGTTTTTCTTGTCCAGTTCAACTCCAAGATCATGGCTCATTATTCTGTAGATATGTATCAGAGTTATATCTTTGATATTTGGTACTGGTCTTGGAATTTCCCTACCAAGATTCTGTATTATCTTATATTAGCCTGTATACTTTACTTCCTTTTATTATTTCTTATGTTATGTACTATTGTCTGCTCTGGACTTTCTTGGCCATTCATATCTTTACAAATATTGGCGATCTCCTGTCTAAGCAATGCTTGTTCATCCCAGAGTGCTTCTTGACCTTTCTTAAGCACGTCTTGTTCAACCTGAAGTTCTTCCTGACCTTTTTGCAATGCAAAAAATGTTTCTTGCATGCCTTGAAGTATTTGGAGAATTGTATAATTTGTATTATTCATTGTGTTAGAAAAATTAGAAATATGGGTTTGTTGTGAAAAAAAGGAAAAAAGAGGAAGAACTTTTTTTCTAATTACTATCAGATTTATTTTGGTATATCTATTGGTTTAACAGGGTTTATTGTTTTTATTATAATAGCTGCAATAACTGTCTACCACGTGTTATTATCTTTACGAGTCCTGTGAGAGAGTTCAAATTATCTATACCATTGTCATCTTCAATGGATTAAATATAAAGATGCATATTGAGAGGATAAGTATCTCTATTCTTATCAAAGTTACTCAATTACCTATTTAAAAATGCCATCAATTAAAAAAACTCTCCCTCATAAATGCAGTTCTTGCAAAAAAAACCTATAGTAATATGAAAATGGCTGAGAAGTGCTTAATCTTGTGCCTGAAAAATCAGTTGGAAAACATGAGAAATGCACACTTGTCTGCAACTCCTTTGCTTTTGATGTCTAGCCAGTCTGTTTCAGCTGCGATTCCAGGCTTGATACTTAAGTGAGTTTGAGAAAAACAAAAGTTAAAAAAGGCAAACTATGTATTAACAATATTGATGCTTCAAATAAACAGAGAAAATACGAGCACAATTAGTCATGAAAGCACTGATGGTAATAATAACACTGACCTTGGTAATTCCATGGTAAGATATATATATATGCATATACAAATGCATTGTACTAATTTGATTTTATGTTATTAAATTGTGATATCGAATGTGAGAGTGAAATTGAAAGTAGTACCTCTACCTTGGTTTTCAATTTTAGCCAGCCTTCTCCTGTCCCAAGCAACAATGATGCAAAGAACCTGGAGTTCATGAAAATCATCAATGACTTTGGCATTTCCCAACAAGCTTATGAGAAGCTTGCTGCGCATCTCAACAGCATTCTAGGGATGTCAACCGAGATAACGTACAGAGTGTGTACATCTTACCTGGGCAAGAAGCTTTTGAAGTGTTTCTCTAGTATAGAAGAAACAGTATATGACGTCTGCCAAAACAGATGTATCATGTTTAATGATGCAGAGGAGGTTGCTTGCAAGCATTGTGATGAAGCTCGCTACAAAAACAACAAAACTGATAAGGACGGTATACCCATTGCTGAGAAAACCATGGTCCAGATTCCTTTGGCCAGACAAATTGCTCTTTCTTTGGCCAACAGTGATACTAGACATGAGATGATATACCGTCACAATCACAAGCAAAAGGCAGATGACAGCAAGGCAGACATCTTTGATGGGCATGCATACCAATCAATCAAACATCTTTTCTCCAGTGAAAATGATGTTGCAATTTCTTTGGCTGTCGATGGCTTTGTGCCTCATAACATTCTTGGTTCGATTACTATTCTGCATGCCACAGTTCATAATCTTCCTCCAATGGTCCATTATGAGAAAAGCTGGATGTTACAAATTGTGATGATCACAGGTCCTTTCACACCACTTGACTTCTGGTCATTTTTGAAGCCAACCTTGGCAGACCTCAAGGTACTCCAAGAGGAAAGAATGGTTGTCATAATCCCAACTCTCACCATCTGTGCAAAGGTTCATGTCCTTGTTGTAACTGGTGATATTCCGGCAGTGGCAAAGCTGGCATGTCACGCTGACCATATAAGCAAAAGTGGTTGTTGAATCTGTAATGTTGTGGGCCAAACTCCTGGCTGTGGCCAATATTTTAGATCTTTCCAGACACTACTATGCGCACTTTGGAAAGTTTCCAAAACTTTGATCCAGCAAGTCTGTCCAGCAAGGGTCTTGTAGGACAATCTCCTTTTTCTTCACTAGCATCATTCACAGGCCCACTCTTTTTTACTCTTGACAAGATGCATGGCCTTTGCCATGAAATAGGCAAGCAAATCTGGAGACTTATTGGTGGAAAGTATGGAATTAAACACTCTCTGTTTCTTCCTGTCAATGTACTCAAGGAAATCAGCGTGGCAATGGCAGCAACAAGAAAAACAATTCCAACATCATTTCATGGCTCTTGGAGAAACATATCCAAGTACAGTGGATACTTCAAGGCTGTAGACTGGGCCGATTTCCTTCTCTTCATTGTCCCTACACTGGTGGCCAAGTGTGTAAGAGATACAACTTCCAGGGAAACATTGCTTGGACTTGTGCAAGCTTGCAACTTACTCATGAGCTGGGAGTTATCAGCAAAGGAACAAATCTCTATAAAAAGATATGTTTAATAAGATTCAGTGCTTTTTTTCTTGCTACTTATAATTTTCTTCTAGAAAATTACAATTATGGAACATGTATCTCGAAGACCTTTATTGAAATAATAAAATAGAAATAACAGTGTTTACTATCAACCAGCACCTTCTATAACATTACCCTGTTATGATCAGTGCCTTTGGTCCTCCTCGTGCATACAGCACAAGATCAGTGGAGCGTGCTATTGGCGAGTACTCTCGTGCCATCAAAAGCAATTTAGCAATTGGTGTGAATGCTGGAAACATAATGGTCAGGCTGGCTCATACACAGCAATTGTTGAATGATTCCGATGGAGGCAAACAGAGAGGTGTTGTATTAAAGTATGAAGATATGTCTGCTGGTTGGCCAATTACTAGCGAGGGCAAGCGTGCTAGTGCAGATTCCAATATTAAGTTCTGGAGACCTTTAGGATATAAAACAATTGATGACAGTTTCGAAGACATTTCTTGTCTTCCGATTCTTATTCAAGACTTTTATAGATCAAAGGGAGTTAAATGCAGGACGATTGAACTAGCTATAATAACTAGTTGCAAAGCTTTTATTAATGGCTGTGTGATTGACTCCTCATTTGCCCAAAATACATTAAGAGAGGTGCATCACATTTGTTTTCAGATGCAAGTCGATCTGTTTACAAATGTACATCGCCAATATACTCCCATTGCAAAGGACTTCTTTGGAAAAGTAATTCTTTTCTTTGAACATGAGAATTCTAGTAAAAGGTAGCCCCTTGTTTTCGTGCTGATATATAGTACTGTATTATACAATGGCATTCCGGTAGTGGTAAATGACCAGCTCAAACCAAAGGTAGTCCACCTAGCAGACGTCAAGGAGTTGGTTGGTCTTGTAATGTCAGATGCAACAGATAGTACAACAACAACAACAACAACAACAACAACAACAACAACAACAAAGTATATAGTGTGGCCGGAACTTAACTGGGGCCCGAAATTAAATCTAAGTCAATATAGAGATCTATAATTTGATTTTTTTATTATAATACATTTTTTTTCAAATTGTTTTAACAAATTTCATTCTTGTAGCAGAAAGTTTAGATATTTTTCTTGTCTTTTATTTCTGACTTTTAATAGTCCTCAAAATCAATCTATACAATCTAAAAATATAAAGTCTGTAATTGAAATGTACTTTTGTCTCTTCTGCGATTTAATTCTAGATAGTCAATTTACTTTTTATCAGCTATTTCAAAATACAGAGATTTTTTGGGAATTTTGATTTTTTGGAAATTTTTTAATTATTATAGGCCAAAAATGAAGTCACAATTACAAAAAATGCCCCTTTTTCCCCATAGTATAATATTTACTCACCAATTCAAGATATGATTTTAATTCTCTTCTGCTACTCTTCTTGTTGCTCAGACTCAATCCAAGTCTTACCTAGTAAAGAAATATATTTTTCTGCTTAACTCACAGTATAATTTGTTTATTTCTTTTTAGTTTCTCAATATTTTGGTCTGCAAAATTCTTTTCAGTGTTTCTGAATAGCAAGTATCTTGTTTTTTTACTATGATAGAAAACTTGTGTTTCTTACTTGTCTATACTTCTTCATCTATCACACAATCTTGCAATAAACTGGCTATGCAGTCATTTAATTATAACTTCTAAGTAGCTGACAATAATTTCACTAAGAGCTATACTGTTAACCCTTTCAAATTCCAGTAATTCCTTTTAGAACAAGTAAATTCTTAGAATTTCATGCATAAGAGTATGTCTTTATTCCGTAAGTCATATCTGTCTTCCCCTGCCTTCTCTGCTCTCAATGATTTGTTTTTTGAATCCAGCTCATTATATACTACAGATAGACATTTCAATCAGTGTCTCTTAACTCATAAACATCAAGTCTATTCCTAGCTTTCTTGTTTTCTGTAATCAAAGTCTTCATATCTAATCAATTAGAATTACAATAGATTTATCTTCTGTGGGTATGTAGTACAATTCATCTCTCTGGCACAACAGAGACTATCTGACAGTAAGTTATTGAATACTATTTATTACATATGGAAAAAGAATAAGATATAAAATAAAACAGGTGTAGACGAGAGTATGACAAGACTTTGTTTTATTAGAACAAGTAAAAGAATTAAAAAGAAGATGCTGTTCTATTGCTATTTGTATTATGCATTTATATAGACATTGTACTTAGCTTGGTAATGATATGATGATATCATGTAATGTCTGTTTCTCTACTATTATCTTTTATGATTTAGTTCTTACGTTTTTAGTGTTATCAACTAGAGTCTTAATATTTGTCTTAGTATGTTTTTTACATAATTTTCTTATATAAGGGAAGATATATCTTTTCGTATTGTTACTAGTTGTTGGTAATTCAATGTATATACTTATTGGGTGTCTGTACTTTTAATTTAAATCTACAATTATGTTGGATAGAACACTATTATCTCTGATGGATTTCAGATTCATTTCGACTGACTTTCTTCTCTGTCAACATATATCTGTCCAAAAATTTCAATAGATGACTCTGAAAGCATCTTATTTGTTAGAAGATAGTCAAACTGTTGTATAAGAAAGCAATCAAATCTGCTTCTCCTAACTCTTATGGCTTTACTAGTCTAATATTTGTAATTTCTAGAAAGAATTATGGTCACCATCTTGTGTTCAATCTCAAACATCTCAATGAACACTTGATGATCTGTTACTTTAAGATATAAACTCTATAAGCTATATACAAGTTGTGTGGTATTTCAGGTACGAAACAATAGAAAAATAAAATATTTGATAATAGAGACGTATAGAAATACTTTGAGACTGTATATCAGTTGTCTTTATTCATAAATAAAAAGTGTCCCTTTTATAAGAAAACACAATCTGCTCTTGTCATTATGTCTTAGTTTCTTAAGGCTTTCTTCCTTTACTATATTTGGTTATTAGAGTGTATTTACTGCTTAACTAGTGTCGGTGTTACAATTATGACATCAAGTCATAAATCGTACTTCTTTAGCTCTTAGCTATTCTTTTCTCTTTTATACTAGAGCTTTAGGACTTCCTACTAAATTAGCTCCATATCGATCTGACACAGTTTATCCAGCAGTATGATATAATTATCTTAACAATCTTTAAGATATTATCTACAGTACTAACTGTAATAATTATTGGGCTGATTACTTAATCGTTTATATATATTTTATACTGACAAGATGATAGCTACTACGCTATCCCAATATGAATATGTTCTTATATGTGATAAATCCAACATCCGAGTGTCTGGATCACCACAAGTTGATTAGATTTGGAAATTTCTTCATTTCTTTCAATCTCTTCAACGCTTTTTGTCACCTTCTTGTTTACTATACATCCTGTAAATATCTTTATTTTTATTAAGACATTTATATTTACAAATTTCAAATGACTTTATTTAGTCTTTCTATTGTTTCTTGACTCTTTACCAAGATTATATGATCAGTTCAGAAATAGATACAATGATATAAAATACAAGTAAAAACTTTTTTGAATAACTAGAGTATAATTGTAAATTCTTCTCAACAGTCCTTCGCTTACAAATCATTATTTATGGCTAAACTGAAATCCTTGGGGTGGATTTAGAATCTAAAAAAGTAATCTCTTCAACTATCTTAATTACTTGTTTGACACTGAAACTATAACAATAAAGCTTTCTGGAACAAAGCTTTGCAATCTTTGCCAATTAATTTTTCAACTTATTATCAGTATATTTCTCTTTCTCTGTCTGGTTCACCATCTTACGATAAGAATTCAAGCTATAATAATTACTTTGTTTCTGGTCTATCTGTAGACATAGCATATGATATAATTTGAAAACAAATGTATTCAGCAGAACCTTGGTTGAGATGTGAATCATCTTTTTCCCTCTTATTGTCTTTCCGAAGAATGATGATAGAAACAAAATTTCTCATAGTGAAATGCCTACTCTCTTTTGTCTCAACAACATTAACATATTTTGTGTGTTATAATAATCTAAATGAAAGAGAAGACTTGGAAAGTATAATGAAACATCTTTTATTATGAAAATTAAAACAGAATTAAAACTGTGATCTTTTGCTCCCTTTATATACATTTTAATTTAAGAACTGTCTTATTTGTTTTGATAGAATAATAGTGTACATTCAGGTCCAGTCACATTCTTTTATAATATTTATATTCTGTCTACTCAGAAGTGCTTATATACTTCACATTTGTGAATGCAAGAAATACTAGATAGTGCTATGCTCCTGTCACTCACACAGCTCATAGATACTAGATCTATAAGGAAGTCAAGATGTTTATCAACTAATACAAAATTAAAGCTATTCAATCAGCTCTTCTTATCTTTCTTTCACTTCAGAAAATCTCAGTCTTTATCTATACTGACAATACTATTTCAATGACTTACCTCAACAAGCAAAGTGACTCATGTATCTTTCATCTGATATAACTAGCCATGAAGATATGGAGATGATGTCTCCATTACAGTCTCTGATTGGCTGCATAGCACACTGCAGTAAGTGACAATCACACTGCTAATCTGGAATCTTGACAGACATTTACTAAAAACCTCTGAAAATTCATCAAAGCAATACTCAGTATAGTAGAAGTAAAACAGATGTCATATAATATAAATCTCTTTGCAGATTGGATCACTTATCTTCTTCTCACAACATATCTTGGCTTTCCAACTCAAAAGCAATAGCTTTAGATATAATATGTATTTTCTGGGGTCAAGGGAACAATTATTACTTCAACTCTCCTGTAGAATTTGATTGATTATTTTCTAGACAAGATATAGCAGTGATCTTGGTAGCTCCAATTTGGCCAAGCACCATATGAGGTACTCATGGAATCAGTTATTGATATAAAATTTTCTATTAATTACTTTGCTAAACACCATATTTAGGATAGTGCTAATTACCAAGTATAGGTGCTATTTACGTGATTTTAAGTCGGTGTTGTAATCACTACTACACTCAAGAGATATGACCTTATTTAAACATATGGCATATTAAAATCAATTGTTTTTTTTATTTCTTGTTAAAGAAGTATAAACTATACTGCTCAGAACAATATATTTTATTTACAGTAATGTATTGCATGCTTCTCTAAAAAATACTAACTTTAATATATATAAAAAAGCCTAGAAAATGGGATAATATAGTAAAAACAAGATGATTCTTATCCGCAGTGTTGATAGGAATTATGGAAATCACCATATATGGGTATTAATTATTTTTCTTCTGGTAGAGAGCAGAGGAAAAATTCACAGACTTTAAAGCAAAATAGCCTTTTTTGAATTTTGGAAATCACTATATATGGTACTTAGTAAAGTAATCAATAGGAAATGTTATATCAATAACTAATTCCGTGAGCACCTAAAGTATCTTCTTCTTCTAAAAATATTGGTGGCTTCTCCCATAATTCTGGAAAATCAGTCTATAGTCCTCGCCTTCCCCAAGACCTTATGGGCATTGAAGAACTTGGTATAGAAGCTTATCATATACAGACTCTCAAGCACAAGTTCAATAACACAGCCTTGATCAAGGAATCTGTTATTCTCCTTGTAGATTATATTCATGCCAATTGTTCTACCAATCGAATCTACCAATTGGATCAGCACTTGTTCATTGCATGAGTTCTTAAACACAGTGTTTTTCTCACTGAATTCACCTTGCAAAACGTGATCAATTTCTTGGTTCACCAAAATAATGAAGGATTTGGCATGAGCACTATTAAGAGCCATTGTACTGCTGCTCTCAAATTACATATAGACTCCAAATCTTCCGGTTGCCATGAAGATGTTCAAACTGTTTTTGCTTGTCTTACACTCTAAGTTCCTCCTTTGTAACAGACCAGATCCTTCATTGATCTACTCCTACTCTCAATCATGTTGCCTCCATTAATTCTATCACTTTCACTTTTATACCTCCCCTCTTGTGCAAGATTGCCTTTCTTATTGGTATGACTACTTTTCTCTACCGATCAGATTTTATTTGTCTTCAACTTTTGTCTACTTGAGTTGATTTCATCTCTGGTGCTTTAACTTTTGATATCCTGAGTTCAAAAGAACGAAAAAATTGGTCACTAGATTATAAAGATCATTGCAATCTAACCCAGTTCTATCTTGGTTCTTTGCTCTGTTCTTGCTATCTGTACCCTGTGGTATCATCTCTGTGCTTCTACTGCTCGTCCTCCTCAATGTATGTTTGTCAAAACACATCAACCTTCCATTTCTGTGAGGGTTTCTACCATCTTCTTCTGACTACATAGTCTCTTGCATTTCTCTACTCAAGAATTGGCTTCAGTCTGGTTTATTGCCTTTACTCTAGCTCTTGAACGTGATATGTCTTTGGACGACCTAATAACTCTTGGCAATTGGTCTAGTTGGAAAGTTTTCTAGCAACATTACAACTGCAACCACACTTCGTCTGCTGATTTTATCAATGTTCTAGTATGCCCCCTTGCTTCTATCTTGATCTCGGGTTTGGTGGTTCCCACTGTGGTCCATAATAATTTAGAAAATATACTCTGAATTAGCGCTTGGACGTTGTCTTCCTGTTCGATGGTGTCATCGAATTCTAGAAGAATTCTAAATTTGACCATTAATTCACTGAATAGATCAGAGAACAAGGAAGACAAGGCTCAGCTCTCCCTCCCACATATATCTGTAATGACCAGTAGCTAATTAATTATATACACATAGAATAAGAAATTACTTTATATAGTTTTTTGCTGTTTAAATAAAAGATGATTAATAGCACTTTGGCCTTATCTCCCTTGTTCTTCGGTCTATTCAGTGAAAATTTTATATGAATAATATATGCATGATAATTATCAATTTGTTAGTCTATATAAAATGTATGCAAGATTTATTGGAAAGTCAATGTGAAACATAAAATTATTCTTATTTCTTTTTTTTTTGGGAGCGATAGTTCAGAGCTTTTAATGACATTATCTAATAATATAATAATAGCTGATATTTCTATATTTATCAATTGAACTAATCATAGATTTTCTAAGTAATACACTGAGGATGCTGGAAAGCATCTTTAGTGTGATATACATTTTATTTCAGCATAATGAGTTCAGCAAGATAAAATAACAGACGATGATTGGCTAAAGAAAAGTATGAAAAAAATTAATTTTTTACACTTTTCTTGGAAGTTGGAGAGAGTCATTCCTTTTTACCGGACTGTTCTCTTCTTAAGAGTGTAAAAACAGGTCTCTAAAGGTTGCCAATATATTTTAGTAAAAGAAAAAAAATGTTCAAAGAGTATGTAATATCTGTTCCAAATAAATAGTTAAAAAAGCAAGAAAGAAGAGGTCAGTCATCATTTCAGTTAATACTTCATCATCTTCTAGGAAATAAAGACTTTTGACTGATAATAGTTCTTTTGACAGATGACTCATACTTATTATCTGAATAAGAGGAAACTCTTGCTCAGACTACCTACCCTTTTCCATTTATTATATACTTTAAGCTCAACCAAATGATGAATAGCATAGAATCAAATTTCTTGGTTTTCATTCTCTAAAATATTTGTCCTAATAAAGAAATTATGACAACGCAACAAGAGTTTCCTCCGACTCAAAGAATGTGTATATGACATTGGTCTTTGGCCCTGACAAGAGGAATCAAATCCAAACACTGCCACTCGGCTAAAAAAAAAGGATACTGTATCCAGTAGTTCAACTTATATGTTTCGTTATGACACAGTGGATTTTGTCTACTGGCGTTTCTTGTATCGCTTAGCGCAGTGAACTTCGAAGTAGTGACATAGCTGTAAAAATTATCTGAAGTAGTTAAATAGCTTTTTTTATTTGTTTCTTAATAAAAATGACTCTCTACCGGTATTCATTTTCTTGTCACTAAGCTGAACATTTACATTATATAACCAATCCACCATATGTCATCTAAATAAATTCTGAGAGCGTTTTCAGCAACCAAATTTAAATTTTTGTCAATTTTAATGAAAAGATAAAAAAAAAGATTGCCTTTTTTTTTTTACTTAGAGTAAAATAGATCGAACTGCTGGGAGAACAGCTTTTAGCTAAAGGTCTAAATGCGAGATAAAAGTTACTGCTGATGATGCTCTTAAACAATGATGTGACTGAATTGAATATATTAAATGCAGATGTAAGATCCAAGTGCTGTACACACTGTAGAAATGAATGTTTCAGGTCACAAAATCAACTTTTCTTAAAATTATATTAAAAACAAATAAATAGTTATCTGCTGGTGCTAAAGAAAGCAATAAGGAAAAGTAATGGATTAAAAATAAAACAAGCAACTACTGTGGTATTCTCAAGAAAGACACAAATGCGAAAATTGAAAATAAAAGTAATCAGGTTTATTGCAAGTGGTGCAAGTAAAAAAAAGAAAAGAAAAGGAAACGGGAGATCAAAGACTGGTCATCAAGAATCGTCAGTAAAATAGGAATCTAATTTAATTTTTATAAAAAAAAGAGTGTTTTAAATGAAGTGTGTATGATATAGAAAAGTAGACAGAATCATATATATATAATAAAAAAAGATAAACAAGGCTAGGTATTTGGGTATCAAATTGACATTCTTATCTTTAACCATGCTAGAATTTTAAAAGATGCGAATAATTGTTATTTGGGATCTCGTAATCTCCCATTTTATCAGCACTTAACAGACTGCTTATATATGGACTATCTAGCTTGTTTTGAACAAGTTCAAAGTTCTCAGACCTAATATATTTAGACTTCTTTTGTTTCATTGTCATTTTGTAAGAGAAAAAAAACTTGCAAGTGGTAATCAATGGATCTAGTATCGGTTCAGATGCATGTATGATCTCTACATACATATTATATGTAATATAGCTTTTCGTTTGGCCTTTCTTGTTTTTACGATATTATAGTAAATGTGTTTATTCACGGTCAACTTCAATATTCAACAAAGAGCAAATAATTTATTCTTTTTCGAAAAATGAATTAGGGTAGTAGACCGTGTGATTTTCTGTGATTAACAAACATATTTATTGGTCCTATTGTTCTTGTTTTTGCTATTATCTTTCTCATTATCATTCTTTGATATTAAGGCTATTAATCAGAATGTGTATGTGTATAATAAGCATGCTAGACTACTCTGAGCTGGTACAGTTTATTATTTTTTATTAATACAGTGAATGCCAAAAGTTATGCTTGATTAGCTGGGTAGCAGTTCTGGATTTTTAAAGTGTGCGCGGTAGAAGAAATGTCTTTGCTTTCTTTGGATCATATGAATAGTAATTATATATTATATCTTTATTTATTTATTTTTTAACTGTGGGTTAAATAAACAATTAAATAGACAGATAGATAAAAGTGACTTTGAGATCCACTTTCAATAATTCAAATAGTCGGTGGATCATTTCTATCTTGTATATTGTCATAGTTACCAGAGTTACCGTGGATACCATTTTTACTACGATTCTTTAACATTATAATTACTTAAGCTATATATTGGGACAAAATATGTTGACAACCCTCACTATTCCTATTTTTATTTTGTTTGATTTCCAAACAAAGATAAAACAATAAAATGATAAATTCATACAGCTTCATCTTAAACATAGCTTTACTTTTCTTTTCTTTTTTTTTTTTAAAAAAATGAGAGAGATAGAAAGAGAAAAAATAAACCGGTTTCCATCTTGTAAATCACATAAACATCTTTAAGGTGCATAGTAATTATCAGTATCAATCTCAAAAGGAGCTTCCAAAAAAAAGAAGGGGGGGGGGGATAAATGTTTTTTTTTTTAAAAAAAATATAAATCAACTTTATAAAACAAAGCGTAGAAATGTCGATCTTACAGGAAGCTGTCTGTGTTTCAAGACTGTTATAATATATGCAATGTATAATGTGTTGCAATAGATTTGTAGCTAGATATTTAGTCTAACAATTGAACAATTTGAGATTACCACTAAAATGAGCAACATTATCATTATCATTATCATTATCATTATTTGCTGCCTTTCTGTCTTTATATATATACATATATATATATTATAATCTCATCTTTCTACATGAGAATAAGAATAATTATAATTTACGCCACTTGTACGTTTGTGTGATTTGTAATTATAATAGTAAAAGTGTGTACGTGAGTAATTATAACAACAATAATATTATTATTACTATTACTATTACTATTTTCTTTTTGAACCTGTTTCTCTCTCTCTCTCTCTCTTTTAGTTGTGGTACAGAACCTTCATCTAATGTCAAAGCCCTATGCATTATTATTAGTCTAATCACTTATTGCTTGTATTCATATATTTACTCTATTTGGTTTTGATATTAAATAATGCTATCTATCTAGAACTGTGATTGAATACAAAAAAAACTGGAGCCACATAAAAATTTGGTCTTGACTTATTTGATATTCACTAGGTACTTTGAGTCTATTAGACATTCAAAAGGAAGAAGTAGAATAGACAATCTTTATATTTGTATGTTTGTATGCTTATAAATTTCTGCTCTAGACCAATTGGTATACCAAAAAAAAAGAATTCCAAACAATGTTTGCTTGCATGATTTTTTTTATGTTTTTTGTTTATGTTTTATATACTTTGGGAACATTTACACAATACAAATTGAACCAATTGAACCAATTGAATCGAATTAATCAATTGATAGGTTAGATTACTTAAATAATAGTACAAGCAATACTTGGCCATATATTCTAGACTTGTGTGAGGTCCATAGTTCCAAGCTTTTAGTCTCCAAAAATACAAAAAGAAAGATAATTATGATGATTCGATCCTTTCTTAATCTAGTTCTCTATATCTCTGCGTGTGTGTGTGTATGAATTTGAGGAAGAGATAAAGTAATAAAGGCAAATGCATTGGTGAGGATGATGAGTGAAAATATTTGTGTCTGGGAAGTACAAAGTACAATTTTATTTGCCTTTCTTTTGTTTGTTTGTTCTTATTTATTTTCTCACCCTTTTTTCTTTTATCTTATTTTTTCATGATGTTGTATTAAAATGCACACATAAGAATATTCAATTGGCCAATAGAATAAAACAGTACTACCGGAATCGTACAAATGTCTTGGGTACAAATGTTCTCTATCCTCATCAGATTTTTTTTTAAAAATTCTTTGCTTTAGTTTATATTTAATGACAAACTTAATACCTGTTCTACACCAAACACTAGATACTAAACACTAGATACTACACTACCTTACCTTATACTCAAGAGGTCTATTATACTCCTCTGTATAAAGAGAAAAAGAAGTACAGAATGTATTTTGACTTTAATTTATTTATTGGGATTTCGTTATCTTTGTTTTTTTTTCTTGTATCTTAATATGTCGGGAACTCAACTCAAACAAAAGGTGGAGAGACTGACTGCCATGCAGTAAAGAACAATTAGATCACAATTATAGTGTTACAAGTGTTACGATCCCAAGTGTCTATTTTTATTATTCTTTTAAAAAAATGAAATAAAATCTTTACACATACGCACAAATATATAACACATTTGTGTATGTGACATGTCATGGCGTGAAGCTACATAAACCAATAAAGTATGTGTATATGAATCAAATGAATACAACATACGTTTATCAATGATAAAGAAAATCAAATCACTTTATAGATTAATCAATATTAATAATACTGATCATAGTAATAGTAATAGTAATAGTAATGAATATGTAAATAATTCTTTCTCCTCCATTCCAATTCTAATACTCATCCCCTGGGATGTATCATGATATTACTATTGTTTTTTCTAATGATATTTATTTATTGACGTGCAGACAGAAAAAAATAATAATATTTTATATATCAAGCTGGCTGCTAATACATATACACATACATATACACACACACGCACATATATATATATATATATATGTGTGCGTGTGTGTGCGAGTGAGTGAGTGAGTGTGTGTGCAAATGGAATAATATGAAATAGGAAAGAGAAAAGGACTGGTTAAAGAAGAAGAAGAAGAAGAAAAAATAAAGAGAGATATTATACAGCTAAAAAAAAAATGCAAAATGAAAAATGAAAAAAAGAGAAAATTATATATGTATATGCTGCTTTGTGGGTGTGGGTGTGGGTGGGACTATTATAATAGTAATAATAATATGATTTTTTTCTTCCTTTCTTTCTTTATGCCACAATTCCAATGGTTGCCTTGATGTCATTTACAACCTTATCTTTGGATGTTGATGCATAGACAGTGTAGTAGCGGACCTGTTCCTGGAAGCTGTCGATCGAAGTCTGGAGGACGGGCAAGACAAAGGCCTGGGTGAGGTTGACGATGTTTGTGGCTTTCTGGAGGGGAGGCAGGTCGGAACGGATTGCTTCGGCACGGATAATACCATATTCATGAGTAGCAAAGCCAAGGAGTGGGTCGAGGCGGGATTGCATAAATGTAGGCAGGCGTACGCTTTGTTCCTTGATGTATTCAGAGGCATGGTCGAGGCGATGGACAAGTTCAACAGTTAGGTCATGGATGCGTTCCTGAGTGATCGTCTGTCCGTAGTTTCCCTTGATCTGGTGCGTGATTTCCTGGACGCGTTCACCGGCCAGATGGCGAGAGTGCAGAATCCATGTCTGGAGACTAGCGTTTATCTTTGCGATCTGGCCAGCGGTTTCCTGCAAGAGCCGGCTGGTCTCTGCCAGGCGGGCAATGTCGGCTCTCGAACTTGGCATGCGCTGAGCAAGACGCTGGGAGACGTCATTTGCAAGTTGATAGAATCGCTGGCTGGCTTTTTCAGCATCATCATATTCTCCTCTTTGTCTTTGTCTTGATCGTCTTTCTCGGCCTCTTTCATCATCATACTCTTCTTCTTCTTCGTCTTCACTATCACTGTTTTGTTGCGGTGGTGTGGGTGGGTATTCGGCTGGTGCATACGGCTGCTCTTGCTGCCGCTCAGATGCTTTTTTTGGTGGCGGTAACCATCGGTCTACAAGAGACTCGATATTGTCGGCTGCGTGTATGATCTGCTTGTTGACTGGTGCAGTGACTGTGATAAGGGTCGAGTCGATCCGATCACGTACACCATCGAGTAAGTCAAGCGACTTGCATCCAATAGCATCAGCACGCTCCAGCTGGTTCTTGTAACGGTTGGCATAAGGGGATGCGATCTCCGTGGCCCTTGTGAGCGTCGTTTCTGCCTGCTGGAGTGCATATCTGCTCAGTGTGGTTTGGTTTGCATAATGGTGCATCTTCCCCAGACTCTCCTGCACAAGTGGTATCGAGGTCAACCGAGACCAGAACCCGCCCTCAGTAGAAGGTACTTGTTGAGTGCTTTGAGTTGCTAGAAAAAAAAAGAATAAAGGCAAGCATGAGTTTTACCGCTTAATACTCTTGTATTTTTGCTTTATCGCATGTATTTATATGTATATATTATAAATTTCATGGTTTTGTATTCTTATTTACCTTGTTCAGAGCTATTATAAGAGCTGTTTGATTTTTCCATTGTATGAAAGAAGTTTAGGATGAGTAGTTAAAGAGGATGTGAGAGATCCAAATATTTATAACAATAAGAAGAAGAATAAGAAGTAGAAGAAATTTTCTAAATAAATAAATAAAAAAAAAAGCTTGTTTTTTATATATAAAATATAAAATAATAAATAGAGAGAGAGAAAAAGATTGTGTAGCGTGTAGTGTGGCACTTGAGAAAATATTTGTCCCTCCAGCATCTTGACTCCCCCCCCCCCCCCTCTTTTTCTTCTCTTGCCCTTGATTTGATCGCTGTGACCTTGATTAACATGTGAAAGATGAAAAGATTAAAAAAAAAAGGGTTATCCTCAGCTCTCTCTCTTTTTTTTTTTAAGATTAACTACCGCTCCATTCATTATAATAGACTTATATAAATATATGCCCTTCATACACAAACGCCTAATATGAAAAAGATGTATGATGTCACCGGTATATTTAATCCTTAATAAATAAATAAATAAATAAAGAAATGGATACATAAATAAATATATATATTTTTAAAAAAAAAGGCACCATTCACAGAACAAGATCACTTTCCCAAAACGAGCGTTTGATTATAGAGAAAAATCATACCATCACATCCCAAATACTCATTCCACCTATCTCTGTAGTAAATGGCAGAAATTACAACTCCGGGACCGTAGGAATTATACGGTCCCGTATATCTTATACGAATCCGTATAATTCCTACGACTACGGGGTTATAATGTCTGCCAATAGAATATTGGCTTTTAGTAAATTAAAAGTATTTACAACGAATACTATTTATGAGAGTTCAAATTACTTTTTATCTAATCCAATAAAATCGTTTAAAGTAGCAAAATTATACCATTTTTAGGTACATATTTCCCTTTTTATAGCTAATCTGGATAATACAATTCGTTGGATTTTATATTATTTTGCATCTAATCCAATAAAATATTCTAAATATGGCAGATCTATACCTTTTTTTTAGGTATATCTATTCTTATAATTAGTTCAACAAATGCACGGTTTTATATTTGAATTTTATAGTTTTTATTGATCAAAATAATAGAAGTTGAATATAAAGAAGTATGGAAAGAAGAAGTACTACTTTTTATGATATTTAGTAGCAGTTTAAGCTATAAAGTTACTAAATAATATACATATACCTATTGTTATGTGATACTTTTTACATTTTTTTATCTAAAAAAAAAAGGCTATTCTCTAAGTACTATGATATTGATGAAGGCATGTATATTACTTAATTGATTCTTTTTATCAAAGAGTATAAACATGTTTTGTGTTAACATTGTCATGCCTGATTCCTACTTTTGAAAAACCAAAGGACAGATTCCCTCCAATTCTCTCAATCTACCGAGATCTCTAATGAGCATGCGAGCAATCTTGACAACCAAATTGTACTTGATGCAGATATTTTTCTGTCAATTCTTCTCAAGTTACTTTCTTTTGCCAGCTTTGCTGATTCGTATTTTATTAATACTAGCCTTGATAGCTATTAATTATGTTTCTTTTAAAGACATTTAATAATTCTAGACCTTGTGAAAAAAAAATAGAAACAAGTCTTTTTAGATGTACCAATCTAAATTGTTTGGAGAACATTGACGGGTCAGAGGTTATGCATCGTTTGTGGAATCGGGATCTTGCTGCTGTCCTGAACTTCCGACATATACTTAACAATCTGAGATATGATGGGACTATACCTGTAAGGTTCACCCGCGTCATTCGGATTGGGCGTATCAGAAGACAAGCAGAAGATCTCCAGGAGGGTCGTCGTTTGAGACAAAGACTGACTAGAATTCAAGGAAGATGAAATAATTCCGTCCTGGTTACCGCTTAGGACCCACCCAAGCTACCGCTGGTAAGCCATTAGATTTGAATAACTTGGTATTTAGTTTTGTAATGGATTGAAAAAGCTAAGAAAAAGATGTTTTGCTTTGACTGCAAAAAACATGGTGGGGTAGAAATTGGTGCTTAATTAAAAATCAACTACAAGACACTTTAAACCCCGGAAAACTTGCAACAATTCACTAAAATCGCCTATTTTTTTTCTATAAGGTATCTCTCTCTCCCCCCCCCCCCCCTTTACAATCCACACTTTCCAATTCATTTGTCGTAGTTTAAAAGTGACGGGTCTATTCTAGCAGTGACACCATCCGATCCATAGAACAATAATAAAAATTATATTATATTATATTATATTATAATATAAAATAAAGTAAAATAAAATATCAATATATTATAAATAAAGTGTATTATATAGATTTTAGACATAAAGCATAGGAATAAGCATTGTCATAGAAATATAGGCACACATATTAGGCGTATATAAATACAATATCTAAAATAATAATAAAGACAACAAGAACAACATGCTGATTCCAAGCCTAATTCTGGCACATTCAAGACGAACATTCAAAGGCATGACAACACAACACGGCATAAACAAATAAATAAAAGAAAAATACTTATACAACATACTCTTTGTCGTATGCTTATCTTACCCTTCTAGTGTTACCCTTACGCCACACCACACGATTTCTATCCATACGCTCAAGTGACGCTAGTTCACCATTGTCATTACCTCGTGTTCTTGTCCTCACTGACGGAGGAATTGAGGCAAGTCTCAAGGCAACCGCTCTCGGAAGACAACTTGTGAAACACAACCTTGCTAGACTAGAGACCAAAACCTGGGTAGCAAGCAAAGGTACATGTTATATATAAATACATAAATATTATATTACTATTACTATTAAAATACACCTATGTGTGCGTGTATACAAAATGCGTCTATACATATATCTATATACACACTTATTAATAATATATATATATATGCACTTAAGCTTTAGAGATGTTCCCTCCAATTCTACAAAAATACTTTATCAATTGGGCTTTTTCTCCTCAAAAAGGTAAACACATAATATACAATATAAGTATACAATATTATACATATATATTTTTTCTTTATTATTAAAATCTATAAACCAATATATATATATATATAATTTTAAATTTTAAATCTTAATTCGCTTTTAAAAAAAAGATAAAGGAGATGAAGATCAATCGTTACCATGGTATCTAAGACCGATTGACAAAGACAACAAAATAAGCAAGGATATACCGGATTATGTTGTTTGCAGTGGTGTATCCGCCGTACCTGCCTGTCTTTACATGGCTAAACTTGATCCCAAAAAGGTCTTTTCTGGTAAATATACACATATTTAAATTAAATTAAATTAAATTAAATTAATTTTTTTAAAAAAAAAATGATAAAAAACTATAGTCATTATCATTAATTTTTTATTTGTTTGGTATCAGTTTACCTTGGGCACCCTGCAATTCCTTTTATCAGCTTTGATCAAGTAGTCTTGCCAAAATATGAAGCCAATGCAAAGATGGGTAAGCCATACATATATTAATATATACAAATAGACAAATAGACAAATAAATAAATGACACTGTAAAATTGTTGTGTAACTGATTTCACCTGTCAATATGTGACTTTAGCCGCATTGGGTCCTCTTGCACGCCAAAAGAATTGTATCATAACAGAGGTAAGATTAACTTTGCACACACACACACATATATATATATACAAATATATGAATAAGAAGGTATACTTGTGTATTTATATAATATATAGTCTTCTCTATTGGATCCATACCCTTTGTGTGACGAAAACTCTCTTGCAGAAATCATCCCGGATACCTTCTTGTCTCAAAAAGACTCGTCCGATATTACGGCTGTGGTTGTTGGTGGGTACTCGTTTGCGTGTCGCTGGTACTCAGAAGATGCGGTTACATTGGGTGATAATATCAAGGTAACGAAAACAAGAAATGAATAAATAAATCGAGGAATAGAGAAATGGATGAATGATATTTAATGTGTATACACACTACACACCAATGTTTTTCTTATCCTTCTTCTTCTTTGTTTTGTGGGCATCAACTGATAGCTAACATTCTCGTATAAATATTATTATTATTATTATTTTAAAAAAAAACAATCGATCAATCAATCAATCAATCAATAGCGCATGGTGAACAGTTTGAATACAAAGTTGGTCATTGTCTTTACCGAAAGAACAACCCCGATGGTAATCAATTCTCTCTCTCTATATCTTTCTCTCTTAATATCAATATCAATACATCATTTAACTAGTCACCTGATAGAATAGGTCAAGAGTGCAATCATGAAGTCCATCGACAGTTTTGGGGATAAAAGTGATTCTGTAGCTGTGTGGGATGTCATGTCACTATCATCCGAGGGCACAGACAACACCCTAAGAAAGGTGCAACAGTATGAAAGTCTTATTAGCAAGGCAAAAAGAGTGGTACTGACAGCAGATCTGGACTACCTCACAGCCCACGCTGCCTCCAGACGGTAAGTTTTTATTTATCTTATATATATATGTATATACTTAGTTACTTGGTTGCCTAGCTACCTAGCTACCTAGTTACTTGGATACCTGGTTACCTGGTTACTTGGTTACTTGGTTATTTTTATTTTATTTTACCCATTCTTATTTAATTCTGATTAAATAATCATAATAATAATATTATAGGAAACCTGTGTATATTGCCTTTGGAGGACAATGTCGGTCTTATTTGCTGCAATTCCACCAGTGGGCTAGAGAAGTCCACCTGACACGCAAGTTGCGTCTTGATCGTACAAAACACACAAAGATATCCGGGGATCCATTTAGTTATCTTGGTCATCATGCAAGATTTGCCGATGGGTTGAAACTATTAAAGGTGCAGCCAATCATGGCAGACGTCCTCCACGAGATAGAGGCTGTTCGGGCTGAAAAGGTGACTGGAAAGCGGCGTAAGAACTAATAATAATAATATATGTGTGTATATGTATACAAGTACACAACATAATAAAGAACATTATTTCTATTGAAGAAAAAGAAGAAGAAATAAAAAGAAAAAGCGTGTTGATGCAATGCATGCTTATGTGCACCGAAACTAATCTATACACACACATGTATGTGATGTATGTGTATATGTGTATATGTATATATACAAGTACATAAATATGCAAAAGACAAATATTGATAGGTAATGCCTAGCAAGGTTATCTATTCTGGATCTATTTTTAATATTTTCTTTCTTTGCTTCAGTTTTAGTTTTAGTTTTAGCCTTTGGAATAGAATATAATAGCATAGCAATCAATATAAATCAAGATAATGGTCAGAAAGTCATTTTGCAGCATTTGAAATCATTAAACTTGACTCGACTTGAATCGACTCGATTGAAATGATACAAGTATCCAATATCTATGAGAAATTCATCACAGAGAATGATCTTTTCTTAATAAGACTAACTAAAGAGTCTTTCACATGTCAAGCAAAAGGTTACAATTAATAGTGACTGTCCGAAGAATACCTTCTTTTTTTTATCAGACTCCTTTCAAAGAAGATGAGATTTGTTTTATCATTTAATACTAATGTTATTAGTATTAAGAATCTGAACAAGGCGATACTAGGCAATATAATTTTGCGGTAAAGAAGATAGCTATATGAATTTAGCATGAGTTTAGACCCTCTTCATTATTTACTAGTATCTTGCTTGTCGTCTATCTTGATCCAACATTAAGGAGGTGCAAAAGGATAGTTTTGTGGATAATGATGTATCTTTACTCTCTTATAGACGAAGAATTTTTACTAATATTTTGGTTTCTTTCCTAGGGTACCCAGCTAGTAAAACAGTTTGTAAAAATATCCTTTGATTATTGCAATTTTGATCTTTAAGTTATGTGCATATTATTCAACACTATAATTCTACATATGGCAGTATATATTGGGTGGATGAGAGAAAAAGATATTCTTAATCAATTGAGAGATGATGGCATGATCTTTGATGAACTCACCCGTGTTAATCAAATCAAAAGTACTGTAAGACCAAGAGAATATGTGCTGGCGGATCACCTTGTCAGACAAAAGCAGGCATATAAAAAGAAGAAGCAGAAAAGATTAACATTTCAAGGCGTGTTATCGCCAGCTATTCCCAAGATATTTCTTTAAAAGCAAGTCTTTAAAATTCTTTGAATAAAATGCTAGATAAACTTTTTAGTATTATTAATATTGATATTCTCTGTACTTCGTTGGGGTGAAAGGTTTTGGGGGGAAGGTTTTTTTGTTTTTCATAAATCGCAAAAGAAACATGGTAGGACAAAAATGGGTATTATTTAAAAAGGGTTTTTCTTTTTTTCTTTTTTGAACCAAAATAATATTAAAGCATTATGAAGCTTTAAAATTGAAACAAATATACTATTATTATCTTTGCAAAGAAAAAAAAAGCTTCTACTAAAGTCACTGATATATATTCAATAGTGTAATGATTTTTCACCTTACAAATTATCCCTTGGTATTATTATTTTGTTTTTGAATTTGACCATTTATTCATTTATTAATTTTGAATCTGATAACAGTCAGGATTTCCAAATATTTTTGCTTTACTTTAGTTTGTGTGTGTATGTTTTTGTTCTGTGTTTGGATATCATCAATCTTAATATTCATGTGGTACAGTGAATCATAATACAATGCAGTGTAAGGATTTCTTGTCATTGAAACTTGCTTCACGTTCGATTGGGGGTATTGGAGTAGGAAAAGAGAAATTAATACTTGACTTACTAGCGTTTCTCATCTGCGATAGAAAGAAATTGCTTTGTTCTCATCCTCTTCTTCCGAGATCTGGAACATCTCAAAATGGATTCTAGTATCAATAGTCTTGCACAATGTATGTATGTATAGTAGGGATCAATATTGAATAAAATACTCAGGTACAATGAATGATGATAGTAATTGTAATAATCATTTTAATCCAATAAATTGGAACATTTGTGACATTGGCTACTTCTATCTCTAAATATGATTCAAATTTATTTATACATACACCAGCCTTCCACTTAAGATTTTACGCTTTGCAAATATTAAAACGGTGATTTTTTGACTTTCTTGTGGGGTTGTTGTATGTAGTCGATTTCAAGAAAGTCTATCAGATGACATATAGAATTTGTACTTACACAAGCATATATATATATATATATATAAAATAAAAACAACAACAAGAAAATGGAAATATTCAGTACAATTTGAGAACAGTGTATTCTATATGACGCACTTAGCACAGCACAAGTAGACCAATATTATTATTTCAAGGGGAAGAATGTTGTGTACTGTTGGCTGATCATTTAGAGTAAACAAATAGGCAAATAGATAAATATATAAATATATATATATATAATGGTTACGAAACAATTCTTTCAAACAACCTTATTTCTCCACAATCTATTTGTTGAAGTACAAGGAGACAATCATGGACTGTATAGAGCTTAATATATACACAAATATACACTTACGACTATTGGTAATTTTATTTTATTTTGAATATCTTGGGTCAAGGGATCTTGAACGCTACATTAACACTGGATAACCTTCTTTATAAGAAATACTCTTATAAAAGAAAAGAACAATTAAAGGGTTCTCGCAAAAAGGTAGCTCAAATATATTTTAAGTGTAAAGTGAAAACAGTAAGATATATACATAAAAGTTAAAGCAATTATAGCCAATTATGATAAAATAAATAACTGGCCTTCGATAATGTTGTAAAATAACTAAAGTATCTACAAATCTCCATGTATATATATATATATGATGATGATAGATAAATACAGATAAAGAGTAGGTATTATGAAGGAATTGTCTATAGAAATTTACCTATGAGTATACCTTTTTTTGGGGTTTTTTTTTGTTTCCTATAGTGTTTCTATTTAGATTAAATAAAGTTATCTATTCATATTTACCCGTCTCTTTCATCTTTCTTTTTTGAACCCTCTTTCCAAAGAAGGTATATAATTTTCACAAGTTGTACCCCATTAAGATATTATGTAATGAAGAAGAATATGAAAAGCTGCCCAATTGTACCTAATTTATACCGATCTATTACAGTGAATGGACAGCTTCTTTGTCTTTATTTTGGACTTCTTAAGTCTCTAAAGACTTTTATTACATTGGCAGCAGCATGTAAGAGTATATTTTCTAAGGAAATCAAAATAGAAATCAAAGTCAATATGGTACATCTAAATATTTACATAACAAAGCCATTGTTACTGATATTGCTATTATTATCACACACACACACACAGGCCTAGATTGTACAAAACGATGGTTTTTTTTTAGTATTTAAAAGTACAAAAAATTATAATAATCCCCCCTTCTTTAAAGACATATATATAAATATCTTCCTAAAGAAAATAATCAAGCAAAATGCTCATTACAAAGCAATAAATTGAAATCATCAACCATGATGGTATAGAATGTGAGAAATAAACAAGCTTTTTTTTTCTTTGTCGTACCAAATTGTGTTTTCAGCTGTGGCGTGTTTAAAGCGTTTTGTGCTCTTTCCCCCCTTTTTTTAATGATGATGATAATAATAAGGCATAAGACTTAATAAGTCAAATGAGTTACACCCCTTCTCTAAATTCTAACATCAAAAAAAATAGTACAAGAATTGCTTGGAAGTAGCCTAAAAATCTGGGAAATACGTGCATGGGTGGGGTAAATGAGGGGGTGTTTATCTCAAAAAATAATTATATATGTATACACCTCTTTAGTATCAAGAAGTCTTTTTTTATTTATTAAGATATACTTGGTAATAGGGCTGGATTTTTATTTTGGTATGAATACAAAAAAAAACATAAGATTGTTTCAGCAACAACATGGTTTGAATTAATGCTTATAAAAATAACACTTTGATTGAAGATCAAAAGTACAAAATAACAAATAGATAAATAAAGTTTTTTTTTACTGGTTGAATATAATGATAATAAAAGGAAACATTCAGATTCTAGAATGCTATAAGGTAGTAATATTTGACTAACTAAAATATACATAAAGGTAAAAAGTATTTGCTTGGCTAACAGAGTGTTTAGTTTTGAAATATTTTGCCTGTTTTCTAAAGTAGGGCACCAATGATATATGCATATCAATAAACTAGTATTTTGGTCTACTCTAGAAAAACATACAGCATACGTAGTTATCAAAAGATAAAAGAAAATATACACCCACAGATAAAACTAACGAGTCAGGATTTGTGAGTTTATTGAACTACATATCTAATACTTCCCCCCACCTCACAGCTCACATGGATAGCCTGGATACAGTTGTAAATCAACAAGTGTGACTTATATATCATTAGAATTATGTCTGTAAGCCATGTGTATATTATCATTGGTAAAAGAAAATATGATTTGGCGCGAAACTCCTGCATTCCACAGATGTACTGTTGTTTTTTCTCTAACTTTCTTAAGTATTAGAGAATCTTTGTAGCTTGATATAAACACAAAACATATAATCTTTCTTTCTTTAAATCAATATTGACATTATTGTACTACGGCGAAACAGCCACATACTCATGTATTAAGCTCAAAAGTTCTAATACATATCGGTACAAGCACCATCCCCTCTCTTTATTTCTTTCTATTACGTCTGCCTATGTTTTGAAGACAGATATTCTCAAATTAAGCATTAAATATGCACACATGCACATATATCATATTGAGGCTTGTTAGTACGTCTATGTTTACAAATTATTAAAGTCATAATACCAATAATACTAGCTTAGTACAAACAAAAGCCAAAAGTGTTTATACATAACTTGGCGTTTGCTTAAGTGCAATGATTTATTTATTTGTTTTTAAAGCCAATTATCAAACTACACTGTATATATATATACAAACTGACAATTAATTACAAGGCAAAATTATCTTTGTCTATGTTCTTACGAAATAATAAGAGCTATTCTAATAGATATGCTCTAAACTGTTGGACTGTATTGTCAATTTTGTTTTATCTTGTAAATATAACAAAAAAAAACATTCAAAAAAATTTCATTAAACTTATAAATATATATAAATGACATGTTTATGCAACGAAACTTTATATATCTTTCTGATTTGTCAACTATACATATATTTTGTATTTCCTTGTACATACCCCTTCATTTCTTCTTCTTCTTCAATTTCTTCTGTCAAAAGGAACTTTAAATGTCTGTGAATAAGCTTACAAGTGACATCTTTAACTTTTGTTAATGTCCACAACCATCAATGAAAAAAATGTATATATATATACGTATGTAACTTAAAGCAAAATTTCACCCGGCTTCTTTTTTTACTCTTTTAAAAACACATACATAATTAAAGCTTTACTCATCTTATTAGTGGGTATCCGGTATCCACCAACTTTACAAGAACGTTAGTATGTAATGTATATTGAGTTGCTTGTAATCCAAACTTATTGGCAGAACAATAGGAAAAAAAACGAGTTTATATGGTCGAATGGCCTGACATTGATCCTCTTGTTACCAAGAGAAAACGTCGGTAGGTAAGCCATAATTGTGATCATAATAGAATATTGTAGAGTAGAGTAAAGTGAAGCTGTACAAGCCTCTGAACATTTAGTATCTTTGTTCTTTTGAATCTTGAATCTGAAATCAATACTCCCACATTTTATTCGTTTACTTAGATATTTCACAAAAATACTATAAAATAAAATTGGGTGATATGAAAAGATCTACATATCAATTCAAGGTATCAATACCAATCCGAGTTTAATCGAAAACCAGATATATACATACGTCTTTAACATTTAATAATGAATGAAATGTCATTTGAATTTCTTAATAGTAATACAGCCCCTAAAAAAATTAGATAATTGCATTGAATATATATATATATATATATATGTAGATATTTCAACATATAGAGGTCTGGATCTTCGTTACACATAAAGAAGTGATAGTTACATATTAGGATTATCAGCATTTCGAATAATGACTATGTAAATTCATTGGTGGTTGATCTTTCGGCCAAATAATATATATAAAAGCTATATATTTATTTATTTATCTTTTAAAGTTTGTTGGGTTTCGATAATTTCTCTAATTACTACCAACAATTGACCAGAACAAAGATAGACTTAAGCAAAATTGAATAAGGCCTTTGTCTTTAAGGTAGTCTTGCTAACCATGTCACACTTTTTAAAAAGAATAAAAATATTGTGTAAGGATTATGCGCCATAACACAGGTGTGTCACGTCTTTCCTTTTATCCTTTTCTGTCCACTAATCATACAGTCACAAAGCTCCGTCCCAAAACATAATATGATCTCTACTTTTTTCTTTTTTCTTTACATCTCGCCTGAACTTGCTTAATCTTTTCTTTTTTGAGAGATATATCCTAAATGTCTGCTCAAACTGCACCCCCACAGTCAGCCACCGGCGCAGAACTCATTGCCGAATCTCTGAAGAGACAGGGTGTCGATATAGTGTTTGGTATTGTTGGTATCCCAGTAGTAGAGATCGGCGAGGCCTGTCTTAGCAAGGGTATCCAATTCATTGGCTTCCGTAATGAACAATCGGCCGCTTATGCAGCTACTGCATATGGATATCTTTCTGGGCGCCCAGGAGTCTGTTTGAGTGTCGGTGGACCAGGTGTTGTACATGCCTTGGCTGGCTTATTAAACGCCAAGATCAATTGCTGGCCACTTGTCTTGTTGTCTGGCTCTGTAGACACCGACCAGGTAGATATGGGTGCCTTCCAAGAGCTCGATCAGGTTGAGGCATGCAGACCTTACTGTAAATATGCCTCTCGTCCTACCTCAGTGGAAAGAATTCCATTTGTCATCGAGAAAGCTATCCGCTCAGCAATGTACGGACGACCAGGAGCATCTTATGTCGACTTACCGGCAGACTACATCCAGTATCGAACCACCGAACCCCAGTGGATCGAACGCTGTCAGGTTACACGTGTGCAAGACACCCCCAGATCAATGGCAAATGACGCCAGCATTAAGGAAGCTGCTTCAATTTTGTGTAATGCCAAGCAGCCATTGATAGTATTTGGAAAAGGGTAATGAATGAGTCACTGGGAAGCCCAAAAAAGAAACAGATATCTAACAGCTTTTGTGATTTATTAAAAAAAAACAAATCAAACAAAAACGAAAAAAAAATGTGTGTATTGCAGAGCTGCTTATGCCCGTGCAGAAGATGAACTGGCAGCTCTTGTGGAACAGACCAAGTTTCCATTTTTACCTACTCCTATGGCCAAAGGATTATTGTCTGATGAACATCCTCTTTGTGTCGCCGCTGCTCGCTCAAAAGCGTTACACGAAGCAGATGTAGTTCTATTGGTCGGCGCAAGACTCAATTGGATTTTGCATTATGGACAATCGCCAAAGTGGTCAGACTCTGTCCGTTTTATTCACATTGATATCTCCGCCGAAGAACTGGGAAATAACGGTGCTGACACTTTACCCCTCTTGGGTGACATCAAGCTTATTCTCAAACAACTCCTTGCTCAACGCCCGCTTCCCCAACTCCAACCCGGAAACTCTTTTGTCAAAGGCTTGGTTGCAAAGGTATCTCAGAATGTAGAAAAGACAAGACTGGCAAGTCTGGAAGGCGACGATACATCAATCTTGAAATACCGAACTGCCTTTAAAGTAATCAAGGATATCCTTCCCGAAAGAAACATAGTCTATGTAAGTGAGGGTGCCAATACCATGGATATTGCCCGTTCCTTCTTTGATGTTCATGAACCTCGCCATCGTCTGGATGCCGGTACCGGTGCAACCATGGGAGTTGGTATGGGGTATGCTATTGCAGGTAAAGTTACTATCCAGAGCCTCCAAAATAATAATAAAATAAAAAACCAGTAATAACTATCTATTGATACCTAAACTTTCTCTCTTTCAAATAATTCCTTTATATTTTCCAGCACAAGCGTATTATCGTAATGAGCGTGTTGTCTCTATTGTCGGTGACTCTGCGTTTGGGTTCAGGTAAGAGCTAATCAAATAATATATTATATGGTATACGTGATATGGATTATTGATTATATTCTATCGACAGTGCTATGGAATTGGAAACTGCGATCCGTGTAAAGCTTCCTTTGATTGTGATTGTGATCAACAACAACGGTATCTATCATGGTTTAGAAGATGATGACTATGCAGAGTCTAAAAAGAACAATTGCCTTCCCCCGACTGCCCTCTCGCCCGAGACCCGCTATGAACTTCTCTCGGTAGCATGTGGTGGAAAGGGCTGGATGGTTAAGAATCGGGTTGAATTGGCCACAGCTCTCAAGGAAGCCTTGGCAGCTAAAGATGAAACTTGTGTTATTAATGTCTTGATTGCTCCGGGAGGACGACAGAAATTGGTGAGTGAAAGAAACTTAAAAAATCATATGTACAACAATGTTGAGTATCCAATTGATTGACCTCTTCCTTTATATGGTATTTTAGGAGTTTGGGTGGATGAAACAAAAGGGAGACAAAGCCAAGATCTAAAGAATAAATCTAAAGAAATGAATAATAGATAAACACACACATATATATATACATATATTAGAATAACACAAAAGCTATAATCTACATTAAATCTACATTCCCAGCTTTTTTTTATATTGTTTATCTCTTGTTTTTCAAGGCGATTAGCCCAATTTTCAAACAAAGTGATATAGGATGTATTTATGAACTCTCAACCAAACAAAAAAATATCAATGGGTATGCATACTTATAATGTAGGTCACAATATATGAAAACAATTGAGGCTGTAGATAGATGTAAGCTCAGGATAGCTGCTGCCATACTCCCAATACATAAAGACACATAGTATTCAATTGGTTAGGGAAAAGTGAATATAAATCAAATGTCAAACTTAGATGTAGAGAATATGTGTGTGCATGTGTTTCTAGGCTTTTTAGGCGCGCAACTAGAATATATTTATTAATTATTAAACCTCACTATGCTTTTCATTCTACTCCAACCTTCTCTTCTTCGTACTCCGAGAAGTGGCGCATGCCAATCACCAATCCCAACGTTTCCGAGCATTTGTTTCCAGAAGAGCTTGTTCGATATCCATTTTTTTGCCTTGTTCAAAGATATACTGATTTTGATGTACGGTACTGTACAGACAATATCACTTAACATTAGGTTTTTTTCTTCTTCTTCAGATAAGACGTGGGAAATCCAAGGTTCGACAAGGAGAGGTTGGTGTAAGTAGAAACCCTTCTAGTAAATGTTGGGACTGGCACTCCTTGTGAGAGAAATACAGGCATATTTTTTTCTTTTCTTTTTCTGGTAATTCAAAAGATCATTCAGGTCATGCAGCCTGGATGCTCTTCAAATGATAGTTTCGTTTTCAGTTTTTATGATCAAATTCATTGCAAGCAGTATTTTTCTTTTCAACATTCGCTGGATTTTGCTGTTGACGCCAGCAATCAAAGAGGGAAAGAGAGATCATTATCAAGGTCTGCGAATTGGGGAATTGATGGCAATTTGAATTCAATCGATTTCATGTATAATTACTTTCTAAGAAGTAATTAAAGCCTTTAATAAGTAATTATTTTTTAACTGTTGGCTCATCATTAAAAGCTAATTAGACTAGTAGAAATATACTTCCAAAAAAAAAGAAATCATAGTATAATATAGAAATCTATTATCTACCTTTTCATTTTTGGAAGAATAGTCAGATGCCTTGACAGCTTTATATTCTACGGCTTTTTCTGGATTAGACTTTTGATGAACACCAGTCAAATGTCTTCGTAATGACCATGTTTGGAGAAAGGTTTTGCTGCACACAGGACAAGTGAGGTCTCTTTCCCACAGGCTAAAGTTGATTTCTCCGGGTCTTTTAGGTGGAGGGCAGTTTACAATAGTTCTTTTCTGTCTTGGGGCTTTTGGCATGATAAAATATTTAGACAAGGAAAAAAGCAACAAGGTCTGGCCATTAATTATTATTATTATATATATGAAGCTTTTATATATAGAAGTCGACGCACCAATGATGCGTTTACATTTTACTGCTAGCGAAATATTGGCAACTATGAAATTTTATTTTCTTTCTATTTTTTTTTTACCCTTATCCATAAAAGTTCTTTTGATGATGTTATATTTAATATATTCAAAAGGCTATCAAAAAGTGTGGATAGTCTCTTGGCAGAATAAAACAAGAGACTTGTGGAGTATTATTGGTACCAAAGGCACCTTGCATTATCAAAAACAGACTTTTGGTTTATAACACACAAACACGCAGGTGCAATTCTACCCGAGAAAATATAACAAAACCAAAATCCGAACATTTTTCAAGCTTGTGTATTAGAATTGTTATCTCATTATGTACTCAAGCCCTTTTAAGTCTATATCAAGAGTTAAATATTCAATACTTTACTGTCTGTAGCGATATATTGCCTCTCTTTCAGACTAGATAAATATATCTCTGGCTATACCTCCACGTAATCCGCAGGTATTGGTGCAAAGCAATTTTGCTACTAGAATAGCCAGTAGTACCAGTTACGTTGTTGCGCTACTTCTTGCGGATGGCAAAAATCTAGCTTTACCCTTTTCTTTTACACCATGAGATATATAATAAAGTATAAAGTGAAAAAAAGAAGATCTAGTTTTCTTTTCAATTTACAGAAATATTTTAACCCATTTTTGAAATTTATATTTATCAAGATCATTAATTACTATCGCTCATATTTCACACTATGGTAACTGTGTGCCTAATTGAAATAGGCAATAGAGAAATATGTATATTTAGGGATAAAATGGCATAGCAAATAGCATTTAAGCTTACATGAGTAAAGCTTTAGCTATCAAGACAACTATAAATATATATATATAAAGGAGTTTTATAAACATAGAAAAACAGGTTATTTCTTAATGTAGTCTTGATGCGTGATGCCTGTCTACCTAGTCTCGTTTCTATATCTTTAAAATATTTCACTTCCCAAGTCATTAGACTTAAGTGACAGCTACTTTACTTTATTTATTTACTTATTTATTTATTTGGAAATGGCACTTACACACAAACCGTTCTTTAGAAAGGAGTGTAGATTCTTCATCTGCAAAAACATACGTATACGATTTGGTTATGTATATATTAGAACATTTAACCGTCATCAAGAAAGCGATGCAAATATTTCACTAACTCACCGTGATAAGGTATATATATACATATTATCTGTAATAATAAAATAGTATATAGAAGCTATTTGCCGCGAATATGACAGATAATTGAACAAGGATGGTGTGAATATAGGACCGAATTTTGAAAAGATCATTTCTTTCTGGTTACACGAAGAGAAGAACTATAAGAGATGGAAAAAATATGATCTTCAGGAAAAAATAAACAGATGTCGTAGAAAAAAATTAAACAACTTCTGGAATATTGTGGAATCTTGCTCTATCAGAAACAAGCAATTTATGCGAAGATCCAGCAGCTACATAAAAAGTTCCGTGGGGCACAAACATTTCACTGAATTAAATCACGGCGAATTGAAGAAAAGCCGAAACGTTATAGAATATCATATAAAACTCCCGAATCCAGTACAAAAGATATATAAATATATACACTTCACTTAACTTTTTATGTGGAAAAAATGATAAAATCAATCCCTTTTATATTAAGATCTCGATCCAGTTATGGGTGTTAATTTACAGACCGACACAGTCTTTATTACCTAGTCCATAGTCAAATCCAATACTTAAGAGGTTCTCCTTCCTGCTGAAAAAGCAGACATTATAAGCACAAATAGTTTCTGGAGAACCAGTGTGATTGAGTCCATTGATGAACTGGGTATGCCTTATCAAAGGGAGGCTGATGGAGGAGGGAAAGCTGAGCTTCTAAATGCAGATTCTTCTGGGGCCAATTGATCTGGAAAAATGGTTCGTGATAAATATATTATGGTAGATATAAGTAAATCCCTTGGGTATTTTGATCAAGTAGAGGAGGCACATCTTTCTCTAGATAAAGAACAGCTCGAAATTGAAGAAGAACACATACTGAACATGAAAAGAATGAATGACTAAATATTTGCTTGGAGGAATATGGTAATGACAGAAGATGAAAGATAGAAATGACGGAAGAGAATGGAGCATTGATGGTCAAAGCAAGTTTGGTTAAAACTCACTTTGTTTTTGAATTATATAGCGCATGCTTTTCAAGAGAAAGAAATTTAGAGATCTTGGACAATACGAGGACATAGAAGAAAAAATATGCATATACAATCCAAACAAAAAAAGCGTATTCAACTAATCAAAATTTCGTTACTCTAAAAAATAGATTAATTATAAACAATATACAGGAAGAAATGTCTTTAATGTATATTTCAATCTTGGTCAATTACCCAACTCTGTTCATAAACAAGTCGACATTGGGCTTGAATAAGCTGGAGGTGTATTTGGACTCTGTTGCCTATGAATGTTAAAAAGTGTTATATTTCTGACAATAATCACAGTAATAAACATGCTCCAATACTATTCAAAAGCGAAAGAGTAGAATTAGAAGCTTTGAATTTTATGAATAAATTTAATATATATTTTATTCTTTTATGGGATATTTAATTTAAACTTCATAGATTGAAACAACTAGCTTGTTAGTGCCATTTACATCACCTAATAAAAGGATAGATTTTGATGTCTTCAATAATATTTATTTGCTAATTGGTTTCAGCTTTTACTCATATAGGACTACTAGTAGTATTTGAATTTTGTTAAAAGAAAAATATTGGTAGTTCCTACTATTTTCTGACCATCATCCTCAAATATCTTATGACAAACACTCATTCTCTTAAATAATCTTGACACCTTCAATTATCGGTATAACCTCATTTCGATAAAACTCAATCTGAAATTCACAATTCCGCTACTTATCGTATTGCGATGTGATTCAGATAATATATACGTATGTATACATTTTGTGTCCTTTTCTACCGTTTAATTATTACTTAATATCACTTTGAAATAACTGTGTGCTTATTTAATAGTAATTATTTGTGCCTTTTGTATCTACTTGTACAAGCCAAATAAATAAAAAAGCTTTTTCTTGTGTTCTTGAACAAAAAGTGCACAGACCACTTTAGAGTAACCTACAAATCGCCGTTATAGAAACTTGCACTCCACTTTAGGAGTTATTGCTATACCGATTAAAACTAAACCATTCGTCTCTTTTTACTTCTTTACTTCTTTGCTTCACTTTACTTTGCAAAGATATTTTGCACGAATGTTTTAGTTAAATTTTATAAGCTGCTACTACTGTCATAGAATAGTTACACAATCCTACTAAAAAAGAGTATACAGCTATGTCACTGCTCTGACGTGGGAGACAAAAAACACCCCTGGCAAAAAAAAGCGCAGTCCCAAACTTTAGTCGCAGACTGCGGGTATATCAAAATAAAGCCCATTCAACCGACACGGTTTTCTTCTCTTTAGCTTTTTTTATACTCTGGAGACGGGTACCCCCTGATTGCCTGTAGTTGAGTTTGACGCGCTACCTATGGGTGATTGGGAGACATTCTTTTTCCATTCTGTGCAGGAAAAAGCGGAAGTGCGTCGTCTCTAGCTTCTTAGTTAGTTCTTAGAGGCGCAGATCAACATTGTTCTGAATTGTGAATTTAATTGTATAATTTCTGAAACAATGGCGACGAGCAATGTTTAAAAAAAGCTGCCACCGAGTTAGCATCATGAAAGTTTATTGAGTGGAGGACGGGGAAGAAGTGGAGTTTACTGCCGACTCTTCATGAAATCCTTGTTCGAAGCTCTCTGGAACTGACGGTGTTGCTTGGTAGTCGAACACGCTGGACCCTGCTACTTTGTGGTAGGTTTCTCTGGTACGTTCGCAGACCCTTCTCAGTGATGAGATAGGGTAGTTGGGATGAACCCGGTTGTTGTCTTACGCCACGGATTAACACCATTCCCACACCTCCTTCGCTACCAAGTCAGGTTTACGTCCTGAGGGAGATTGAGCCGCGTAATGCGGGGACAAAGAACTTGGTGTCATGCTTTTTATTTCTTTACTCATGTAAAAAAACATTAAGTGAAATCATATAAAATAAAATAGCTTATTTATGTATATATTGAATAAATAAAATAATTTTTAAACTGTTGTTGACTCTAATAAAAAATACGCGCTTAGACTTTTTTTTACTTGATTGAAGAGGTTAATGTTGTAATTAGGAAGTCTCATTAATAAGAAAAATTAATCTAGTCGAAGAAGTATGAAAAGAAATGAGATAAAAGGTATGATATAATATAATATAAGAATATATATACTCATAATTGTGTCGATCGTCACGTTTAATTGTATACGATGTTTTTGTCCATAAAATTTATAAGGAAAACTCATAATGCTTGAGAATTCCGATGGTGTGAATTGTATATTACTGAATTTGGCTAATTCAAATGAACATTGTAAAGAGGGTATATTGAAATGATAGGAAGAAAGGGAGAGAAAGAGAGAGAAAGAGAAAAAAGTAAAAAAAAAAAAAATGAAGTGAAATGAGAGTTGAGAAAGAATAAAGAAACGCCTGTTTGAAAGAGACATAAAAGATGTAATGTGGGTTGAATACATAAGTAATGTCCTCATTGTCTTTACACAGAATAACAAGAACTTCAACATGAAGTTATTTATGAAACAGTAATAATTATCTAAAAGATCTTTTTTATTACAGTCTTTAAAAATAAATTGACAGACAAAGAGTATATTGAGTAAGCAAGGCATGACTATCATGAAAGAGACATATTGTAATATTGAGTTTCATAAAATGAAGTCAAAATTTGATGCATTCATGTTGATTATTACTACCGATTCATTTACTTATATAGTTCATTTGTATGTTTTGTTTAGGTACAAGTGCTTAAAAGATGCTATAATTTTCCCATTTCAATATTGTGAATTTTCTTTAAACCACTACCTACTATGTATTTATTTGTCTACATAATTTGGAAGAGTTTGAGAAAGACATGGCCTATCAAGAAAAGGCAACCCATTAATTTAGGCTAATAAAAGAAGCTCTTTTGTATATTGTCCTACATGAGTTAAGGAATAAAAGTGAATTTACAGTGTTTCAACCTGCTTAAAAAACATCTCATTTCGATGATATTTACTGAAAATACCATTATATTATTCAACCTTGGAACAACATTTGCTTTATCACAATAAGAGACAGCATTGTAAAACATATGTTTATTCTTCAGTTGACATTTACTCAGGAACCATATTATTCTCGCTAAGTAAAGGCAAAGTATTACATAAATACTATATCTACGATTCTTTATTGATACGAAATCAACCTCATCATTTGTGAATCTTGTCCTATGGCTTCTTTGGTACATCCGCGCAAAACCCGAGTAAAGAATCCCTTCAAAGGTTCCTTTTCTTCCATACGCTCAACAAGTTCGATCATCTTAAGTATACGTTTAATAATCTAAAATTGCAATCCAAAGTGAGTCAAATATTATTTCTTATACATGTTACTATTATATTTATACCTGTTGCTGTCCTTGTTTATGTTTGTTAGAGTCATTGATGACAAAAGTCAACAGATGGCCAGTGTCACCAAGAATTATTGGAAGATCGCATGCTCTAGTGTTAATATCCAAATTGCATTCTGTTTTCCACATTTTTTCAAGGATAGCTCGCAGTCCATATGAGATACCAGCCATAAGAGAATTACAGCAATTGGGTAGTCTCAAACTACCAATTACAATCAAAATGTCCAAAAAGCGGACAACCCATGTCAAACGTTCTTCATCTGATTGAGAATTCTTTCGGATGGTTTCTGCCAGCACATCCCATGTCATTGCGTGACTCACCCCAAGAATTAATAGACGCGTGCAGGTTTCTGTAATTCGTTTGACAGCTGTATTTGTCCTTTTCAGATTACAAATTTCCATGATACCGATTGTCTTCCCATAGGCCGTTTCAACTGTCAGCCAATCTTCCAGCGCATTTGCTTGTGTAAGCTGGTTTATATCCAGGATACTGCAAGCAATAGATGCCTGTAGAACATTAACAAGTCCATCGTGTTTTTCAATATCGGAACGCTCCAAAAGAGGCAGAGTAACATTGTACATAACAACGCTACGCAAGTTTTCAACAAGAGAAGTTTTCTTTTCATCAAAAACCTCAAGATGTAATGGAAGATGATTCTTTATAGTATCGAGAAAAGTACTCTATTTAACTTTTGTTAGAAGACTTTATATTGCACTTTTAATAAATATATTCTTACTTGAGCGAGTATCGGTAATTTGGAGAACATCTTTGCATGAATGTCCACAAGTTCGATACATCTAATTTCCGAAACACTCGTCTTCTTTGTCACAGCATCCATACCACGTCGCTTATATCCTGTTCTTGAGCTTTCGTGGCCAGTCAATCCACCTAATTCGAGAACCATTCCGAGACCAGCTTCCCCAAGTAATAATATTTGAATTTCTTTGGGAAAGTGAGACAAATCTTGGCTTAGCTGAGAAATTATATATTCGGTCAAAGACATAGATGTAGCTAAATGCGTAGATGCAAGCATGATGCACTCGTTCCAAGTCGTTTTCGACACCGTAGTCAGCTTTGTAAGGATGTTAAACCAATTCACAGGCGGAAGTGGACCAGGAGTATCTTTAATACTACAGAGAAAGACAAGCGAAGTTGGTTCCACGGAGTCTTTATCAAGACTGTTGTCTAGATTGTCAACAATATCAGTCAAGGCATCGAATATTGCACGCAGATAGCTTGTATTGTTATTCAGGCGTGTATATGTCTTTGGTTCTGATGAATTTGCTATGGCCATCATTGCTTGATGCTGAATTTGACTTTGGAGACTTCCAGAGGACACATTGTCTTGTTTTAACTGAAGGGTATCGCGCATATTTAAAGCAGAATGAACCACCTTTCCGCAAAGGGCAGCAGCAATACGGCCACTCTTTAAGTTTCCGACAGGAGACCCTCCATCAGTCAGGCCAGCAACAACTGTCAATGTATCTAAGACGGGGCTTCTTGTTCCAGAATTATATTTTTGCGCCTCTGCATATATAAGTTCTTGATCAGTGATCGCATTGAGGTAATCGACACCTAACAGACTACTCAGCGAGAATAAAGCAGCTAGTCGCTCATGGCTAGAAGGATCTTCTTTTTGAACTTTTTGAACTTGCTCAAGCAGAATGTTTTGATATGCTTCAGACTCCTCAGAATCATTGTCACTCAGTATCATACGAAGGCGATTAACTTTTGCAAAATTGGCGGCGAAGTGAAAGTAGTGTTGGTTCATTGTGTGCTATATAACATGGTTCATATTAAATGAACATTAATAACTATATTTAGCTTGAGATTTTTTTATATAAAAAATACAACACTTACATCTAAAGAGGCTGCTGTCATTGCACTCTCTAAAAGATTCGCACTCTCTTCGTCAATTTGGTCTTCTTGGGATGAGCCATAAGCACATACCCAGGTTGAACCAAGCAAGACTCCTTTATTGACGAGTACACCATCAATATAGAGTCTCAGAGTATCCTTTGCAAACTGATATATTTCTCTCATATCATCCTGCTTGATACTAGATGCCCATCCCATCATTATTCCTAGAGCTTTGCTTTCAGAAACCTCATCAGTCCCCATGTTACAATAGTTTAGCAGGCTTTCTATCCCAGTCTTCACAAGTTCATTTATCCCGGGCGTTTTGGTAGGCCATGTAGCCAATGCTCCAGTAAAATGTCCTGCCGCAAACCCATTGGCAAATTGTACGAGATCAAGTGAAGTATCTATGCTGCGCGTTGAAGTCTTTTCGGTCACGTTCTGCAAGAATATATCCAATAGCCTTGTTAATGCCTTTTCGTTTGTAATAACACAGGCTGATATATAGCCTAAACTGAAACGTGCTGCGAACTGGACTTCTTCACTCATCAGGAGGGTTGAGTAAGAAGTAGATCTTCCCGCCTTCATGATGTATTTTGAGGTTAGGATATCAATTATCTGGCTGGCAGATGCCGTAGCAAAAGAAGGGATTATTCTATACGCAGTAACGATAAGGCCTTTTTTAAGGGAAAAAAACATCAATACATGAGTATTTGATTATATAAGAATTTTTAAAAAAGCTTATTATTACCTGTCACTGCTAATAATATATTACAAGTTGTTCCTGGAACAGTGCTGCGTTCAAGTCGTAACGTAAGGTCTTTGAGTAATACAGTGCCCCTGGCCTCAATATCAGCTTCAGTCCCCACCAAAGCCTTTTCAAAAAGAGCCATCCAAGCACTAAGGCAGGATATGCGAATCATAATATGATCTGTCAATCCAATATCTGCGATAGATGTCTGCATGCATCGATACCATTTTGTTTTGGTCATATTTTCTGGTGTATTCGAACTTCCTTGACGGTCAACGTGGTTATGTATAGTATACAGTACAGAAATAGCATATCCACTTCGTAATCCAGGAATCACACGAGCATTCTCCCAGCCTGTTACAAACTGACTGCCGATTGTATACTCTTTCTCGCCCACCAAGACAATATTACGTTTTCCTTCAAGTGTTTCTTCAGGGGTTATCTTTTTGGAATTTTCCTCTTTAAAGAGACCGCGTAGCATTGAGTCCAGCTCATGAGACATCAATTTGGCAAGAACATTGGCGTATCCAATACTGGGGTGAACAGACGATGCAATTTCGGATACGTAAGGCTTTGCTTTTTCTGGGAGAAGGGTGGCAATATCAACTGCAGTAAAATGTGAGAGTGCCTTTAATGCAAATGTTTGGACCTCTTCATTACTACACTGGATAAGAAATGCCAAGAAGTCGTTAAGAACTTCATTTTTGAACTCTATGTACGGCTCTGATACTAAAATGTAGAAAGTAAAACCGAAATATAACGTGAATTTTAGAAAAGAAACCCCCCTTCTAAATACATTTGATCTATAAACTTACATTCATCCTTGTCGCCTACAATCGAGAAGAAATCGCATATTGCTTCATGTAAGAGTTGCACTTTATCTATATCATTCTCCATTGCATACTTTGCAATATATCTCATTGCCACATTCCAAACAGACCGAGGTTCTGCCATACCGGCTCTAATACAAGCACATATTGTTTGTACAATGATTGTAAGTGTAGTAATGCTCAAATCTTGACAAGACTGTAGTAGCGAAATAACCATAGGGAGAATAGTAGGAGCACACTCTCTTGGTTTGCTGATACAAAGATCTCGCATAGTTGTCAATACTGAAAGCTCCATCTGTAATGTTGCCAAAGAGGCATTTTTTCGGGAGAATCCAGTTATAGATTTGCGCCGAATGACCCAGTCAGACAAAACTCTCTTCAGTTCTTGCCAAACACGAGGCTGTCTTTCATAAATCTTTTCCAATGTTTTGATTCCTACACTTGCCATGGTTGTCTCTCGTGATGATTGCATACCACCCAATGTTGTGTTTTGACCGTATATTATAGCTAGTGTAATTTGTAATATTTTGGATGTCATGGTAAGATCGTTCGGGTCAGCAAAAGAAGGCAATACTGACTGTAGTATGTAAAGAATCGTATCTGTTGTGATGACTGGATGACGCAGAAGGTGAAGTAATAATAAAAGCGCCGGGAACTTGTAAGAGGCTCCATAGTTGGAAGATACGATGGCTGAAATACGGTCGAGATAAGCACGTCGGATTCCTTCATCGCTGTTGAATATATGGGGCGTACTGAATAGCAAAGTGTAAATACATGACAAGCTAGATGACATTGTAATGGTGTCAACTGGATACACTTGCATAGTTGGTTTATCTTTAAAGAAATTGATAAGATGGGGAAGCATATTGGCCATCACACCTGTAATGTGATGTTTTGATATATCTGATTTAATCTACATCAATATGAGTATACTAATCATCATCGAAATTTCAGGCTAAATTCTATAAGCTCCTAGCCAGCCTCCCGTTTTTTACTCACCTCTTTCAAGATATCTTCATTATCTTTGAATTCACTATCTGTTTCATTGGATTTAGAAATTATTTCCATTATACTGGATTTCAAATTCTCTCTACTGTCGACTACTTCAGGAAGAGTTTGAAGAAGAGGAATGAGAGCAGTCGAGAGAATAGGTCCCACGAGATCAACAAAAGCATACATGGTCTTAATAATAAGAGCCTGGTCGCTGACAGTCTGAGATACCATAAGAAGATAAGACAGGGAAACCCAGACAATAGAAGGGCTAGGATCTGCCAATACATTGCCCGTAAACATATCAGAAAACTCCTCCAATTGAGCAAAACGTTGAATATAAGGCAATGTAGGTCGGCCGTAAACAGCTGCATCACAAGCACGTATGAGCAGCTGGTAAGACATATTTGTTGCGAAAAAAACTCTGGTTTTCTCTTCAATAGACTTATTAAGCTCAACATGAGTTGTAAGCGCACATATAAGAATATCAACCAATGCGAGGTGGTGATGCATACTGCGCTGTGTAGGGTATCGTTGTGATACACTCATTAAGTAGTTAAGTGTATTATACCGCAGCCCTCCTTTTTCATCAGAGCCCATGAGAAGACTTGTACACTTGTTAAGCAACGCAGTCGAATCTACACCAAGATTTGTAAAAAATACGGCATCAAAGAAAGGGGTGAATACTTGGAAGAGACTGTCCGCTAATTCGGGTTCTTCATCTGAGATGTTTTCAAAACAAAAGTCGATTTCTGAAAGTAAATCATAATAGGATTCCGGATTTTCACGCAGGATGAGGACAAAAGGATGTAAAACACCGGGTAATGATGTCGATAGGCAAAATTGGACAGAACGAAACTTCTTGTTTTGTATGTGTAAAAGTAGTAATTGGGTTATAGTGTGGAGGAAAATACTGGATTTAAGTGATTGGTCAGTTGTAAGTACAAGATTCTGTAAACCCTGAAGCGTATCCTGGTATCGAAGCTTGTCATCTTGGATTGCCTTAATGATCTTGTCACACGCATTTGAGACAGCAATGGGAGATAAATTCTGGCGTGCCAAGATAGTCCATAGCTTTTCTGTTTGATCTAATTCGAGTGCGCGTGTTTGATGAATCTGCACAAAACGATGTTGTATTGTAGTATCATCGGTTCCTGTTCCTGACATAGATAAACGCGATTTGTTTGAAATGAATGAAACGCGAAATTAAAGACAAACTTGGTCGTGTTCTTTATAAGACGGAATTTAAACCAAGTTTCATCAGCTTTATTCAAAAAAAGAACTGGGTGTCTTAATGCACCACCTAGATTTCTTTAAATATACCATTAAGCGTATTTAAGAGAAAGGTAGAGAAAAGCAGGTAAAAAATAAAAAGAATATAAAGAATCTACTCTGAGAACTATGAGAAAAAATCTATAGTTCCCTCTTCAATTTTGTGGCATGAATTTAGAGTTGTATAAGTCTAAGGATGTTTTCTACACCTTTCATGCCAGGTCTAAGAGTTGATATTTATTTTTTCTTTATTTCTTTAGTAACCTATATTTTATAAAGGTACTTTAACAATCAAGGCTTAACATCTTGTTGGTCACGGATATAGCGAAAAGGTTAGTCAGATATATGTGAAAATCATATAATTATTATTATTTAAAACATTAAATATTATATATAAGTTTATAAAACAGTTGCTTGCATGCTCTATCTGTAACCCTTTTTAAACCGATTATCAAACTGGATCTCTTGCTTTGTTCGCCTATTATTTGTTGGATTATGATATTCTTCCTTCTCCGCGATATATTCTAAAAGGTGTTTTGATAGAGAATGACCACAGCCCTCCATATCTTCAATTGCCATTTCTAGCCGAGGATCGTTGGTGTAGGCAAGTTTCTTGATAAGTTTGTAGTAGCATCCCCGTAAAGGGACCATTTCAAGGCTCTTCATCTTTTCGAGATATACAAAGGCATCCTCAAAGTCGTCTTGAGTGCACATCAATGTGACCATCTTGCTTAGAGTTGTAGAAGACGGTTGTACACCACCATGAGTTATTTTATCATATATCTGCACCCCAGTATCAGCCCTCTCAGCATGGACACATGCATCAAGCAGTGCGTCTATCGTTCCAGTATCCGGTTTCAAACCGATATCAATAACAGTATAATATGTTTCCATGGCTTCATCATAATCTCCATTGTATGCAAACGAGTGGATTAACAAGTTGAATTCGAGAATATCGCTGGTAGTTTCTTCTTTTGCGAGTTCTTCTATCACGTCTCGTGCCTTTTTTATCGCATTGATATCCTTTCCGAGTTTATGCGCAATGGGTATAACTGAATATTTAGTTGGAACTAATCCTGCTTTGCGCATAACATGAAGTACTCTAAATGTGCTCTTGATATCTGATGTGGATGCAAATGCTTGAATAAGCGGTACAAAAAGACTCTCGGTGTAAGGAAGACCTTGTTTTCCAACAATCTGGATCACATCATCTGCAAGTTCAATATCACTGTTACTGGCAGCAACTTGAAGGATATAGTGGCAAAGTCCATTGTCTGGGAACATTTGTTCCATAGTTGAAATCTTTTTCCACGCATTCTTAACTGTGGTGTACTATATAATGCTGTCAGCCCATTACTATTTTTTCTTGTGGCATTGCGTGTAATTTACCTCATTTTTAAGTGCAGCAGATCGAAGTATGTCCAAGTACAGTTTATTGTGTCTCTCTTCGTATCCATTTTGTTTTTCAGCAGCTTCCAGCAGCTCATATGCCATCGAAGGATAGTTTGATGATAAAGATAGGTTAACCAAGCCCATGTAAACCAGTAAACTTGGTTCCATCCCATGCCTCTTCATTAAATCAAATGTATCCAAAGCATGTTCTAACTCTTGATTCTTTTGCATACAAAATATCATTTCCTGGTAGGTTTTATTGGTCTTTGGATAGTTGAGTGTTTCCATTTCATTTAAGATCTCAGCTTGCAGGATTGAATCACCAAAGCGTGCAGCAAACTATTGGATATTGGAACCCTATAAGCACAATTAATATCGAGCTAGTATTGTGTCTTACATGAAGAGCTCGATTACAATATGATTTGGTAGGCTGTATACCATTGGCACGCATTTCTTTTAAAAGTATCGCTCCCTGTTTTTTGTCACCAATAATTGAATGCGCACTCAATAGGGACTCATACGTGTCTGCACTGCCTTTTAAATTATGTCGTCTCAGAATAGCTTGAAGCTTCAATATCTGGTTGACTACGACTTCTCCAGGGGTAGATTTGACAGAAGCTATATTTAGCACGTCTTTCATCCTTTCTTCAACAGACGCTAGGATTTCTTGGTCAGAAGTATTTCTAGAAATTTCATTGGCTGCCTTCGAAAGCCTATTTGACATAGACCTCTGTGCCGATGTACTCTCTCGTCTAACGGTTGTCTCAACAGCCCCTGAGCATAGACGTACTATTAATACTTACAAACACTTGTTTGTATTTCTAATTACTTTTTATTTGTAAGTCAGTCGCATTAACATGAGAAAATCTAGGGATTAGGCGTGTGGTTGAGCGTAGCATGGTATGAATGAAAACTCGATCGTACTTAAGACCAAGGTGATATGAGTGACCTTTGAGTGTTTTCATGGTCTAGGACTGCTTTTGTGTGGCTGGCATAAAAATGTTCTCTTGATAACACATTCCAATCCATCAATCCCATGTTCCAAAGCAAGGAGTACATCTTACGCCATCGTGGAAAGAAGGGGCCAGATAGAGAAGAATATTTACGGCAGCTTGTGCAGGAATACAGTGTGACAGATAATTTAGGTAATACTTTAGACTGTATATAAATGCACATGTTGTCTGTGATAAAAGCTGATTTTTTTATGATAGAGTCAAAGCAGCAAATCTTAGCCAATCTTGGAAATTTTGCTTATGATCCTGTAAACTTTGTATGGCTTTGGAACCTAAAAGTAGTCGATCTTTTTCTAGGTAAAAATCTCTTTTTGTATTTAGTGTATGGCTTGAATGAATATTGATACGTGTATTTCCACATCAAATTTAGATGCCGTTACATGTGAAGATCCATTGCTTCAAGAGTTTGGTATGGGAGGTCTATCCAATATATGCTTGGGTGAGTTTAATAAAGCTGTATCTCATTGAGAAATACACTCACAAGGACATCAAATAGATCCTATTCATCATGAACACATTCTTTCGGAACCATATCATATTCGTGCCATTATGGAATGCCTTTTTAGCGATGAATTAAAATACACAGAAAATACAATTATAAACTCTATGACTCTTCTCATGCTTTTGATTGATCCAATATCCCAGAAAGGTAACACTTTTTTTCACCTTGATTAGATTTTTTTTTGATATACTTACTCCCAACTAGTCATTTTAACAGTAGAGCTTAAGAACCAGCTACATTTAATCAAGAAAAATTGCGCGAACTCGTACAAAAGTACTCTGGCGACGTTGTTTTTAACGGACTACTTCCGAGAAACGACATTGTAAAAAAAAACCTCCAGAATTATAATTCAACAATCTCATTTGCGACCTTACACCGTCTACATTCAACAAACTTATGCATCTCACCGATAGCATGTCCTTTTACCACCCGTTCGTACAAAACAATATCCCAACTATCCGGATTTGATACTTTTTCAAACATTTCATTCGCGGTCTTTTCCATACGCTCCAATAATTTATCCTCCATAATTAAACGATTCCACTCTTCAGTTTGCTGCGGCAATGCATCTGGTTCGTCCCAATACGCAAGGCTGATATGATTAATTGGTTTTGGCCGAACTTGGATTCCAAAAACTGTTTTGCACCGATCCGCAAAAGACTGTGTACCTTGATGGTATAGGCTCAGAACGGTCACTGGCAAAAGCAGATAGGCTTTTATTTGCTTTGGGTGCTCTTTATCCAAGTTCTTTACCAGTATTGATTTTTTTCCCACTTGCAAAGCACCTTTTTTAAAATAAGACTGTACTGTTGACTCCAGAATAATTGATAAATCACGTATAGTTGAACTTGCATCTTGTGAATCAATCTTAAAAAACCCGGTCATGCTGGCATGGCAATTGTAGCGAGATGCAGTTGTTGGGTAAAATTGAATGGCTGTAGAATGAACAAACTCATTCACAGATTTCCATAAATCCGAAGAATGAGTTGGTTCTAGATATACGATAAATTCGTTCGATGATGACATTACTCCAAAAGTATACTGGTGAACCATTTGCTACTATAATATTTAATCGTGACTCGTAACTGGCACAATGTTCATACTTAATGCAACCCCTCATTATTTTCGAAAATTATTTCTTTTGAAGGGATTGTAAAATGGGATAATGATAGTAAGCACATTATTGCACCCGAGATTGATTTATAAGAAAATGGTACAGATTTTCAATTTGAGTCCGAGATTATTATCGAAAACAATTAGACAAATAATGTATACTTTTATTATATTTATGTTTCAATAAAATAGGGTCCATTTTATGCTTTTGATGAATAACGCAATTAAATTATTATTATTATTAAAAAGAAAGAAATTAAATATAAAAACGTCAGATTTTGCACAGTAATTTATCGCTACCTTTGATATTGATTATATTAAATTATAGGGTAACATATGTCAACAATTATGAATATTAAAGCTGTGATTAGATCCAAAGCAGAATTTGAAATATGATCTAAACCGAGCTAAATATGTAGAAAGCTTCTTTATAAAAGAAAGAAAGAAAAACGAGGCTTGGAACCATGTCTCTTTTTTTTTAAAAAAAATGTATGCATGCATGTTTTTAGATTACTTCCTTACCATGTGTAAGTCCGGTTCCCCTTACACGCACAAATGATTTAGGCTAAGCATATTTTTGTCAAACCTACCAAACATAGATTTAGGGTATGGTCCTAATAATAATAAAAGACGAATAATCTATTGGTACAAAAGTACAGCCAAATATGCTCATCTACTCTATTCTATGATCTCTATGTATTGCGCCACATAAATTCACCCTTACAGGACTGTGTGAGATATTCGACAATATACTTGTTTAGGTAATTCAACGTACTTCAAAAAAAAAGTACGCCGATATTTTCTTTACTTGGGATTTCCTCAATAATTCATTGGTTACAAGAAGTGGACCTTATAGTATGTTAAAAACAGGATAGGTCGGATAACACAGAATCTTAAACACAATCGAAACCACAGGCAGTTCAATTTATTTATTTATATTCTATTTAGGTATTTCAGGGTGCTCAAACATATTGTGAGAATTTGGCTTTTTTTCTAACAAATTCTCCTCAAGATCCCATGCCCAAATATGAAGGATCCCTAATGAACTGGCTATATATAAACACACTGTATTTACATTTTAAGATATAATATTTTTTTTCTATCTACAAACCAAACAAATAACATTTTGGGTTTCATGGATTTCTATTATTATTATTTGTTAAAACCACTAACTATCTAGCGATCAATCGATCGATAAATCTTGTCGTTCAATGGCGGGGGCAGAGAGGAGTATAAAGTTTAACCTGGGGTCTGTTAAATTGGTTCTAATGGAATGTCATTGAGACCAGAATGCATTTAGGAATTCTAATAAGATATAATATGGTATGCTACAATTTAGCATAGTGTGGATAGTTTACTGCACAGCAAGAAACACAAAAAAAAGCAAAAGGAAAAAAAGAAGAAAAAAACTGTTTGTTCTAGAACGCAACTATCAAAGATTATGTGTGTGCATGTGTATGTGTGTGTTTTTTGGTGATACGGTAGCGGTGGATATCATGCAATGCCATGCTATGCCATGTCATGGCACGACAAAAGGGCCGTGTCACCGACCAACAAAAGAGATTGATTTAGGATTTTGGTGACTCACAAACAGCTTTAGAACAGTCGGTAGGAGGAGTTGGATGGAGAAGAGTGGACACAAATGAAGGGGCCTGTCCGGCAGGTGTGGGATTAATAGGACGATGTTGGAAAAATGATGTATCTTTAGTGGCAAGAGAGCGATGATGATAGTTAGCAAGATGCTGCGAAATAGTCAGTGGCGCTTCGACTCGGTATGGGTCCGAACGAATACGGTGATGTGCATGTAGACGCGGTTTAGCAAGAGGAACTTCCTCTTTCATTACGGCTGAAGATGACGGTTTATGAGCTCTTCTTGACTTGGGTGCCATGTGTGTACGGTAGTGCTGCATCATATTATCTTGCCGAGAGAATCGTGATTGGCAGCCGGGAAATAGACAAGGAAAATTCTTTTCTCCTGTGTGAATACGATTGTGTCTCGCAAGGTGACCACTGTATGTGTATGTGTATAAATGATGAATGAGTAAATAACAATAAGAAATTATAGCCTTCCCAGTTTAAAAGTGAGAAGCAGCAAAGTCTACCGGCTTACAGAGCGCTTGACTTTGATTATTTACCTAGTGGTGAAACTCTTGGAACAGCCAGGCTCAGTACAGTGATATTTACGAGCAGGCTCTTCAGAGTCTAAAATGCGCCAGTCAGAAGAGGATGTGGTGATAGATAGACTGTCGTCAGAAGAGTATGAATAGACAGAACTAGGACTGTGGAGATCAGTATCAGAGTCGTTGAGGAGACTGACTTGTCGTCCAGAAGAATCGATTATCGATAAGGTGGATTCTTTGCGCTCCTCTGCCATGCCAGAAATATTAAAGAAAAAGAGAGAAAGACCTGTACACAAGAGCGGAGCGCCGATGATATAACGGCCCTGCGTTGCCAACTGATCAACATCTTCAGACCCTTTTCTTCTGGGTTTTCAACTACCGCCTGTTCCCTCGGAATACCCCACTTCGGCGTGGGTCTATTCACGTCACTCGCCCCGCACGGGGACCAGATCCACTCGGGCCCGTTGAGTGCTTTTATGCTATTTTCCATCTCCGGTCATTGCCAGTCCACCTTTTTTTTCCATCCCGCCCAAACCAAGCATCTTCTTATTCACACACCATGGCACATCGTGAAGGCATTACCACAACAACCCATGACTGGACTATGGTCAACGCAGCAAGTCTGCTAAAAAAACAAAAAGTTATAACCATGTAAATACTATACTTTCAAAGTATTCGTTAAAATTTACACCTCATTTTTCTCTTTGGATAATAGTGATGGCTCTTTGACAGTTGAAGATGCCTGTAACATCCTGATCGAAAATAACATTTCCTCTGCACCAGTTTATGAGCCTGCACCAAAGACCTCAGGTGCTATTGTACACACACCTTCATTTGTAGGAATGTTTGATTATGCAGACGTGATAGCCTATCTACTGCTCGTTCTCAAAAAAATGCCCCCACCTTCCGAGCAAGAGGATGTTTCTCCGACTTCGCTTGAGATCAAGGATATAATTAGACTTTCTCACGAAGGAAAGGATGTCCCCGTCAAGCTTGCCAGTGGTAAGCAAATGATAAACAGGCTATATGTATAGCCAGGTGCTAATTTTTGAGAGTATAGATTTGTCCCAAAAAAATCCTTTTTACTCCATATTACCCGAGGCAACCCTCTTATCGGCTGTAGAGGAGTTTGGTTGTGGTACACATAGAGGTTAGTTTTGGGGTAATTGAAATAGAAGCTGGAGCTCCTGGAATTTATGACCTGCTACTTTATCTATACTAGTTTCAATCCTGAGGCCTGATGGTGGAATTGATGTAAGTGTGGATGTTTTGTATAATGTTTTATTTTCTAGATTTGTCGATTTATCATAGTTGCGAACATGCTTGTAATTTTCTATAGGGCATCTTATCCCAGTCAACAGTGGTTCGCTATCTTTATGACAACCAGAGAAGATTCCCTGCTATAGAGTCTCTTTTGAGCAAGACAGTAAGAAAGACAAATCTTCTCTTTCATTTTTTTTTGTATCTTGGTTGATGTGCAGTGTGGATGATTGATATAGGCTTTGGAATAGTTACGCCAGTTGCATTTGGGAGAGGCACCTGTAATTGGTGTTAATGCTGATTCACTTGTATTGGATGCCTTGTCTTTGATGAGTAAGTGAAAATAGTAGGAAGAATAATAATACATGAGTTTTGACCATACGTAAAGGTCAACACGGAATCTCTTCTATTGCCGTTCTTGGTCATATGGGTATTGTTCTTGGCAATATTAGTTTGACAGATGTAAAAGTGAGTGAAACGGTCCTACCTCAACAATATTTGAATTATTGTTATTATTTCCTTAAAGAACATATACATTTATTTATTACAAAATAGCATGTGATGAGAAGCTATCGCCATCAATTACTTTGGAACACATGTTTCAATTTTGTCAGCCTAGTACGCACTCAACAAGGTATCGATGATGGACAGGTAATGACAACCAGCAATTCTTGTGTATAGAGACGTTGAAGAAAAGGACTGTAGAACTGAAAATATGATACGTTGTGTTGTGCCCAAAAGGACCGCTTGCCAGTGTTCGATGTCCGCTTGGACACAACACTTGGGTTTGCAATTGCCAAATTGCTGGCGACCAAATCACACCGTGTGTGGGTGACAGACGAGAGGGACAGGGCTGTCGGAGTCGTATCGCTGACAGACGTTATGCGTGTCGTAGCCAAGAGTGCAGGTGTTGACGTTGTCTCTCAACGTACTGGTCATTAAAAGATAGCGTGTCGAACGATTATTTACTAAAGATAATAATAATGAAGAACTTGAAAACGAGATAAAATTAAAGAGCAAGTAAATAAAAAAAAACCAGCCTTTTTCTTTCTCTTTTCTCTCTTTCTCTCTTTCTCTCTCCCCTTTTCCTTTTTCGTCTCACACACTTCACCTCATGAGTACTGTTGACTCACCAACAAAACAGTTGAGCAAGAAAAAAAAGGTCAAGACCGAGAGTACTACTCCACTCAACGCTGCCGCCCTGGCAAATGCTAACAAGCGACTCAAGATCAGTCATGCATGCGATGAATGCAGGAAACGCAAAGTGTGCAACTTGGCGAGATGGCCGTTGTGCGTTCGTTCGTTTGGCTGATGGATATTGTAGGTCAAGTGCGATGGTGTATCGCCCTGTGGACGTTGTCGCAAATCGGCGATCGATTGTGTTTTTGCAAAGGCACCACCAAAACGAGGTCCTCCTAAGCAATACATCGAAAATCTAGAAGCGCGTCTCCAACTGGTAGAGAAGGCGCTTCAGTCGATGGGGGACTCTGAGAGGCAAATATTCGAAGACGCTTTGGCGATGGAAACTCAAAAAATGAAGCTGAGCCAAGACGAAGATTCGGATGGAGGTGAGTGGTGTGTTGACTGATCAACCATGACTGACAAGATATTTTCACAAAGTATTTTATCCGATGGATATGCCTGTAGAGACAGAAAATTCTATTCCTGTTTCTCATATTGGCCAACAGCATCAGCAGCAGTTACAACAGCATCATCAGCAACAGCAAATACAGCAACAGCAACAGCTACAGTTACAGCAACAACAGCTACAGTTACAGCTACAGCAGCAGCAGCAGCTTCAACAGCAACAAATACAACAGCAGATACAGCAGCAGCAAATGCAACAAATACAGCAGATACAGCAGCAGCCAATGTTATTACACTCTCAAGCAGTTGTTGATGGCTTCGGAAGTGGGGTTATAGAAGTGCCTTCTCATTATGTAGATGTCTATTTTCAGCGGGTACACACGTACACTCCCATGATTTACAAGCCTTTATTCAAACAGCAGATCCTCCCTCATTCTGATCCACAATCTCAGCTATTACTATATGCCATTGCCGCAGTATCTGCTCGCTGGGTAGAGTTAATAGCCAACGAAAACCCTCCTGGCTGGATATTCTACCGGCAAGCTTTACGTTTACTAGATACTTGTGCGACTACTCCACGACTATCGACCATCCAGGCTATGGTCCTCATGTTGAAATACCAGGAGCAGTATCGCATGGCCCGGGACGTGTGTCGCCCCGGCCTTATTCTCGGAACAGCCGTTCAAATGTCTAACGATCTCCGCTTATCCGACATCGACAACTCCATTCAGCCACCTGCCGAAAATGAAGCCAAAAAGAGGACGTTTTGGATGGTGTTCATGTACGACCTCATGTACAGGTACGTTGCATGGAACAGAAAATACTAAAAATACATGAACTAAATTCATTAAAAAGTATTGAGGGAGGGAGGGAATCATGTTATGGGAAGATACCATGTACTACAGATCTTCCTATGGCTACTAAAGAAGAGGATCTCGTAGAGTCAGAGGAAATAGGCTACTATATTTTATTCATAGAACTGGGAAGAATTTTATCAGGGATATATCAAGCAACACGCAACGCCCAAATACCTACCCCATCTGAAGTCTATCAATTTCACAACAGACTAACACACTTTTTGTATCTATTACCTCCTGCACTCATGTACCCAACGACAAATTACTCAGCTGCCAAACAACCCATCAATAACGTCCAAACCGGCTTTTTACACATGATTTACCATTTTAGTCTCTTACTACTTCACCAACCCTTTACACAAATGGAGGAGTACAAGCTTAAGTCGTGCGACCAACGCACTCTCTGCGCCGTATCGGCCTCCACCATTACCCGGATTGTAGAAACTATGATTGAGGACCATGGTATCGAAGTGTTTAGTGATCCAATACGTGGTGTTCAACACACTATTCACTGTGTTGCTATGGCTGCGACTACACATCGCTTTGAGCTCGCTTCTGCTAAAGACCCAGCTGCAAGCAATGTCGCCAAGCAATGCTATGTAAGCTCACTTAAAATTCTTAACCGACTTGCTTCAGAATCACCTGCAGTTGACCGTCCTCCAACTCAAGTTGTTACACTTGATGCTTCATCTACTACCCATTCTCCTCCGTCTCCTATACCAACTTCCCCCCGTAGACATACTGTCAACAGTCTCCAACCTTATCCGGACTTTCCTGTCTTACGTCATACCCGCGCTGTCTCGAGCAACCTTCATGGATCATACTCTCAGGAAGATCTTCGTGCAGCCAGAAAACTTCATAGTACAAAACCCCCTCACTCACAGTGGCCTCGACGGAGACTTAACAAATCTACTTCAATGTACTTTCAACCTTCTGGCCAAGGCTTTCTTTTTCAGCCAGATCCAACACAATTAACATTTTATCAACAACAGCAACAGCAACAGCAACAGCAGCAGCAACAGCAACAGCAGCAGCAACAGCAACAGCAGCAGCAACAGCAACAGCAACAGCAGCAGCAACAGCAACAGCAGCAGCAACAGCAACAGCAACAGCAACAGCAACAGCAACAGCAACAGCAACAGCAACAGCAACAGCAACAGCAACAGCAACAGCAACAGCAGCAACAGCAGCAACAGCAGCAACAGCAGCAACAGATAGTTCAGGCGTTTGATCTGAATATTTCAGACTCTTTAAAACCCGTTAACACCAACGTTACACCTATTCTCCAACTAAACATTAACGAAAACCCTCTTGTGGACCCTTCCGTCTTTCAACAACTTGTTGTAACTGACCAGTATGATCCTTGGCCTTCCCACCTTCTCCCAGACAAACATCAATAAAATTGTCTCTTTTTACATAAGCCACTCAGGCCTTTTTCTGGAAATTAAACATACGCAGTCACCATCCCCTTCCACTGCACCCTCACCCCTTCTTATTTCTTATTTGCTAAATCTACTTGTTTTTTTTCCTACAAATGCTGAGAATAATCTCCCAAAAGTCATTGGTCAATGCGCAGTCTGTGTCATTCACACATGGTAAACAGGCTTGGCTAAATTTATTTTGCAATAGCTCATTCCTATTTATATGTTTTATAAAGCACGCATGATGCTCCACACTTCGCCTGTCTTGGGTGTTGAACATCAGTCTACTCTTTCTAGCGAAGAAATCTCTAAGAAGCTTGGAATTGATTTTCAGACCACAAACATTATTCAGCAGGCCCTGACTCACAAGTCGTTTAAGCATGGTCGCGTCCCCACAAACGAACGTCTTTTATTGCTCGGTCGTCGTACAATTGAATTTATGGTTACTGAAGCCGCCGTCGAAAGTGGAAGCAAAAACGTAGAAGATATCCGTTCTTTTGTTGAACGTTACTCATCTCCCGAAGCTCTCTCTGCTCGTTTTGATGCGCTTGATATTTCTGCTGGCCTTCAGACCGATTTGGTAAAGTGAATATTCACACCTGCTGGAACATGTGGATATAATTGGATAAAACAGAATAGAACAGATATAATATTAATACGATATAAATGAATGGAAATTGCAGAAAAATGCCGTTCCTCACACTGTAAAGGCCCATGCTATGAAGGCTGTCGTAGGTGCAATTTACCATGACAAGGTAACATATGATCTGTTAAAGAATTCGACCTAAAGGATGTAACATGGGCTTACTTACAAATGGAAAATGTGATCTCTCTCTCTGGCATGTGCGTGCGTGCGTGTATTTAGGGATCGGAAGTGACACGGGAGTTTTTGAAGAAACACTTACTCGTCTAGACATACCAACAAAACAGAGACTAGTAAAGAAACAAAGCAAACTTTATACATACAACACAAAATGAAGACGGCCTATTTAGAAGTATTGATTTTTTTTTTAAAAAAAATAAGAGAGTTCACCAATCCTGGCTTACTTTGAGCATAAACATTAATTTACTTTATTCCTGAGATTATTCAAGGGTAGTTTAGATATATTTTGATGTGGAATATGCTCGTATTAGGGATACACTCTATTGGAATTATCTTTCTATCTATTTCTTGAGAAAAATCAAGATGGCCAGCCTTTTTTAGATTCACGTTTTTCATCCAGAACGCTTTCATTTTGACAGGCATCGTATTCAATCTCCTATAGAATTTCCTTGCCCCTGGTGTTATATGTGGTGAGAACCACACACCAGCGAACATCATATTCATCTACTTCTTTTTGTGTGTGTGTCCTTTCTGTACGATACACTAATCGGCTTAACGTACTAAAAAAGCCAAGTGTATATATAAGGTTCTCTTCACGACCCCAGACCTTACATATTGACGTTCCACCAGACCACTCCCCCAAACCGTACACAAAGATATATGATATATATAAATAGTAATAATGTAACATAAAATTTCCAAAATGATAAAAAATCTTGTATGTCGAAGGTGAAAATACAACTTCGATAGGAAGTAAAATGGGAAACAACATCCCATATACAGCATACTAAGCAGCTATAGTTACATTGTTACTTTTCATGAGAATAATAGCTATGTTAATGTGGTATTTTATTTCTTTATTCTATTTCATTGCCTTTTACCAATACAAATACACATATTTATAAAACGAGCTATAGAACTATTTGAATCTCTTCAATCATACAAATTGCTCAAGGTGGGAGTCCACCAATTGTAGTTGCTGTCATTTGGATATTGGTCATTAACTCGAACTTCCATTAACTTTATGGGGAATCCCAAGAAAAAAAGAAGATACTGTAAATCCATATTAACATGTCAACTTTTTGAAAGTGAATGAATAATCGTTGCAAAATGATAAATAGTCTTTTAAATGAATCTTTTTTTTCTCTTCTGAGTTATTTCTCGACTACGAAACCTAAGGGCAAGCATTAAACAATGCTTGTAAAAAATTTTCGACTCCTCCATTGTCAAGAACAGTGTCAATAAGGTAGTTGTAGTTCATTGTTGTTTTGTTTTAAGAAAAGTATTCCAAAACAAAGAACCCAAAAAAAAAATACAAGAAAAATACACACATTATGATGGCATTTTAGAGATCAAGTACTCCAAGAATATCTTGAGTAACATATAGCTCCAAGATTGTTTTTTGAATGGTTTGAGGGAGTGGTCAGGTGAAACTTCAAGTTGTTAGGTCTGAGGTCGTGAAGATAATATTTAAAGTCCGTGTCCATACAGAGGAAAATACTTTATTGCAGATTTTTCTAGGCCTTGTTCACTGAGGAATATGTGTGACCCAATAAGAGCTGAAGAATCAGCTGAAAAGAAAAACAGTAACCGCCTAAATATGAGAAGAAAGAAAAAAAGACCCCCACCGAGTCGAGGAAAACAGCTTTGAAAAGTCTAAGATTAAGATAAATAATACAGCTGGTAAGAATAAAGGTGGTATAAATATGTAAGAAAAAATAAATGACATGAAAGAATTAAGAATAAGTAACTGGGTACTGAAGACACCTGGATTGGGAACGGATTTCAGCAAGGATAAGAACTCCAAAGAGATATTTCGTTTAGAAACTCGGACGATCCATTTATGGAACCTGACTATACAACGGTACCAGACCAAGTCTGTTCTCATAGGCACAACCTCGGATGGGCAAAGATGGTAAAGGCTAACGGGGAACGGTGGAGATATTGGACATAAGGTCCCAGGCCCATACATGCGTTCAATATTTTGAGATTCCTTGTTTACATTTCTACTTATAAAATTGTCACATATTTCGCCTTTTCCTTCGGCTTCTGACTCAGAACTGTTCATAAAGAACGCCAAAAATGGGTGACAGTAGCAGTGAGTCAAGCCAAGTGACTTGAGAGGTGAAATATTTTTAAAGATATTAAAAAAAAAAGAAAGAGAATAACGATCGATGTAACTTTTATGAATTAATGTTAACGAAATTATTTTCTAGCCAAAAAGAAAACGACTGCTGAGCAAATGAATGGCAAATTGGTGCCTAATTTCTGCACAGACTGGTACTTTCTATAATCATAGTGGAGGCTTTGAGAAGGCTAATGATTGAACCACAAAAGGTTCAAAACTCTTCCATCCCCAAAGAAGCTTCAAATTATCATGCTGCAATTTTCGTTACTTAGCCGCCCCTAGGACCATATGCCATTTTGTAGATATCGTATTAACTTTTTTTTTCGTCTGATAGCTCGGGTACGTTCCTCGTTATCTTCCACTGTGAATCTCTTTTTAACAAAATCAAGACAATAGAAAAAGGTAGTAATAAAACAACAGCCAACCGTATTATTATTATAGACAAACTTAATGGCACATTGTGGGTTGGCTATATAGTGAAATTATAAGTTCAGCGACAAGAAAATGAATATCGGTAGAAGAACAATCTTAAGAAAGAACAAATTAAAGAGAGCTAGTAAACTACTTTGGGTCATTTTTACAGACACTACCACTTCAAAGCTGATTTCAATGAGCGATACCGACCAAACCCCGCTGTGCCATAGTAAACTGAATGAACGCCCCATTAGAAAGTATACCATGTTTATCTTACCAAGGAACACAAGTATAATAGGACAACTCTCAAGTGTAATATAGTAGTACCAAAAAACATTATTAATAGCATTTTTAAAGACAAATGTAAAACCAAAATCAAAAAGGGACAAAATTCATAAAGATAATATCAAAGTCAAATGAGATCAAAATTTATTGTTCAAATTTTTATAAGGGGAATATAAGTTAAGTTAAATTAAATTAAGTATACTAAGATATTCCAGGCCATGCTAGTCCAGTCGAGTCCAGTCGAGTCCAGTCGAGTCCAGTCGGTTCCAGTCAAGTCCAGTCGGTTTTTTTTTGGTCCATTTGATTTTTCTTTTGATCTTTTTTTTTTGTCCGTTTTTTTTTCTTCTTTTTTTTTGTCCAGTCAATATAAGCTAAGAGTGATAGGAGGAGGAGGAGGAGGATCTTGGTATTGAAAAATAATAAAGGGGATAATTTGGACTTTTTGTTTTTTTTCTTGTTTTTTTGATTCTTTTTTTTTGTCCAGTCAATTTCACAGAATAGTAATAAGAGGATGATTTTGATATTGAAAAGAATAAAAAAGATAATTTGGACTTTTTTTTTTTTTTTTGCTTTTTTTTTTGTCCAAACACAGCACACATAATAAAGGGGATAATTTGGACTTTTTGATTTTTTTTTGATTTTTTTTTTTAATTTTTTTTTGTCCGAACACAGCACACATAGTAAAGGGGATAATTTGGACTTTTTGATTTTTTTTTGATTTTTTTTTTAATTTTTTTTTGTCCGAACACAGCACACATAGTAAAGGGGATAATTTGGACTTTTTGATTTTGATTTTGATTTTTGATTTTGATTTTTTTTTTTTTTGATTTTTTTTTACTTCTTTTTTTTTTTGATTTTTTTTTACTTCTTTTTTTTTTTTGGTTTTTTTTGTCCAGTCAATTTCATGGAATAGTAATAAAAGGATGGGTTTTGATATTGAAAAGTATAAGAGAAGGGGGTTTTGGTATTGCTCTTTTTGCTCTTTCTGTTTTTTTTGAGCTTCTTTTTTTGAGCATTTTTTTTGTTTTTTGTTTTTGATCAAAGACTTCATTTGCTTTGTATGTATATGTGTAAAAAGGGATTTCATACCTTGTCCTAATCCAGAGTCTTGTTCCAGTTCGCAGCTTTGCTTCAATCCAGGTCCAGGTTCCAATGCAGAGTTCTTCCGGTTTGTTCATCTTTTTGCTTTTTTGTTTTTTTTTGTTTTTTTTTTGTTTTTTTTTTGTTTTTTTTTTGCTTTTTTTTTTGCTTTTTTTTTTTGCTTTTTTTTTGTTTTTTTTGTTTTTTTAGAGAGAGAGGAGGGCTTAGTATATGCCTGTGTAATTTTTGGACAGGACTTAGTATAGGCCTCAAGGTCGGATTTCTTTTGATCCTTTTGGAGTGGAGGACTTAATATGTGCCTGATCATTTCTGATAGGTTTTGGTCTACGCCTCAGTTTTTGGATTTGATCCTTTTGGAGAGGAGGACTTAGTATATGCCCGTTTTTTTTACAGGACTTAGTATAGGCCTCGGATTTGGTTTTTGGTTTTTCTTTTGGAACTTGCTTTTGGAATTTTGCATTGGACCCCTTCTTGGAAATCGACTTGGCCTTGAGACTTGGATGTACAGCCCAGATTTTGGACTTTGATAGAAATTGCGCCTCTACTTTTGTATGCATGTATGTATGTATATAAGTGTGTATATGTATGTTTGTATGACTATGACTATGACTATGAATATGACTATGTGTATGTGTGTATGTGTGTGTGTGTGTGTGTGTGTGTGTGTGTATGTGTATAAGAAAGAAATAGAAAAATAGAAATTGTGTGTGTTTGTGTGTGTATGTATTTGTCTACTTCTCTAATTGTGTACTTCTCTATTTGTTTGTATATGTTTGTGTGCTAGGACTAGTACTAGAACAGTACTTGGACAGTTTTTGGACATTTGGACTTTGACTTGGACAAGACTTGGAATTGGATTTGGACTTTGACTTGGACATAGCAATGGACCTTGGCTTGACTATTTTGGAGATTGTACTAGTGACTATGAGGTTTGATCTGAGATAAAGAGATAGTCGTGAGCCTGATTTTTTGTCTGATAAATATTGTTCTGTCTGTTTTTTTTCTGCTTTTTCTTTTTTTGTATCTTTTTTTTCTTTTCATTTTCTTTTTATATTTTTTGTACTTCTTTTTTATATTTTTTTTCTTGTACTTCTTTTCTTTTTTGACTATCTATCTTGATTTGGCTTTGAATCTTGACAGTGACCTTGAGGGTCTCTGAAAAGCCTTTTTTTTCTCTGACGCGAATTTGGAGCCTGTATTTTAAATACAAAAAACAATTAGTCTATGTCTTGATATATTTCACCCCTTTCCCCGACACTTACATTAGCCTTTCTTGTGGGCCGGTTTGCCATTCTTTTCAGGCATATACTTTGGCCTTTCTTGTGGGCCGGCTTGCCCTTTCTCTGGTGCGCACTTGGAGCCTGCATTGCAACAATAAAAAACAATTAGATTATGTCTTGAGATAGTTTGGTCCTTTTCCTGACACTTACATTGGCCTGTCTTGTGGACCGGATTGGTCTTTGCTCTGGCGCATACTTTGGCCTTTCTTATGGCCCGGTGTGGCCTTTTTCGAGGCGCCCATGTTGGGCTTCTGGTGAGCCTTATCGGCTTTTGACAAGGTGTCTTGAGGACACGACATATCCGACCATTTTGCGGCAGAAATGGAACCATCGGGTTCCCCGGCAGAAGCAACAGGAAGCAACAGGAAGCAAATGTCCGACCAGTGGGATAAATGTCTCCTACCAGTGAGATAAATGGACCCGCCAGTGGAAGTAAAACGGGCGGCTGGAAACTGGCAACCGGCAACCGGCGGCTATATAAAAAGGTCCACTGGCGAGAGATAACAGGTCCACTGGTAGGAGGAAAGGGCCTACCAGTGGGAAGCAACAAACCCACTGGCAGAAATGTCCCACTGGTGGAAGCAACAGACTAACAAAAAAAAGCAACAAGCAACAGTACCTTTCAAATAACACGGACCGCCGTGGAAGGCATAGGAAAGGAACAAGCAACGGGAGGGAACAAGCAACGGGAACTAACCCAAAAAAGATGGTACCAGCCGCGCCCACCAGAAGAGACGACAGAAAGCAACCAGTAATACACAGGAATACGGACAGCGGGCTCACACGCTACACGCGCGCTTGTGGACTTGCTCGATATACCATGTTTGACCCGTGGCTCTACTCCATCGGGCCCCTTTGAAAGAAAGAAAAAAAAAGAGAGAGAGAGCGGTCGGTCGCAAGAGTCCAAAATCGGCTCAAAAAGTTTAACAAAATAATATTGCCAAGACTTTATGAACGTCTTTTGAGCTCTTACAGTCGCCTACTCCACAGGCTTTGATTAATTAGTATTCAAAGTTGCATCGCACATAACGTAAAAAAATCATATACTTATCTTAAAGTGATCTGGCTAGCCGTTCATAAGAAAAGAATCATGGCTATCGGAAGACCCTCTTGGCTTCTGTGTATAAACGATGACCGGCCGGACATAAACCCATATATTACCAGAAGCTCTCCATCGTCTCCACCGGTAGACACGGTCAGTACAAAGAAAAAGGAGAAAAAAAAGGAAAACCAAAGGACGCGAAAATTTTTCTATAGTTATAAAAACAAAAATGGGGAGATGATGACGCCTCCCTCACTTTAGTCCAATAAAATTCATCGAAAGTATACATCAATCAAAAGCTTGGGGGAGATAGGGGGAGGAGGATGGATGGATGGGTGCATCCTGTGTGGTGTTGGTCACGTTGATCATTTGTTTTCGTCACTACAAATACTTTTCAGGGAAAGTACCTGATTATAATATTGTATATACACAAACTGAAAAATGAAAACAGAAAGCCTTTTTAAAATATAGCACTGGTCTTGCTTTCCAACTCTTACACTCAGTACCTATATGCTTATTTTTTTGCAGTGTTATTTTGTAGTATCCTTTAAATGTATCTACTGTTTCATAAAGGCCAGGTCTTGAAAGAGTTTTTCGGAAAAATCAAAACTGTCCTGATATAAAAGATATGGGGGAAATCATGCAAATAAACAGGATAAGTCCAAACAAGGAAATCAAATATATATAAATTTATACAGGTATGTATCACATGTTTCATATTTTCTCTCACTCTCTTTGCTTCCTTTCAAAGGTTACCAAGTTACTTATGGAGTTAATAAAGCAAACACACCAAGACAAGAGGTGCTTGGTAAAGAATATAAAACATACAAGACATAAAAATTGGCTGTAGTTATTTGGCTTATTATTTATAAAATAATAATAATTTGAAGCATTTTGATAGTGTGCTTCTGCTAATCAAACAAGTCTAAGAGTACGCCTAATCGTAGCACTTTCATGTGAGTTGATGAATCACCTTTATAAAAAATATATTTCTATTAATTTAAAGAGTAATTTATGCTGCTACTCTCGAATCAGCTCTTTTATATATTCAGTATATAAGGACTCTCTCTATCTCTTACTAGGCTTATTTTATTTATTCTATATGTATCAAATAAATGTACTCTCAGCAATAGGCAGCACTATAGATTGTGTATTGAATAATGCAATTTATTCTTGTAATAAAAAGATATTTATATACACACCTTTAATAAGAATTTATATCATACACATAGTATAATAATATTATCCCAAATCTTCAAGTCTCTTATAACTTATAAAAATAAAATCTCAAGGCTAGTAATTTAACATACTATGCCTTTTACAAGTATAATTTTAAGCAGACACCCAAGTAGCTTTTATTTTGTACATGCATAAAAAGCAGGTGTCTATTTCTTATTTATTCTTTTTGAATGAAAACAGATTAGATATACAATTGAATAGTGCTTTTGTGAAAATACTTTATAATTTTGGCTAACAATATATGCTCATCAATACTACTAGCTGTATTTTACTTGAATGGAAAACATTGTGCCAATGAGTTTTAGTCTATTGTATTGCACGCTTGCAGACAATTCGGAATTATATTACTATCAATCTACAGCTTTAATTCGAATACTTTAAAGCAAGTCT